CGAGTTTACTATTAACGTAAGCTAAACCTCTTAAGTACTTATAAATATAAAAGATAAAGCGAGTTAGAAACGGATACCTAGGCGATAAAAGTAGATTACGGCTATTAAGTATATATTAGGATCGGTTCGTTAATCCTAGTATCTTACTTAGTACGGGTACTAAGCTTAAGTCCTTAGTTAGAGCTCGTTAAAAGGAGAGAGTCGGTAGACTACTAAAATAATCTTAAGATAGAGGTTTAGGTATAATTATAAACTAAATAGTAAGATTAAATAGTAAGTTAAACGCTATTATCTAAACTATAGTATCGTTCCTATATAATAAAAGAGATTCGTTCCTTATCTAAGTAGTCTAAGTAGTTTAAATACTAAGTAGTCTAATTAGCCTAAGTAGTTAGGCGCTTAGTTAGGTTTTAGCCCCTAATACTTAGTTCGGATTACGTACTAGGCTATACTAGCGGAACGTGTCCGTAATAAGTAAGCTATTACGACTTCGAATATATTATCTAGCTTTCGTAAAAGCGGTATCTCGCAGTTTAGTCTAGTTATAGTTCTCTTAACTCTTAAAATACCCGAAGTTTCTTATACTCCTTAAGTTTCTCTATCGACGATAACGAATATACTCGATCGCTCGCTTCTTAATCGCTCGCCTCCGGACGGTACTAAACTAAAATAAGTAAACTCGGTACTTAACTCGATTATCTAAGACGTCGAACTACTTAAAAGCTTAGTAAAGCGATATATTACTAGAGCGACTACTACCCTCGAAAAGTCGAATTCCGAGATAACGCTTTTATAGAAAAAGAATACTAAGTAGCGAGAGCTTCTCGAGACTCGTAAGAAACGAATAAAAGGGAAACGAGTCGCTTTAGAAGAGCGTTTTATTTTTAATATAGAGGAAATCCTCGAAATCGCTCGGTAAGCCGAAGCGGAAACAGCGAAAAAAAAAAACTTATAAATAGAAGCGGAACGCCTCTCCGACTCCGGAACTCGAGGATATTATCGAGGAAGTACCCGAGGGCGACGACAGCGAAAGCGAAGGGAGTTGTATTACCGTAGCGTTACGTAGGTAGTCGAATATATAGGGCGTTTCGAATTTGTGGCTCACTTCCCTATCTAGCTCACTTCCCTATCAAGTACGTTACCGGGCGGGTGATGATGGCGCTGACCAGGTCGTCCTGTGCTTCGGATTCGCTCTCATCGGAGCTCTCCTCTTCCTCCTCCTCACTCTCCTCTTCCTCCTCCTCACTCTCCTCTTCCTCCTCCTCACTCTCCTCATCATCTTCCTCCTCACTCTCCAGCTCATCCTCGCCCTTAGTTGGGCGCTCGCCTCCCACGGCTGGTCCATCACGTGCCGCATTGGATGCTGGCACGGAGGCCATCACCGTATCCTCACTTCCGGCGCGTGGGCGATTGCCGTGGGTCAAAATCGCTAGTGAAAGGTCAGTGAGACGCTCGATAGCTTGTGGAGTAGAATATGACTTACGCAAATTGATGGTGCTTGCACCAGGGAGGGGGAACGACGCCGTCTGCGGCGTTGGTGTTGGTGAGAGGCGAGGGCGACGAGCGTCCCTCTCGCTGCCTCGAGGGCTCGATGCCTTGCGCTTGTTGCCGGCCATGTTGGTTGTGCGGTGCTTGTGATGTGTGATTGTGTGATGTGATGATGTGATGCGATGCGATGCGAACGGGCACGGGATTGCTTGTGATGATGTTGGTAACGTGAAGCGACTTGAATTCGAGCTGTCGAGCAAGTGGCCAAGCGACGGCGGCAAATCGTCGGGCTTCCACATGCATAGTGCGGTCATGACACGTGACTAAACAACGAGGCAAGGCAAGGCCAGGTTAGCTCACCTGAGGGATGAGAAATTTCACCTGCGTGTTTCTCTCCCCGTTTTTGACAATACCAGAACGTTCGATTCACCGCATCGATAGCCTGGCCAGCCGAGATCATCTGGAGAGCTTCTGGACCGACAGTTACTACTGGGATGACTTGGACCTTCAATCCAGAGCTTGGGACGTTCGTCAACTGGAGATCGAGTTCCTCTCGCGACCGACCGCTGGAGGTGAGGACCTCTGTGGAGCACACCGATAAGTCTACTACCCTCCTCGTTTCATTCGAAATCGTACCCCTATCCCCATACCTTATGAGCTGTCTAATCTGCCCAAACGACGATCAGGCGCATGCTCGCTTCAAAAATTGGAGGGATATGGGCGCTATGCGTGATACTTCGAGTGTGAGGATGAGGCTATGCTTTCGCCTCATCTCGATTGTTCTCCGGATAAATCGCACCGAAAGTCGCGGTGCAAGCAATTCAACGAAAAGATCGATCGCTGTGCCGCACGAAAACAAGATGTAAAGACAGACCTTAAAGGCGACGCGATAGAAACAGAAAATATCAGTTAACGAGAACAGTGCTACATCATTTCCGACAAGGGACGAAGCAAAGACAAAAAGAAAATGCCAATAGTAAATAAATTGGCAAAAACCTAGGCTCGCTAATGAGGCGTCCCTCACAGCTTTTCCTAGGGAAAATTCCACCTTATATCATGTCATTCATAAGGCTTCTTTTTATTACCCGACTGAACACCATCAACAAAGCCAGCTATGCCTTTCCGGCTGGTCGATGGTGCCTGCTTTCCCAACACGCCCCCAGGTTCCCCACGGATAAGACCAGTCGCTGCAGCCACACGACACGGATCGAATGACAGACCTTGTGCTTATGACTAAGCACAAACTTATCCTCGTCAGGCGCCTAACCGTTAGGCCAAGCGCGCTGACAAAAGATGCAAGTTCGTTTCAATATTTAGCCCCTCATCTTTGTTCTGCCGAGATTCCGCCGCACCACCTTCGCAATTTCTGCATCGTCGTGATCGGGACGGGATTTTGCATTCGTTAGTATTGTTGTCGTTGGTGCCTTCTCTCCCAACCAAGTGTTCGCGTCTTTCACAACTTGTCCTTCCCTTTCGTGCAAGATGGCAGTTTTGACCAGTATATTGCGACTTTGCGGTAGATTGGGCATTCCCTCGTCTCTTTTCATTCATCTTTAGTCGTCTCTCGCAGCTCTGTTTGACAGCTTCACGCGCCCCAACTTTCACCCTCGCTGCGGTATTTTCATTTCGCAGCGGCATGGATGGCGAATCATTAGGCATCGAATTTCGAATGAAACAGAAGTATCGCGCAACTACATGTTCGTAAATACCGGCAGTGGTATGCATGACAGAAAAGTGAGAGTGAAAGTGAATGGGACGGGGTGAAGTGAGAGGAGGTGAAGTCAGAATAAAAGTGGGTCTCACATTACGCTAACGAATCACGATCTCCACATGTGCAGGGCCCGGCTAACATCCACTTATCCATGCGAAATAGGGGGTCGAGATGTTACCGAACCTCCTGGCTCGTACTGCTCGATAAGCAAAAGCAGCTCAACGAGTGGCTCGAAGACAGGGTAGACTGCAGAGCAGATATGGAAAACGGAGTCATCCGGCGGCTTCACAGAGGAAGCACGACTGGCCGTCTAGCTGATGTTCTGAGCGAGTGCAGGGAGAAAATGAAGGGAAACAGGCAGGATTGGTGAGGAGGTGAGGTAGAGCGGGGATAAAGCAGTCGCAGTTTCATGCATTTAACGGAAGCGATCAGCAATCTGTGCTACAACGCTGAAGCCTTTCTCATCACATGCATGTGTCGCATGCTGTAGGCTACCAAGCACGCATCCTTTTTCCATCTTCAGCATCCCGTCAATCCCCATCGCAGAGACTTCTCCAACCCAATCAATCATCCATCGTCCGGAACGGCTCGCCCTGCTCCTTACACTCCTTGAGATATGTCTTCAAATCCTTCTTGCCCGCAACCTTCTTGTCTTTCGGCACTGTCTTTCTTCCATCCTTTCTCACGCGCTCATCGACTCGACTGCGCATCCAATCGTTGAGTGCGTCCGTTGTGGAATAGCAGAGGATCTGGGATAGAAGGACGACGAAATCGGTGGGCCAGAGTGCGGTCTTCACCATGGGATGGAAATCCGCATCAAGTGCATCCTCGAGGTCGCTATCGACGAACTTTCGGATGGCTTCGATGGCTGCGAGACGGCTTTGCAGCTTGGAGGATCCGGTGCTGAGACTGCCGCTGGTTCCCTTTGTTACGTTAGCGAGTCTGTGCATGGACGTAAGGAGCGTGCAAGGCTTACCAAGAGCGACTCGTTGGTGCTGAAGATATCAGTTGCGGCGCCGTCCTCAGAGGCATTGTCGGTCTCCAGTCCATCTTCTTCATGCTGACCCTGCCAGAAATCCTCATATTTCTGGGACTCGCCCTCAGGCTCCTCGTACTGCTGCTCATCGAACCCCCCTTCCTCTTCGTCGTCCTCGTCTTCGTCGTCCGAATGGTGGAAGTGGCCGTCCACGTGCTTGTAGGAGTCGTGCGTGTAGTATACCTCGGGATACTCGTCGGCGGGCTTGCCATAGCCACGTTCCGCGCTGCCATGATACGCCTCGCTCCCAGTCTGGCCTTGAGCCCCAAACCCTGCGCCTTCCTCATCACCTCTATCTTCATTTGCTGTCTCTTCCTCCTCACTCGAGTCTTCAGATGCTGCCTCACTTGGGGGCCGGGCCGTAGCCTCACTCGCGGCGTCACTGTCGCCATCACCTGTACCATCACGCTCGCCATTAGATTCGCCATCAATTTCGCCGATGGGCGGCTCCTTCTCACGAGCCTCTTCAGCTTATGACACGTTAGCCTCATTTTCCATGTGGATCACAATCGCACATGACATACTCACGGTGCTCGACTGTGACAGAAGAGCGGACGCTGCCGCGGGCGTCGAGGGACATGCGACCGTGGAAGATGGTCGAGGTGGCGCTGGTGAGAGGCAGCGACGCACATGTCTGCCTTCAGCGGTCTCGTTCGGAGCAGTCGATGGCTCTTGCTGCTTGCGCTTGTGGGAAGACATCGTGGGTGCTGCTCTGACACCGACGCGCGCGTGGTTCCTCGTGATGCGACGAGACGACAGCAGCTTGACGTGGTCGAGTTCGTGCACTGTCCCGCAGCTCGGCTCGTCGCCAGAGCTTTTACACGTGGAAGCTCATGTCTGCGGAAGCGAACATTTTGGTGAAGAGAACTGAAAAGTGTGAAAGGTAAGTTCGAGAAACAACTTGGTCCAAAACAAAGAAAAACCCAAGACCGTGAAAGTCTGGGTGTTGAATGTGCGGATTGTAATTGATGAACAATATTGTTCTCAACTTTACCTTGTAACTTGATTGTCGGATCGAAGGAAGTGGAACTTCATATCAAATATGAAGAAGGCAAAAAGTGCAAAAACCTAAGGTCATTGTCGGGGCGAACCCCGACTAGCTTAGGGGAAATTCCACCTAATGTCGTCGTTCAATTAGGCTTCTTTTCATTACCGATGGGAGCCTTTAACAGCCGCACTGCCGACGACATAGGGATATGCACCCGGACGAAGAACAGTGAGATACTGTAGACTCGATTTCCCAACACGCCCCCGGTACCAGAATCTCCAGCAATCACACTGAGTGGCATAGGGCGCGTTCCCGACCGGCCAATGGATTGGAAGAGACTTGGTTTCCCCTCGGATGAGACCAGCTGCTAGTCAGGCAGCTGGGATCGAACGACAGACCTTGGGCTGACGAGGCTCAAACTCATCCACAGCAAACGCCTAAACCGTTAAGCCAAGCGCGCTGATAGGTGGACCGATATTTGTTTGTTTCTTAGCCCTTCATTCGGCTTCTGCCGAGCTTCCCGCCGCAACAATTTTCCCTCGCTGCTCATGCTGATTTGCGCTAGGACGTGTCTTCTTCTCTTCCAAGGCGTTCACGCCTTTCACGAGTTATGTGTGTTCCATCTCATTCCGCCAGTCAACTGTCAGTCCATAGAGATAGCAATGGCTCTCGGGGTTACCACATGTGTTCGCTGTCGTCTTGCGCCACAGTCTCCCTTCACGATGGGTGTGAAGTCAAAGCTGGCGTGCTCCTGCTGTGTCTTGCCAGCATTATCTCCTTGTGACAGAGACAGCGTAATCGTATTCGTTGGGCCAAAAAGTAGTATCCGAGCAATCAGCAGCAACTGTAGATGCCCAGTGGTGTGTGAGGGTGAAAGTGGAAGAAGAAAGACGGATGAGGTGAGGTGAAGTTCGGGTCACAGTCTTGGCGCCCAAGAGGCCCGAGCGCCCGTGTCAAATTCGCGACAACTCCAGGCTTTCCACGAACCTCCTTCATCGCCGCCAGAGCGACAAGCCCCATCTACATCACGGCTTTCAACTACGCCACGTCTTGCAGAGGCTTCATTGCTTCAAGACCACAGTCCTCTCGGCGCACGTGCAACACGGGCCCCGCCGCTGCCTCACGGTGGCGATCCTTCACACTCCAATTCAGGCAGACTCACCGGTCACGAGGCTGGCCTGTCGAATTCATTGGATCACAGCACACTGCTGTCTGAACAGCATGAACTTCTGATAGCACGGTAAGAAAGCACTGAAGCACATATAAGGTCTCTACCTTTGCTTCATGTGCTGCATTTTCCAGTGTCATTGTTTCCTTTTGGGCCGTGATTGAACTCGTTGACCTTAACTACGCATAAACAGCTCTTGCAAGAATCAATCATGGCTGCAGCAGATGCCATGGATGTCGAACTCCCCAAACTTCCCGCGCCTCACGCCGACTTCATCAAATACCTCAATGCCAACCCAAATGAGTCCGTCCTCGACTTGGTCAAGCCATACAACCAGTACGATGCAGAGATGCGAAAGATTTTCGCCCAGAAGCCAGGCCATCCTGCGGTTGCGGAGTCAAATGTCGTACCGGTGTTCCAAGGACATGAGACGGACGTCCGTATCCAGGCTCGCAATCTGAACGCAGAATCCTCCAAGGACAAGGAGGCATTCATCATGCCACTCAAGGATGTCGATCGCAGGGCCAATGGCTCCCCAGCTGTCGTCCAATCTCTGAAGGACTTCCGCACGAACTTCAACGTCTTCTCTGAATCTGCTCTTGTCGATCTCGATTGGTCGAATGTCGTGGCCGCGGGCTCCTCGGTCGTCACATCTTTACTTGCTGTGCCAACAAAGCATGGTGGCTCAAAGCGTGCTCTTCGATCATACTATCATGAACAGCTTGCGCCGGCCTCTGATGTTGATTTGTTCATCTATGGGTTGACCGAAGAAGCAGCCAAGGAGAAGATCAAACAGATCGAGCAGAACATTCGCGATGCTATACTTGTTGAGACTACGACAGTGCGCACCAAGAACGCCATCACTATCGCAAGCCAGTAAGTGAAAATTATCACGAATCAACACGATTCACTAATTGATCTCTCAGGTATCCTACCCGCCACATACAAGTCGTCCTCCGCATCTACAAGTCCATTTCGGAGATTCTGACTGGCTTCGACGTCGACTGTGCGTGCGCAGCATACGACGGCAAGCAAGTCTACGCTAGTCCCCGGGCTTTGACTGCCTACATGACGCAGATCAACACCATTGATCTTACTCGACGCTCACCGTCTTACGAGAGTCGGCTCTCCAAGTATGCTCGCAGAGGATTTGAAGTGTACTGGCCAACGCTGGATCGCAGCCGGGTTGATCCTACCATCTTCGAAAGGTCCTTTGGCCGAACCGAGGGCCTGGCCCGCCTTCTCATCCTGGAGAAGCTTCCCAAATCAACAGATCGTGAAGCTTACCTTGACCAACGACGAGCTGAACGAGGTCGGCCAGCCGTCAATCGCTGGCGTATGCGCGCACGCATGATCCGTGGCAACATCAAGAACGACTACGAAGACGAAGTCGCCGAGTGGGTTGATGAAGAGGAAGTCTCGGATTACCACACTTTCACAATACCATATGGCCCAAAGTTCCATGCAAGGAAGATTGAGAAGCTCCTCTATACCAAGGATCTCCTTTTGAACGCCGAGTGGAACAAGCCAAAGGACCGCGAGGTGAATCTTCATCGGCATCCAGCTTTCTTCGGTCGCACAGACGACGTTTTCCACGATTGCTGTGGTTACTGCCCTACTCCAGCAACAGTTGAGGAAGAAGAGGTCTTCGAGCAGGAGAGCAAGATCTACGTCTCTGGCGAGATTTCTTTCATCAAGGACGACCCGGGCCGGCAAACTATTGGCTCATTCAACCCTCTGTCCGCGGACGACTGGACTGAGATGGCGTAGTAAGTCATTGACCTTGAAGAACGTGAATGCCATCTCTGACTTTATCTTAGTGTCGGCAATACCGAGCTATTGTGCAAAGCAATCGTCGATGGCGACATTGACTACGTGCAGAGCTGGCTAGAGCAAGAGGGCAACGATCCCAACACCAGAGACTATACTGGCCGCACTCCGCTCCACCTGGCAGTTATAAGCTCTACACTTGAGATCGTTCAGACCTTGATTGACCATGGAGCACGTCTTGTCGCCCGCCTTGTCGATGGCAAGACTGCCCTTCATTTGGCTGCCATGCGCGGAAATGTAGAGATGGTGTCGGCACTTCTGCGAAAGAGCGAAGCAAATGAAGAAGAGGAAGAACAAAAGGCCGATGCTCGGAGAGCCGCACGCCAAGCTGAGAAAGAAGGCAAGCCATTGGATGCTGCGCTGAAGAGTGTAAACATCTCACAACAGAAAGACGACGATTCTGACATTGAAATGCTGAGCAATCCCGATGACGACGATGATATCGATGCAACAACGGAGAATTCAATGGTCAACATCAAAACCCCCGTGCAGGCGGCAGACGGCAAGGCCCTCGAAAGCAACGACGACGACGAGCCCGACGTGTACGATGTCAATGTTCTCGCTTGGGACGTTGCTGTGTCCCCACTCCATCTAGCCATTGTTCACGGCCACGTGCAAGTGGTCAAGACATTGGTTCAAGATTTTGGCGCCGATGTGCTGTTGCCAGTAAAACTGGTCAATGACCATGACAACTCTGCAAGAGGCGCCATCCTGACGCTAGTGCTGGCGCTGTCGCTCCCACTTGAGCAGGCAAAGGAGATGACGAAGATACTGATTGAATTGGGCGCTTCAAGTGCCCAGGCTGACATGAATCAGCACACCGCTCTTCATTTCAGTGTCGCTGAGCGTCCAGACATTCTTCCTACCCTCATCGAGGCAGACGAGACTGGAGTCAAGCGGGCCATCAACCATCTCTCGGTGTCTAATTCGTGGTATCGCCCGAACACGAGTTCGCCGCTGGTCGCTGCCATCAAAGCCAAAGACGCCACCACCGCGCTTCGATGCCTTCTTGTCGGTTCCAAACCCAGCATCGATTTTGTTGCCTACGCAAAAGCCTCTGAGGGCCGACAGAACAGGTTCAATGACTCGAAACAGAGCAAGCAAGATTTCGAGAAGAATGTCGAGCAACCTGTGGTCACAGCAGTCCAGTGTGAGTTGCCCGAAGTCGCATTAGCGCTTATTGAGGAACACGGAGTCGATGCGAACACCTTGACGACTGCTGGATACTCTGCCGTTCACAATCACTATGCACGAGGCTACACTCAAGGCAGAAGTCTGCTCGATGAGGTACAAGAGCACATCAAGGAATTGGAGAAATGGAAGCCGGAAGAACAGAAGCCTGAGCCACCACTTCCGCTTGACGATGATAGTCCTTATCTATCCGGCCTGCAAGAGGGCACCTACGCATTCTGGTCGGCACAAAAGCAACTCGATGCCGCGAAAGCTCAGTACAAACAGAGCCTCAAACAGTATCGCAACAACTTGAAGCATGCGGACGACCAGACGGGCGCGGCAGAGAAGCAAGCCGCAATTACCGATCTGCTGGAGCGATATCAGCGACTTGAGGCGAAGATGATTGAACGTGGTGCGAAGACGTTCGAGGTACTTCATCCAGACATCGAGAAACCGGACGGAAACTATCGTCACACGTACCCTAACTGGAAGCCACCCAAGCCGGAGCCTTTCAAGATCGACTTTAGGATCCTCCGATTCTCAGCTCTGTCGGACGAAGCACATGAGAGGTACATGAAACTTTTCGAAGCGACTTGGAGAGGCGATTTGCAAACGGTGAAACAGCTTACGCTGCTGTCATGGAAGGACTCAGATGGTGATGATAAGCCTCCGTTGGCGATTGCCATTCAAGATCAACACAACTTGTCGCCTTTTGCGATCGCAGTCCTTCATGGCCAGTTCGAGCTGGCTAGCGCTATCATGGAGATCGCCAAAGCGCAGTATGTGGAACCAGACGAGCCTCAAAAACGACACTATAGGCTGGCCGGTGGAAAAGATGACGACGACGAAAGCGGCGAAGAGGAGGAGAACGACGGAGCTGACGGGGAGCAACGCGTCAACATCCACTCCGAGATTGTGGACGAACAGTTCACCCTTGAGAACATCGGAGAAGTCTCCACTCAGGTGAAGAGCCGTACGACTGCACTCACGATGCTGAACTGGCGATGTCCGGCTGCCGACTTCATGGGCGGGCCTCTGCGTTCATCGCCGCAGAGTGGGAGTGGATTCAGCTACTTTGGACCTCGAAAGCAATTTACGATGGCCGGCAAGCGCACTAACACAGGATCGCTGAAGGTTTGTACATGTCTCAAAGTTGTATTCGACGAAGACTGATAGATTGATAGGCACCGGCAAACACCTTCTCAAGCGAGAAGAAGGAGCACATTGGCCCACCCTTGACACTTATACAATTCGCTCTACACAACAATGACTTGGACCTGCTGATTTTTCTGCTTGACCTTGGCCGAGATCACACCAGAGCTGATGTCAAGCCAGATGATGAAGACGCCATTCGCTACTTTCGGGTCAATCAGGAGGATTACCTGGAGGCAATCAAACTTGATCGTCCACACCTACTGGCTGAGATCATCAAGAGAGCTGGTGCTGGAATTCCGCTCAACCGCCTGGTCAAGAAATCGGGAGTCGAGGTCAAGCAGAAGCCCAAGTACTATCAAGGTCTGTCGGTATACGGCAAGAAGCGAAAAGACTGGGCGGAAGCTGGTCGCAACGAGATGAATTACCAGGCAATGGAGAATCATCGTCCTGGACTTCTGGAGGCTGCTCATTACCAGTCACTGGAGACAGTCGAGTGGTTCCTTGGGGAAGGGCCGATGAGATGCTACCTCGAGTTCGCAGATGCGAACAAAAAGGACAAGAGAGTTAGACTGTTGTCAGAGACGAAGCTGGGCTTTGATGGTTCAGTCACGCGATTCCTGAATGCTCGCTCGAAGACAGCGATTCATTGCTCCCTGCTGGGGAAGCCGGTCCCAGAGTCGATCAAGATGTTGCGTTTCCTCGTCTCGAATATGCAAAATGCTATCGATGCGAAGTCCGCAGAAGGGCTGACGCCTTTGCACATTGCATTCAGGTTGCACCGCGAGGAAGCTGCAAAGGCTCTGATCGAAGCTGGCGCTCTGCAGACTTGTCGAGACAATGAGGGCAACAACATCCTGCATCATCTCTTCAGACTGCATGCTGACACGGAAGCCAAGATCAAGAAGCTCGGGGCAATGCTGGACCTGGTTGACAAACGTGTTCTCCCAACACTATTCCTTGAACGTAGCTCCACACACCCTGGCTCTCAGACACCTTTGGCACAGTGGGTACACCAGGCATCAAGCAGCGAGTGCCGCGACAAGGCCATGCACTTGATCCTCGATTACAGCCACGGCGCGGAATTGAGCTCCATCAACGGCGAAGGCCACACACCACTGCATATGGCTGTCCGGCAAAAGGACATCATTGTCATAAAGACCATCTTGAAGCACGACCCTTCCCTCCTCCTTCGCGAAAACGCCATTGGCCGCACATCATTCGACATGGCCGAAGACGCCGTCGCCGCTCCCTACGTCAGCGATGCGCCACCACTGCCAGGTGATCATCGATTCAACGAGAGAAAAGCCCGAAAGTACGGATTGAGAAACGATTGGAACAACAACCTGACGTCTCAACACGCATGGAGATTCGTCAAGAAGGACGAAGACGAAGATCGCCGGACTCTCCATGAAGAGATCTGGGATCTGTTCCGCGAAGTCAAAGCCGGTCTGGAGTCGAGAGGAGAGGCGAAGAGGAGACTGGTGACGCTGAATGAGGCCAACGAGGTTGCGAAGAGACTTGCTGCTAGCAAGACTGGGATGATCAACATGCGTCGCTCTTACAGGAGGCGACGGGATGATGGAGAAGACTGGCAAAATGAGGAGGAAAAGGATGGGGAGGACGAGATTGTCGATGAGGTGCAGCTTTGGTTGCCTCAGGCTGGGGGCTATGTTAAGTGAATGGCAGAACAGGGGAAGCAGGGCGTCAGAGAACTGGACTTCTCCGTGGAAGAGCTTATTCCGGCTGATCACATGTATGCTTGGAATTCTACACAGAAGGGCACACATTTTCCAATGAAGCAGAAGTGGTTGAGCTTCGAAAATGCCATTTTCTCTCGTTTTGTCTTGAATGACAGAAGTCTGTTGACTCCAACAAAGCGATGAATGGACAACGACAGCGCAGTCACTGGGCCTTTGTGCGATTGTGTTGCGAATACAATCGCATGACGATAACACTCTCCAATTCCACCTATATAATGCTTTGCATGATCGCTCTCCGTTTGGCATCTATCCTCAACCATCCCCACTGTACTCGAGCTGAAGTAAGACTTACACAGCAACAGTACAGCACTACATCCAACTCACCAAATCCAACCACCAACGAGCACTACCCACACCAACATGCGTACAGGTACGTACGTTCCCTCCGACCCCCGCGAGATCCACGCCTTCGCCATGGAGCGCCTCAACAAGAAGTGTGACGACATGTCTAAGGAACTCGCCAGCCTCGAGGAGCAGTCCCGCAAGGGCGGCTGCAGCTACCACTCCCTGCCCATCCATTACCGTGAGGAGATGATGAGTCTCCCACTCCGTACGAGAACCGTCGCTGCATTCGTCGTTGTGGACGACGAAGGCAGCGACCTGATCGACTCCTTCAACTGGTGCCGTGTCTGTCGCGATGACGCCAAGCAGGCTCTGCACGCTTCTGACATCGAAACCGCCGAGCAGGAGCTCAACGACTGGGAAGCGATTCAGGACGATGTGGCGACTCAACTTGAGTCCGTGTTGGACGATGTCTTCACGCTGACAGACAGGTACAGGGACGGCTATTACATGGACAACGAGCCTGACGCCGCCCAGGTCATCGAGCTGCGCAAGGCCTGGATCTTGACCTTGCCTGAGGTCGTCAAGGCTTTCGAGCTTAGCATCATCGAGACTGAGGAGCAGGCTGTTGAGATGGCGCTCTCTGATTGCGAGAGCATCACCCAGCCGGCTGTCCTTGGCTTGGTCGAGGAGATGTTTGAGATTTAGTGGGAGCTTCATGTCGATGATGCTGCTTCTGGTCGCAGTCTGTAAGTTTGTTGGTTTCACATACTTGTAACAATAAAGGGGGTTCAGGAGATCTGGCGGATTGGTTTCATAGAACTCACTGAACGAAACACATATGCTCATCACGGTTTTCAAGCCCTTACTTTTATTTTTCTCAATCGCTATGACACACTTGTGACCTTTAAATCGACAATTTCAGTTTCAATCACCTCATCCATTGTATTCAAACTTCAATTAATATTTACAATCATCTTTATGGTGGATCATCCTCGAATTAGACATAAGCAGTAGCGCTCCATCTCCAAATACTCAATGTAACTTTGACACGCTACCAATGATAGCTTTCCCAGCACTCACACCTCTCCTTCACATCCAGCTCGGTGACATAGTCGTAGCCAGTCACATTGAACTGTAGCAAATTGGCCCCTGGTCCTGAAAGGGGCATTGGAAGAAGACCTGACCGATTGGGATCGCCGGTCATGACGAATTGAGTGAGGTATCTGAGGTAAAGAGTTAATCACTGCTTTACCTGAATGCAAGCCTTCGTCTTTGCCAATCGTACCTTTGCAAGTCCTCGGCAACAGTTCCGTTCAACGAACCGCTTTGGTCGTTGTGGCCGTTATACAAAGTGTACACGATGTCGGAAGTATGGATTGCTGCAACCAAGTCAGCTCATTACACGCCCACAGAACAGCAGACGGCAATAATTCAGGCGACGTACCTGGAGGAACGCTGAACTTATAAGAATAACCCTCATTGTTGTAGGCCTCTTGTAATCCGTACGCGTTACAAAGGAGCTGCACTTCTCCTTGAAAAGCATCTGTTCGGTTCATCTCGTCACCGCCGAACCTGCTTAATGCATAGAGGTCGTTAGAGATGTAATCGACATCGGATTGTGTGGCGGACGGTAGAAGCTCCTTGACCAAAGCTGGGAAGGAAAAGTTGGAGGCTCCCGGTGGTGGGTTCAGTGTGACAGCGAACAGATATCCCTAAAATTTGTCAGTACCATGTTTGAGAGAAGTTGTTGACGCGGTAGATACCTCGTCGGCAACTTGAGATGTCATGATCTTCACGTTCGGATCGTATCGACCTGCTGCAGAGCCTTGGTGGATATTGCCAACCACGTAACCTCCATCATTCACGAGTGTGAACGTTGTGAAAAATCCACTGGGATACTTGGCTATCGTGACATTGTTGACGTTGTACACCTTGTCGAAATCAAGTGCCTGCGCCTCCTTCAAACTGTTGACGCCAAGGTCCTTAAGAAAGGTGTGGAATCGATCGTTGAATACAGCATTACTGCCGAAGTCTGGGGAGGCTTCGTCCGGGGACTGAAAGATAGCCTGGTTGGCAATGTTAGCAACGTGGTCTGGCCTTCGTTGACGGCATCAGGCCTTTCAAACACTTACTTGCTGGAAAGGTGTTTTGCAAGTGTCAAACAGGTTGTTTCTTCCTGCGACCAAGTGCTGGCCGATGGAGCTGGCACCACCGCTCTCACCCATAGCAGTAACACGATTCGGATCTCCACCAAACTTTTGAATGTTTTGCTGCACCCATTCGAGGGCTGCACGTTGATCGAGGAGGCCTGCGTTGGACTTGCCGCCCTGCTTTTCGAAGTCGCTGCCCCCTAGAAATCCGAAAGTGCCGACCTATGTTTATTTAGAAAACATCACTCCATGTATTTGTACCAAACGTACCCTGTAGTTAGCGCGACGAAGATAATGCCTTGAGCATCGGGATTCTCCAGACTTCTTGCAATGAGACCAGGCCCATCTCCATTCTGTGTCTTGGAACCAATCACAAAGCCACCTCCATAGATGCAAACCACAACGGGTGTCAATGCAGCTCGGTCGTGTCGTTTCTGGTACACTTTTTCTGGAACAAGAACATCCAAGTACAGACAGTCTTCCGTCTCGTATGGGCTCCTCGGAACACTCGAAACTTGCTGAGATGCTTCGGCGAGCCAGATTGGATAAGCTTGTGGGCATGTTGGGTTGATCTTTTCGTTGCCATCTTGAACACCTGCGATGTGCTTTGGTGGTTGTGGAGCCGCGAAACGAAGATCCCCAAGTGGTGGCTGAGCGAAGGCTATGTTCGTGAAGTTGTAGTACTTGCCAGTGGCCTAAGGACGGTGAGTTTGAGCGGAGTCGTACAGGTACCTCAGTTTAGCTTACATTGTAAGCCGAAGCTCGTTGCTTCACGTAGCCCAAGTCAACGACAGGTAGACCGTTCGTGTCATTGTGGGAACCGTATCTTTGCGAGGCGGGAATGGCTTTGGCTGCAGCGAGCTGAACAATGCAAGCGAGGGCGCTCGTTCCATGGAGAGCGATCTTCATCGCAGCCTCTGTCGGAAAATGCCCGTAAATAAACAAGTCCAAGGAAGTTTCAGGTCGTAGTTTTTGTTGTGCGAATCTCAATCTGTCTGCGCGTCTTCGTACTTATGCAAGTTGTCACGTACCTTCAGAATTGATCCTCGCCCAAGCCACGAATCCCTCTTGGGTCATACTCTCCGCGAATTCAAGCCATACCATTCATTGACAGTGGTCTCTACTTGCTTTATTTGGGAGCGCCGAACTTGAACAGCAAGTGACTAAGCAAAGTACTCGCAAGGTCCTCTGATCAAGGCTAGCTTGACAGACAAGGCTGTGAATGCCAAGCCAACCAATTTCCGAAAGAAGAAGGACCAGAATTTAGCTCGTGCGGGAAGCTTTCGAATTAGGCCTCGAAGGATCTCAATGGCCTTATTGAGAATGTCAGAAATGACTTTTCAATCCTGAAGGCTCGTAAAGAGATCTCTCCGGAGACGAACTTTGTGGCTGGCCACGAGGGCGTTGGCCCTGATCTTGTTACTCAGCCATCGTCATCATTTCCGGCCAATTTTCCACACTATCATGTTCAGCTTTCGCTGCTTCCCGCACTATGTGGATCAAATTTCAGAATTGAGGGCTGCTGTTTCGGCTGTAGTCGGTCGTAATCTTAACCGCAGCCTAACACATTTGTGGGCGGGAGACTAGGGCACGTAGAACGATGGCTCGTTTTTACGCGGAACTGCCCTCTGTACACCCGGCTGCATTTTGTAGGCTTGAGTACTAGTGATCTTTAACTCAGAGAAACCCGTGAGGAAACGCTCTCCTCGCAAACTCTTGTACATCTTCCCAAAGCTCTCGCGGACGCTCAAGAGCAGCAAAGTGCCCACCATGCTCTTGCGACTTGGAAAATACCATGTTTGCGGATGCAGCGGCCCAACTTGGTGGAACACCACTCACATCGAAACGAAAGCGGCTGTAGCCAAACGGCTTGTCGATGAATCCGTCATCATATGGATTCTCAGGGGGGGACCTTCCGAAGATCTCTCGGTAACTGTATATACTTCGTGGGAATGTATCAGTAAGGTGATAAAGGGACACCGCGGTCAATATCTTCTCGAATGAGAGAGGCTTGTTTGGATCCACCCAAGCGAGGTATTTCTCTCCCAGCCACGCCAAGAGGCTGATTGCACTTTTTGAGACGGCAAATGATATTGTGGCTGGGGCGGTGCCTTGCTCAAGTGCGTAGCCGAATCCATGCTGCATTTGTCGGGATGATCTATCCAAGATCTCACGGTCCAATGCGGTTAAATTGGTATCATTTTCTGGCGCGTGTACAGAGGCTGGCCTAGAAACGGAGAAAGTGTTGACATGGACGGCTTTTCCATGGTCAGCGAGAGTTCAAAGCGATTCTCTTTGTCATGGACTTGCTTTTACAGCTATGACTGTTTCGCGCCAGATGTGTCGCTATGAACGATCCGATGTCTCCTCCCTGTGCAACATATCCATCACCAAAACCAAGATCCAGCATCAGCTTGTCCAAAACGCTAGCTGTGTCTGCGAGAGTCCAGTCGAGGTGAATAGACGGTCCTTCCGTAAATGTGAACCCAACTAGAGAGGGCACGATGATATGGAATGGACTGTCCCACGGTTTATATTCTTGCTTGACAAGGTCCAGAAGCTCCATGAACTCTAGAAAGCTTCCGGGGAAGCCATGCAGGAGAAGGAACGGTAAGGCATCAGGTTTCGATGAAAACAATCCGACAAAGTGCACACTGTGAGTCCGGTTCGAAGTTTGTACTATTGCTTGGAAATGAGGGTGTCGATTGAATTCCTCTTCTTGTCCCCTCCAACTGAAGTCTGTTGTCCAGAAGGAGGTCGCATTCTGCATCCAGCCCCAGGAGATGCCAAGGCTGAGATCATCCCGAGTGTTCTCGTACGTTGGTATGAAGCCGTGTTGGGCACGGACAGCCGATTGAAGCTCAAAGACTTTGGCGTCTGGAATTCTGACTTCGATGGGCTTGATGGCGGTGGAAGCGTCTCGCGGCAACGTTGACCATTCTGCTAGATTGCGGGCAGCAGAGAGCAGGACGAGGGAGCCCACAAGGAAGATTGGAACGAGGACGCTCATTGTTGCGGTAATGAGACTGATCAAACTTGTTGGGAGTTACCATTCTAGTCGCAGGTCTCTATATACATCGTCGTTTTGCGATGTGATTCACGGTGCCGTTCACAGCCTGGTCCGGGAACTTTTGTCAGTCTCGGGGACATAATTCTTTTGAGCTTCTTGTGTGCCTGTCTGACGACTCATAATATTGAAAAGATCTTTCGTATGAGCTGCCTAACACGGGTGTTTGTCTACTTGGTGTTGGGCTACTTGGTATAAAGGATTCGGCAGACCTGCGGCGACGAAGCCTCGAGGCCGTAGTAGATCGCTTCTGTTTGGAGCACAAACTTGGACTACATCTGCGGAATTCTTGTCAATTCCTAATTTACTATCCATCGTCAAAACCTCAAATACCGTGAGGTAGAGCTGGCCCACGTTTGAGGAGATCCTTTGTTAACAAGAGCTCTTTTCTAAATTGGAATGCCTTTGTCTTTGTTCCTAGTAGGTTACATAACGACAACTTCTGGATGCATGTGGCGTCATGCCATGATTTCGTATCGCGAGCAAAGTATCTTCACGTGCGACAGCAAGGGCGTGGAATGTTGCTCTTCAGCTGCAGAGGAATGCCTTGTAAGTCTCATACGTAAGCTGGAGTGCTGATCGTTGTGCCGTATAGGTCCTTCTGAGAAACAGAATGCAAAGTGACGTATGTTGTGTTGTCTTTGCAGCGAGCTGCATTGAACATCCATCGACTCAACAAACGACTGCGCCTTCTTTCTCTCAAACTCATTAGCTCTAATTTTGGAAGAGCCTTGGCTACGTAGAGCAGGTAAATTGTTCCATTCCAACATCTGCGCACAGGTGACGGAACCAAAATGGATATTTCAAACAATTCTATTACCTCCAAATACAAGCCGCTGCCGAAGGGAAAACACATCAGAGTATTGCACATCTTGGAGGCTGCGCCAGTCTCATCGGACTCTCAACTCCTCATTGAGCTGACAGAGCTCGACATCGAAGACGACAGTGCAGACTGGGATTGTTTATCTTACACATGGGGTCCACCAATTTCTACACCCGAGAGCTTCGAAAGATACGGAACGGCTAATGATGTGGTGATTATGTTAAGGGTAGGCGAGCATGAATACCGTCATACCATAGGACGCAATTTGTACGAGGCTTTACAACAGCTCGAAAACATGAACCACAGACGTCCTTTGTGGATTGCTGCCATATGCATTAATCAGGACGACCCTGCAGAGAAGTCGCGGCAAGTCTCTATGATGGATGATTTGTTCTCGCGAACGAAACGCGTCTACGTCTGGATGGGGGTCGACGACCCTGAGGCGCCAGCGTTCAACGATATTGTCTGGCTTCGTACAGTACTCGTCAACAAGATCAGGGACTACGAGAAGATTAACGAAGATATCACCTATCGCGACTTCCCTCCAGTCAAAATGGAAGGAATAGACGGTTTGCATTCGTTCAAGATCAATACCACCATATCTTGGACGAGGGTGCGAGCTTTGTTCAACTTCTATACCTATCGGAGATATCTCAGCAGAGCCTGGATGGTTCAAGAACTGTGTCTTGCCAAGAATGAACCTCTGATCCTCTTGGGGGAGCACACGATAACACTCGACAGCATGTGCCAGCTTCAAGAAACGTTTGCAGGGCATCCAACAATGCCATATCTTACACATAAGGAGCCAGATGGAAACGCTGGTATGGGTTTTGAGATCACTTGGATTGCGAGAATGCGGGCCAAGCTCCATCAGCTCGACATTGGGGGAGACCACGAGCAAAGATCTAAGTTACTCATGGACGACTTGTGCGGAGTCAAGCGTGGTGCGAAGATCACGCCAAAGACTGTTCATTGCGCTGTCTGGGAGGAACTCCTCTGTACGCTGCACCAGAGACGATCGTCTGATCCGCGGGATTTGATATACTCCTTGATTGGTCTCGCCAATCGCTTCTCAGGGGCATCGCACCCACAAGACTTCATCCGGCCAGACTATACGTCAGATGTGGAAAAAGTCTACGTGGATTTTACCGCCCAGATACTGACCTATTCTTCGAACCATCGCATACTGTCCCTTGCGTCCGCGAGGCCGACCGAGCCGGCTGATCTGGACACACGACTCCCCAGCTAGGTTCCAAACTACAGCACTTGCAACCTCTGGCAGCCCATCCATGTGACCTATGCGAGCTTGATGGAGAAGGTCGATTCTTTCAGTCCAGTAGAACCGGCTTCAATGCTGCTGAGTCGACGCGAACGTTTGCGCCGGACAGTCAGGCGAGGTCTTGGTGTTTTGGCGCACGGTTCAGGGCAGGACGCACGGTATGTTGTCGAAGGTCGCGAACTGATCGCGAGTGCTCGCCACGGTAGCGAGGTTGTAGCTGTCTACAAGGCTCTCGATCAACTTGCTTTCAGATCTGAACCAGGCAACATCTTCGTAAGCACGACCAGCAGGATGCTGCAAGCCATTGTCACGGCTCTCGAAGTTTGCATTGCGTATGGAAAAGTTTACCGGCCTTCTGGCGAGGACATCGTTGAGGCGGTTTGTGGTCTCCTTGCTGATGCAACGTCCGACACTCAGAGCAGAGACTCCATCGAGGATCAGATTCACGATACCTTGTGCGAAAGTGTAGCAGAGAGTTATTCATTTGGTTTGCATTCGTCACCGGCCTTGGCCCGCCTAAACTCATGCTTGTCAGCCTTGCAAGGGCACAAAGGTATCTCGAGCGAAGCGGAGTTGGCTTCTTCCCGGGAACGTGGCGAGATGGTGTACGAGCAAGGCCAAGACATATTCTTAGGCTCTCATTACACAATGGAGCAAAAGGAGGAGGTGGCTCGTTCCTCGAGTAATACCCTGAACTTCTACGGTGTGGACGAGTACAGCCTGTTTTGGACAAAGGCTGGATATTTGGGAAAGACTACCAGTGTTCCAAGCAAAGGCGACGAGTTATGGTTACTCTGCGGTGCCAATATGCCATTTATTCTGCAGCCGGCGGCAAACGGAAAGTATAGATTTGTGGGAGAGACTTTCGTATGTGACGCAATGCATGGAGAGATGGTGCATAGAGGCATTGCGGGTGAGATCGAAAGTATTCGAATTGTCTGAGGGTAGAGCGGGACGGCGGTGACCGCCTCAGCGGCTGCAATAAGTTTCATCGGACCATCTTGGATTTAAGTAGAGCAAAGTGGTGAACCTCTGATATCTTCACAGCCTGGCCATAACCTTCATCAGGTTACAGTTCATTTACTGATGAAGTCCTTAGTCGCTTGAAAGCCATTGTGTGACTCCTCTTTGTGGGCTGATGACGAAGTACTTCGAACAATAACGCCTCATGTGTTATTTTAACACATCTGACATACTCTGATATGACGCAGATCGGCCAACGATCCTTTCCTGACGCAAATGTCTTCAGAACTCTAGTCAGCCATGGATATCGATGCCACCGGCAGAGAAACTGTCGTGGTACAAGGACTGAAAGACCAATGCACAAAATTCGAAACCCTCCTACAGCAAGCAGAGACTCGGTACATCCGGCAGGGGCTCCAGTTTCACTGCATGACCCCATCGAGCGACTGGCCTCTGGGCCAGGTGCGCCAAGTTAGAGCAGTATTTACTGTGACGGATGACTACAGCCTTGAAGCTGCATCCGGCAACAAATTTGTCACGAGGCTTGAACATCTCCATCGGCAGCTGGGAATAGCGAAAGGTTACCTTGAAGCTGAAAATCTCCAGAACTTGCAAGATCTGCTCGACAAAGCTGCTGCAGAGTTCACCGCATTCAACACTGACTTGAGCAACATCGATTCTATCGCAAAGGAACTGGCTGCTCTATCTGGCCTTCGTGACCTGTCTGTGGATAACAAGGCTAAGCCTGAGAACGAGCCCCATGAATTAGTTTTCGTGCCAACAAAGCCCTCTGGTCGTGGGTGATGGAATTGCCATTGGTGAAAGGGTGGTTGAGGCAGGCTTTCGTGGTCTCTGAGGAACATGCATTCGTGAAGGCGGTCAAGGTTGGGGACACGGAGGTACAGAAGAAGTTGCTCTGGATGAGTGGATGAACTACCAGAGAATATCTTTCATTAGCTAGAAAGTCCAAACGAAAGAAAAAAGTTCCATGAAGCTGTTATTACCCTGTTGCTCGTCTGCTCGCACAGCCTCGCGGCGCACCTTCCCCCCTTCACACTCCATGAAAGCATGCAAATGACACCAAGGTTTTTCAAACGACCTGACGTCCACCTTCCACTGTCTCATTGTCGTAAATTCCGAGAGCCTCTCTCTGCTTTGCCAGCGCTTGTTCCGTAGTAGCTTCCTTGTATGTTGGCAAATTGTCCGCTTTGCTGGTGCTCTTTGTCCTCGCTGGAGCTTGTATATTCTGTGAGAAAAGTTCCATCTCCGCATTTCGATGCGCTTCGACTGTCTCAATCGTTCTGTCGATTCTCTTGCGAGTAGCACGCTTCTTTCGATGTACCGTGCAGCGCCGCACAAGACTTTGGATGAATGTCATGAGCCATAGAAAGACACAGACCAGCCCAATGGCTGCACCAGCTTTCATGGCTTCGTAGTTCGTGATAGCTTCGACTTCGACAGGCAAAGTGCTCTTGTCGCCGCCAAGGTAGATGATACCAAAGTAACCCGCCTGAGCCGACCAGAGGATGCAAAGCACAAACTCCACAATGATCCACCGGGTACTCTCGATGGTGTAGAAGTAGTGAAGTGCGCAAGTCATGAGAGAGAGCGTAGCTACGAACTCTGCGTAGATCCAGGCTGCTGGTGCTGTTGCATTCCCAGAGCTGAACTTAGCGAGGTCGACTGTGTACAGGATGACGACGATTATCGCGAGCAGGCATTGAAGCGTTCGAGATAGGACTTTGATCGCGAATGCCTTGTGACCGTCTTTCCAGAGCTGAGGTAGACCCGCTGGTACGAATAAGGTGATGAGGTTGGATGGCATAATCCTCGTGGTAGCGAGCGTGGGTTGAGTGGATGACTGGGCGTTTGCTGGCGGTCTCCAGGCTGTTCAGGCCTTGTCGCTGTTGTCGTACCGTTGACCGATGTAGATACCGATGGCTTTGAGCTGTGAGTAGAATGAGGGCAAGGAAAGAGAAAATGTGAGAATGAAGGGAAACAAAGATCGAAAGGTTCTGCAGTCGAAAAAAAGGGATACGTCCTCCACCCGAATACGAGGCATGTCGGTCGCACCAGTTAGGTGAGGTCAGGAAAATGACGAGCACGCCCGTCGGCACTGACAACGGCATATGTGAAATATCCAATAGAGTGAAGAGCGGAGCCACGACCTAAATAAAACGATTGGCAATGACTTGACGAGAGACAAGAGGCGGGTCGCTTTTGAGCGAACACGAGGGCGGACTAAACCCGAATACGAAGTTTTACAACCGTTGTTTACCGAGACGTCAATTGCCTGGTACTTCCACGTCTCCCTGAACATCGCATGAGGGTACTTGTCTCCCGTTGCATGCCGCTTCGTCGGAAATTTGCAAACTTCGTTCTCGATGTTCAGATTGAAGCGGCTGTGTTGGTTGGTATGAGCCTAGCCTTGTCCCACTGCCATTGCAAGAGTGTAGATCTTGATTGGGAAGGCCATGGAGACACGAAGTGACGCGACTATGCCACCAAAGTGGTGCTCCGCGGGCCACGACTAGATAGTAGTGGAACACTGCGAGTGTCGTATAAAGACTCCAGCAAGAGCAGTAGTAGGTCCTGCTACCATCATCACTTTTCGACCTGCGATCATGCGGCTCCATCACTACACTTCCTCAGTTGTCTTGACCTTGTTAATAGTCGCAGTAAAAGCCAAAGAGCAGACCTGTAAATGTGTAAGCGTCGGAGCATCACATGAACAGAACACCGACTGAATCGACATAGATTCCCGGGGACGACTGCTGGCCGTCAACCGATTCCTGGAATGCATTGAACGGCTCCGTCGAAGGCCGACTGATCAGAGGCAATCCACCAGCATCCGTCTGTTATCAGCAGGAGCCAAATTACAACCCGCAAGCCTGCCAGACGGTGATTTCGAAATGGTCCTCTTCCGCGTGGCACGCCGCTGATCCCGTCAGCGTCGATGCCCCCGACGTCCATCGGGGTTGTTATCCGCTATATGAGAATGGCACGAACGTTCTCGGTGACCCGACTGCCGGCACACGAGGACGCACGACATCTGGGTGGTTCTCCACGTACGTCATCAACGCTACTGAGGATAGCCATGTTCAAGAGGGTGTTCGATTTGCAAGAGCGCATGGTCTTCGGCTGAACGTGAAAAATACCGGGCACAATACCAATAGTGAAGCTCCTGGCAGCTTGTCTGTCTGGACTCACTACTTGAAGAGCATTCAGTTCACGAAAAAGTGGCTGCCTCAAGGGTGTCATCTGCCAACGGAGGACTCCCGCATGGCTATGACCTTCGGTGCCGGCGTGCAGGACCGCGAAGCATTCGAAGCCGCCGGAAAGAATGATGCAGTTGTGGTGGGAGGAACGGATTCTACGGTCGGGCTCGTAGGCTGGTCCATTGCGGGTGGCCATGGGTATCTGACGGGAGGGTATGGAATGGGTGCAGACAACATTCTCGAAGCAAAGGTCGTGACCATGGATGGGAAGGTTTTCATTGCCAATGAGTGCCAGAACAGCGATCTGTTCTGGGCCATTCGCGGAGGAGGGCCTTCGTTCGGCGTACTAACATCCTTGACGATGAAAGCGTATCCGATGCCAAATGCGACGATGTGGTCGATAAATCTCGCAGCTCTGAACGAAACGACCGACGTGGAGTGGTGGAGAGTGGTTGCCGGGTTCCACTCCTACCTACCTGCTCTGAAGCAGGCCGGATTCCAAGGGTACATCACGGCAGGCGGACCGCCAATGACCCTGACTGGTGCCATGTTCGCCTACAATATGAGTAACAGCTCTACATCAGCGGCAATGGCACCGTTGCACTCGTACCTGCAATCGCAAGCCAACAGCACGTCAGTATCAGAAAGCAGGGCCTCTGTACTAAGATGGATCGACATTTACCATATGTTCAACCTTACTCTTGCTGCTGGTGGAGAAGCTGGCGCTGTCAGTTCTCGTCTGATTTCTGCGAAGGCGTTAACAGAGGACCTGGAATTTCTTGCGGATGTCTTGAGTCAAGTGGGCCCAACCAGTGGACAAGCAAGCGTAAGTAGTGACTCCTTTGTTATTCCCGCACGTAACTGATTCCCTCTGTGCAGGGTGACATATCACAAAATTCTATCTCTGGCTCCTTTGTGGCCAGCCCCGAGCCCGTGGACAATGCACTGAATCCTGCCTGGAGAGATGCGCTGGTACATCTTCGCATTTCAAACTCGTGGAGTATGGATGTTCCCCCGGAAGAAGCCAGAAATGCCACTAAGTCCATGACTGAAGTCACTGGCTGTGCTCTTCGCCACTTGGAACCCGATTCCGGTGCTTACTTCAACGAGGTAAGTTACACCTTTGAGAAGTCTTTCAAAACATTGGCTGACCGTCATTCCACCACCAGGCAGATCCAAATGAGCCGGATTGGCAGTCGAGTCTGTTCGGTACTCATTATCCTCGTCTGCTGGCTGTCAAGGAGAAATACGATTCCGAAGGCATCATGTGGTGCCATCATTGCGTAGGCAGTGAGAACTGGAGCTTTGGAGAGGAAGGCGGACTCTGTCGACAAGGCTGATTTTCAGCTTGACCAGGATCGAGGGGCATTACTGTATCGGCTTCAAATACTGGGCTGTTGTTCTTTTCTTTCGTCGCACGAGAGCATTCACGGTCCAGGGAGAGGAGTTGCATAGAAGAGGTAATGAGTCGCTCGTCGCCATGCAGTGGGTCCACATCCTAGAGCAGTTAACAGGTCTGCAATATGAACGCAGTAGCAAGGACCATGTCTCTCCGCTACCATCTTATTCGAACGACGGACGTAGGCGGATGGAAGCAACTTTCGAAAGATTTTTCTGGGCCACTTCATGTCGCCTGGTAGCCGATGTCTTCAGACGATGAAGACGGGGAGAAACGCGTGAGGCTGAGGGGCTATACTTGTGGCTGGCGCAAGGACAGATCTTGGTAAACGCAACGCGTCAAGCACGTGTCGAGCACATGATACAAGAGGTTGCTGTTGCCGAAATGAGAAGGCTTATTGACCGTTTGCAGGATGTAGAGTCCAGATTCAGCGCGTACGGCGACAAGAGTAGCGGAGGCTGCAAGCTGCGATGATTGTTCGAAAAATTATGGCATGAAGTAATACTTCTCGGCATTCCTGCGCAGTTCTTCTCTAAAACTTATTGATGTTGTTGTTGTCGTGGGGAAAGACAGAACGCCGTGAGAGGCGAGGATAAAACAAGGCGCCAGATTGAGTTTTACGCCAAGCCAAATGTGGACTAAGCTCGGCTGACCTCCTTTCCACCAGCAAAGGAGTCCAACGTCTGTTCTGGACTTCGCCTCTTCCTTCTCCATCGGCCTCTCTGCGATTACATATGCCAACAAGCAGTGCGTCGCTCGTTGGATACTATTCTCGACATCATGAGAATAGCAAGCAATGTAAGTTGGTCTCCGACGTGCAACTGGTACTGTTTGTCTGCATCTAAATTTGCATATAGGAGACAGACTCCCGTCAAAGGGAGCTTGAGGCGTTGTCTATCTCAGCTTCTAGCGCCCGAGTGCCTGACTACGCAAGCCATGACCGACCGTTCAGGCCGTGTTAAGGCCGCATCTGGATTCAGCGCAACCTAATCAAGGTCAAACCTTACAGAGGCGTCCAGAATGGAAATGAAGGCGCATATCCGGTCCAGACCTTAGCAGAAGCTTGCCGACTTCACCTCCTCTGCGTGGCACAACGTCTCTTCGGCTGCCTCTGCGGTTCGTCAATTCTCTCTGTCTCTGCACTTTTTTCAACGTTGGCGCAAGCGCCTATCTACATGCCTCCTAGTTCCCGTCCTTGAGCAAGCACTGGCGGCCTCATGCCGCTACGACTGCCACAACGTTGTGGCATGAAGCCACAGCTAGGCCGTCTGGACTGGCCGCAGCCATGCTGAATGGAGGCTCGTTTGGACGCAAGTCCACCAGATGGCCTCAGGGAGGTATACGTCTGATCGCTGCCCACGTTCTGTCGTTTCTAGTTTGCTTCTTCTCGGAACATGTTGTGCTGATCGCACCCTTCTAGCTCTTCGTTGACAACGTTTTTTTATTTCTATATCGATGCCGTTTGAAGAGGACTGTTGTTTAAGGTCCCTTCGTCCACTTACTTGTTGATTTCCCAACACCCTCTCCGCCGTGGTTCCCACTCGTTCGGCCCGGCATGTTCGCCATCACTCTCGTTCTTTCCCTTCTTTTCGCGGTCCTTGCTGATGCTAATGCTTTTGCTGCGTTTGGACTCCCTGCGATTTTTCCGGGCTCGACAGCCACCACAGCTCCGGCACAGACAACCACAGCCGCAACGGCAGCATCAGAAAACCTCATAACAGCACTTGTACCACAAACGACAGTGAGCACTGCATTGGTTGGATACTGGAATACACACTGCAACAACACTCATTTCCGTGAGTTTGAAGAGGAGTTGGGCAACGAGGTGATATGCTTATGATGAGTCTTTAGATATTGGCACTGGCCCATGCGACTGCGGTCTCGATGGCCATGTTCCTCACCCAACGGGTGGTTTACACCCAACAGGCGGTTTGCCTGTCTCTTTTCCTTTTCCCCTGCCATCGGGAGCACCACTCAACTCGGCGAACGAAACGAACACCATAATCTCGAATTCATCGACTCCGGCATCGTCGATTATTAGCACGACATCGATAGACACGACATCTTCTACGTCTGCCACAGTAGCATTGAATACTACTTTACCGCTACCTAGCAATGCCACAGTCCCAACGAACAGCTCAATTCCAACCACGCCTGGCTCAGTTTGCCCTGGGTACGACAACCAGTTTTTCAACGATGAAAATGGAGCGGACTACAAAGTCTTTTGCAACACGGCGTTTGAGGGTGACACAGTTTCAGGCGTGACGAAGCGACAGAGTGGAGTCTCTGATCAGGATTGCATGAGCCAATGTGACGCGATTGATGAGTGCATTGCTGTGATGACAAGCGGAGGCAACTGCTTTTTGTTCAGCACGGTGGACGATCTTTTCGAGTTTGACGGAGCAACTGGGGCACGAAAAGTCTCCTCCACTGTGAGCAGCTCGTCAAGCAGCACAATTCAAACAGCAACGACGGTGGCGGCATCTACTGGACTTCCACACAACTCTGCCAACGACACTACTCCTGGCATTCGCCCAACTGGTGGTATCTTTCCAACAGGCGGCATTTTCCCAACTGTCCATCTCCCACAACCGACAATCACTTCGCCCGCGTCGATTCCGCTTATGACTGTCTCCGGAGGCTACATCCCCATCAACACGAACTTTACAGGCCCTTACTATAATCCGCACTGCCCAGGTAACGCTACTCACGTTCACCATGGCACTGAACCATGTGATTGTGGCGATGACGATGAACCGACGGCAGTCCCATCATCTGGAGTACCCATCAACAGTGCCAATGCCACTGTTAGTGTGCCGCTCTCTACTGGCGTTGCAGCGCCCCTGCCTTCCTCGGGCTTCCCAGTCAACAGTGCGAATTCTACTACCAGCGCTTTCATGACGGGTACTGGATTCCCACGGCCCCCGATCACCACGGTTCCACTGACGAGCGTTTCCGGAGGCTACATTCCTATCAATCACAACTTCACTGTGCCATATTACAACTCGCACTGTCCAGGAAATGCCACTCATGTCCATCATGGCACCGAGCCTTGCGACTGCGTTGACGATGATGAGCCGACCGCCACTCCAGGCCCTTCGTCAGGATTCCCGGTCAACAGCGCCAACAGCACGAACTCCCACGCTCCCTCGGCCACACCGGTGAACACAACTTCCAGCTCGACGATCACTACTTCATCTACTGCTAATCCAGCGCCACGGCCGTCCTCTGGCGTGCCTGTCAACAGCGCTAACGGCACCACCAGCGCGTTTCTGACAGGCACTGCACCTTCACCGACAACCGTATCGCTAACCAGCGTCTCCGGTGGCTACATTCCTATCAACCGCAACTTTACAGTACCATATTATAATCCGTAAGCGCTTCTCTACTAGCTCAGAGGCGTACATATGGCTGACACTCGATAGACACTGCCCAGATAATCCTAATCATGTACATCACGGCACTGGCCCTTGCGATTGCGTCGACGAGCCAACAGCAGCCCCTTCATCTGGTCGCCCAGTGAACAGCGCCAACTCGACGACGAGCCACTTCCTGACCGGCACGGCCCCATCTCCCCGTCCAACAACCGTCTCTTTGACCAGTGTCTCGGGTGGCTACATCCCCATCAATTCGAATTCCAGTGCGCCCTATGTCAACACCCACTGCCCGAATAATCCTGGCCACGTTCACCATGGTACAGAGCCATGTGACTGCATTGATGAACCTACCGCCGCGCCTTCTTCAGGCCGCCCAATCAACAGTGCTAATGCCACCACTACTCAAACGTCAACTTGGAGCTCGACCACATCTTCTCTGACTGTTTCATCGACTACCACCTCGTCGTCTATTCAGTCAAACACTACTATTGCGGAGCCTACTACCACGGCGTCAAACAGCTCCATCCCGGCGACTAGCACTGCAGCCAATGTCACTTCTGGCACTATCACTTCCGTGTCCCTGACCAGCGTTTCGGGCGGATACATCCCAGTGCAATCGAATTTCACTTTGCCATACATCAACACCTATTGCCCGAAGAACACGACGCACATTCACCACGGTACAGAAGTCTGCGACTGCATCGATGATGATGAGCCTACGCCGACTCCAATTCCAAGCAAGGGCTTTTCAGTGTCCGCCAACGCCACCACTCATGGCGTAGGGCCGACAGCATCTCCTGGCTTGTCTCACAGCCACCCGATTATTCCTACGACCGCGCCTCCTGCGATCAGTCTGACTAGCGTTTCCGGCGGCTATATCCCAGTCCATCAAAATTTTACGGGTAGCTACATCAATACCCACTGCCCTGGCAACAGCACGCATGTGCATCATGGGACGGAACCTTGCGGTTGTATCGATGATCACTCGCCGACTTCTACACCCAGCCTGAATGTGACAGTGAGCGCCACCACAACTTCGAGCCTTCCTATAGAGACGACAAGTTCCGCATCTGAGAGCAGCACCACATCCATTGCCATTGAGACTAGCACATCATCGTCATTGTCTTCTGCAACCACTTCTACATCGGCTGCTCCATCAAGCACGTACGCTCCGATCTGCCCAGCGGCAAACGGCACAGTCTTCAACGATGATTCGGACGTTGATTATCGAGTCTCATGCGATACAGCTTACGCCGGAACAACGATCACCCCTCCGTCAAGGCGCAGGTCGATGACAGACTCCGCTCAAGAGTGCATGTTGACTTGCGATACCATTGATGCTTGCATCGCGATCACTTATGCTACTGGCCAATGCACGCTCTTCAGCGATATCTCCGGCACCGCAGCCAGTGCTGGATCTACATCTGCGAAGAAGGTCCCTGCGGTCACCAGCACATCAAGTACTTCAAGCACGGAATTTTCGACCTCCACCACTTCTTCGGCTTCGTCGTCGCTCTTGATCACGAGCTCTGAAACGTCAACAACATCCACTCCAGCTCCATCGCTGACAAGCGTTTCTGGTGGCTATATTCCTGTCGATGGCAACTTCACAGGCAGCTACATCAACACTCATTGCCCAGGAAACTCAACCCATGTTCACTATGGCACCGAGCCATGTGATTGTGACTTGGACCAGCACACCGCACCTGCTTCGATCGATGCTTCGTCGACAGTGCCTGCAGTTTCGGCCACCAGCACTGACTCGGCAGTGGTTACATCAACTGCATCGTCGACTCCCGTTGCAACGCCCTCGACACTATTCGGTCTTCCGTCTGCTTCGCCTTCATCCTCGACATCCTCATCGACATCGTCCTTGGCTTCTCCGTCAACTGTTTTAGATTCCACGAGCACGTCGGCCTCTTCTTCGTCATCAGCCGCCGCAGCAACAACTTCTTCCGTGGATTCTGCAACGACGTCAGCCCCAGTTGTCTCCCTCACGAGCGTCTCGGGCGGATATGTACCTGCTGATCCAAGCTTCACTGGAAGCTACCTGAACACTATGTGCAGTGGAAATCATACTCACGTCCATCACGGCACTGAGCCATGTGATTGTGGCGAGGATCTGCCGCAGACAAGCGCCTCTTTCACAGAGTTCGTCAGCGTTCCGATGGTATCTGCGAGCGCGACTCAGACTGTCTCAACCTCTAGCACTGTGTCGACGTCTTCTTCAGCAGCCGTCCTCCCAACAAGCACATCGAGTTCCATCAGCTCCAGCTCAAGCAGCTCATCGTCTCACTCCAGCAGTGCATCCACAAGTAGCTCGTCCTCTCACACCAGCACTAGTACGAAGAAGGTGACGACAACAAGCAAGAAGACGACCTCGACGAAACCAAAGCAGACTGCAACTTCTTCGCTCAAAGCGCCTCCAACTCATCCACCTTTCCCGCCCTTCACACCGCCACAGAAATCGTCAACATCGAAGAAGCCAACGACAACTAAGAAGACTAGTTCCACGTCGAAGAAGATGACGGCTACGACTAAGCTGTCCAGCTCAACCGGCCACACTAGTGCTCCTACCACTGCCCATAGCTCCTCATCTACACTGCCGGCGTTACACACGAGCGTCCCAACTAGCGCGCAAAGCAGCTCGACGTCCAAGTCGTCTACTGCGGTCGCTACTCCAGCCTCGTCCAGCTCGAGTACGTGCACTGAGGAGGAGCATGGCTCGACCACGGCATGGCCCACATCTTCCTCCCACACAGTCTCTGTTCCAAGCAGCAGTGTTGTCCCTCAGTCAACCCCAACGCCGTCTAGCTCAGCCTCGCCGATCACCACTAGCTCGAGCACTTTGTCCACACCAACGTCAAGCAGCAGCATCTCATCACAGCCAGCGTCGACGTCGTTGACTTTCACTCTGCCCAGCATTAGCAGCTTCAGCTCTTTCCCCACATCCTCAACCTCGACCTGGTCTACCCTGGTGTCCAGCAGCAGCTTCAGCCTGAGCAGCAGTTCAAGCAGCAGCTCGACTCTCATCAGCAGCAGCAGCACGCTTTCGACAAGCACCTTGTCCACATCAAGCTCAAGCTCAAGCTCAAGCTCAAGCTCGTCGACTATCACCCCAACACCCTCAGCACCGGCAGTATGCCCCAGCTACGACGGCAAGACGTACAGCGACAACAACGGCGCACAATACAGCATGGCCTGCGACACCGCCTACTCCGGCACCGCGATCCCAGCAAAGATCAAGCGCTCCAACACCGCCAGTGTGCAAGATTGCATGGCATCCTGCGACTCGATCAGTGCTTGCATCGCCATCACGTACGTTCCGGGGCAATGCACGCTCCTTAGCGCAGTTTCCGGACAGGCCAAGGTCGTGGGAGCCACTGCCGCGTATAAAGCTTCTGCATTGAAGACGTCGACGACATCTTCATCGTCGTCGAGCTCGTCTTTTCTCGCGACCAGCTCCTCGACGCTCGCAACTACCTCCGCCGCCGCCCTCCCAACCACAACCGCAAAACCAAGCCCCTCATCAACATTCTCAACCCTCACAAAATCCACAACCAAAACTACCAGCAGCACCGCAAGCGCGACGCCAACCGTCCCAGCAGGCTCCAACCCCGACTGGCTGCCCTCCGACGTCTGGGGCCAAATCTCGAACTGGTTCGGACAGGGGAAGAAACCAACCGGTCAAGCACCACCGAATGCGTGGTCGCCGCCGGGCTGGGGAGGGAGTTATACCCCGGGGTATAGGGGCCCGAATGGGAGGTGGAATTACCGGGGATGAGGCAGGATGACGGGAAGACATCTTTGACGAGACGCAGTTCATGACGGCCATGGTTTGGCATACACAGTTTGGTTTTTTTGCGAGGAAGATATAGATATAGGGCTATTAGTGCGAATGAAAACGATATCAATGTACCTTTGAACTTCTGAATCTGTTCGGTTCTACGGACTGTCGCTGCTTGATCTTGAGGCTTCTACTTCATCTCCCGAGAGACTGCACCATTCTCTGAGACTCTGTCGTCCATCATCGTCCATCATCCAAGTTCGTGTCTTTCTCAAGGCCACCAAGTCCCCCTTCCCAAATCCCCCTTGGGCTGCTTAACGCCCTTCTGCGTGGTAAAAGAGCTAACCTCCTTCAAACTCCCAATTCGCCCCAACAAAAACTCCAAATGCCTATAAGCCGCCGAGGGCTGATACTCCGGCACCTCATGCCCACTCAGACTGACCGCCACGAACGTCAGGCCCCTCTCAGTGACATACCCGCCAAACACGCCACTGCCGGCGATACTCCCCTCGGCGGCTTCTTCGTGGAAAGGCACGTAGAAGGGCTCCGTGGGCGGCGAGGAGAAGCCCTGCTTGCCGTTCCAGGTGAGGTTGTTGAGGGTCAGGAGGGTACCGTTGGCGATGAGGACCATATCGAGGGCGCCGTGGCCGACGATGACGTTGTTGGTGTGTTCGATGACGCGTTTGATGGGCCCGTTGTTGGCGCCGGAGGGCGGGGAGGTGTCGCCTTGTTTGCCGACGAAGACGTTCACGTCAGTGCAGATCTGCCAGTTGGTATGTTGCGGGGCGTGGATGGCGGTTTTGACGTCGCTGCGGTTGAAGTAGGGTTGGGGGAAGCCGACGGGGCTGACAATCACTTTTATTAGCGATCTTGTTGAGGGTTTGTTTTGGGTGTGGGTGACGACTTACAGGTAGAAGACTGATGGGAAGCCGAGCACGTCCCATAGCAGGGGACAGAGCTGGCCGACTTGGTAGATATCCCAGCAAGGGTTGATATCATACGCGGCGTTCGTGACGGGCTCGAAGACCTCGCAACCCTCGATTGAACTCCCACTCGGGTCTGACTTATTGACTGACGGAGGATCAATGAAGTGGCCTTTCGGCGGGAATTGTAAAGCGTTCTCGATATACGCATCGTAGCCACACGCTGCGCTGCGGTTGTAGATCTTCTCCCTGAATGTGTCGTTGAAGGGGAAGTCGTTGCGATTAGAATCGATAAATGGCCTGGAAGCCACCTCCGAAGCCAGCTGGTATTGGATGCTAGGGTCATAGATCAACATGCCACTGACGTTGAAGTACTTGGTGTCGTTCTTCTCCAACATGGCGTCTGCGATGTATGGGCAGTACTGTCCGGCGTAGGATTCTCCGGTAATGTAGAGCTTGCGGTTGTGCAGATCGAAGAGGTCGACGAAGTTCTTCCAGAATGGCAGGAATTGGTTCGCCACGTCGAGTTCGTTGGTGGCGTTGGGCTTGCCTTGGGAGAAGCCGGTGCCGACGGGTTGTTCGATGAAGACCATGTTGGTTAGATTGCTCCATGCCCAGGTGTTGGGGACTGGGAGGAAGGTGCCGGGTTGCCAGACGACGGGGCCCTGGGATCAGAAGTGTCAGAACATCATTGCCACTCAGATATGTCTACAATTCTTACATTCTCGTGAAAGAAGCCATCCAGACTACTACAACCCGGTCCGCCATTGAGCCTACAACACAGTCAGCCACCCCACCCACCCAAGTAACAACCTCAGAATCTTCACACACCAAATCGTAATCTCATCCTTCGCGGCCGGATTCGTGCTCGGCACAAACCAAAAGAACAGCTCCTTGGAGTGATCAATCGGCAACAAGCCACTGTAGCTCTCCCCGATGTTAAAGTCCACCTCCGGCAAAGCAGAGCCATTGACCCAGTACGGCTTCGTCTTCTTATTCAAGTAATGATTCGGCGAAGGTCTCGAAGGCTGATGGAGTTGTCGTTTGCGCAGACTTCGCTCCATCCCGCCTTTGAAACCTCGTTCGCGAAGATTAGCATGGCGTGAGGAGAGGCCGGCGTTGACGACGGCTGTCGCGCAGCTTATCAGTAGGAGAAATGCTTTTTGCGCCAACATCTTATGCTGAGTAGTGTCAAAGAAGAGGAGGTGGAGGGAAACAAGACAAGCAGTCTAGGCGAATGCTTGAACGGAAAGCTTGGGACTTTCTTAAAAAACACCAGCAGCACACACCACAAACAAGCAAACTTAACAATGGCGCTGCTCTCCACTCTTTCGTGTTCGAACCCGCGCCCGACTCCTCCATCGTCGTGCAACATGATGATACGGGCAGCAGCTTTGACAACCTGCAGGTACCCCGTACCAAGCCCAAGTAGGAAGCTCGACATTCGACTGATGCAACCTTGCCTCTCGATCGCATCTGTTAGCTCGAGCGCTCGTGTGCTTGGATGTGTGCCCACGTCATTGTTTTTGTGCTGCTGTGCCTGGTTGTGTCGTTGCATGGTTCGACCATGCAGTTGATTTCCAGGTTGCCCGTTGTTCCGGACCGTTTGGCGCGAATCGCGCGACCAGAGGTCGTGTCGTGTTCCGTGGGATCGACTTGTGACGGCGCGATCGCGTCACTCCCGCCGGCATTGTTCGTGCTTGTTTGCGGGACAGGCAATGTATGTAGCTCAAGTGTCATCAAGAGTTTGTGCTTGAGCAGCTTGGCCTCAAACACCTGATGTCGAAAGAAGGGAGTGAGAGGAAGGCGAAGGAAGTTGGGTCAGCGCTTCCATCGGTTGTTGCCGCCCTTGCTTGCAAGGACTCCATTAGGAAATAGAGTTCTCCAAAGCTTCAGAGCGAGAAATTCTGTGAGGGACCTGTGTACAACAAAGGGAAGCTTCACCGTCCCTCTCATTCAAACATACGTACAGACAAGCGCCGTATCTCCTCTCCTAGAGTACAATGCAGCTTTTCGACTGGTATGAGCCACTAATAGCCTCAAATCAACAACCCCACGAAGCAGTCAGTCTATGGTTACTCTTCCTCGTCCTTCTCAGCCAGCAGCTGTCTCCTGGCCTCCTCCTCGTTCTCGTACTCCTGCTGCTGGTGCTCGCGCAGTTCCCTGACACGATCGGCTGGGCCCGGGAGACGGCCGATGCGGTCGGCAATTTGTCCACGGCCGATCAACGAAGCGACAATGCTAGCACCGACGATGAAGGTCAGGACGAAACGGTAGACCCCGTACCACGGTGGAGCCCAGCCATTCTTCGAGGCGCGCGAGTCGGTGTAGTACAGGAAGTTGAAGATCAAGAACTGCGAGATGAGGGCGTACTCCACGGGAAGGAGAATGGTAGGCCAAGCGAGAGCGGTAGAAATGACACCGATCGAGTAGCGCGAGTAGCCGTGCTGGCCGCCGTACTTGGCGAATTCAAGGCCCCAGTGGATGGCTCCAAGGAAAGAGATGATCTCGAATAAACGTTAGCAGGTGTTGCACAGGTTGGGGGAATATACCGACCGTGGCGCCGTAGCCAACCTGCAGAGGCTCAAGGATGTGGAGCATGAGCTCAGCGGTCTTTTCGCTCATGAGGAAACCGACGCCATTGGCCGCGGCGTGGTTGATCTCCCACGCGCAGTAGATGGTGCTGGCCGAGGTTGCCACGTAGGGCAGGACACCAGCGAGACCAATGTAGTAGGCCTGTCTGGGGACATCCTCCAGGCTGAAGGTATCACGAATGGTTTGCTATATCCGCGTCAACACTCTTGTCCTGTGCAACACTTCCGACAATCTCCGTACCAAGTCTGTCTTGACACCAGCCAGCATCTCAGTATCCCGCTCGCCGCTCTCTTCAGTCTTGGCCTCTCCGAGGACAGGGTGAATCGAGGAGGTGCTGCTAACGTGGGCAGGATCGACTTCCAGCTTCTGCTGGGCAATGCTCTGTTCGCGCTTGGTGTCGATCGTGTCCATGGGGCCGCGGGTGTTGCTGGACTGAGCACGCATGAGCTGCAGGGCCAATGGCTTGCCCACGGCGAGAGCCTGTGGCCGGCGGGTGGATAGAGTGCATAGTTGCGACCTCAGTTGCGGGCGGAAGGCAGACTGGGTGTTGCGGAGGGTGGGTTGGGCATTGAGGGAGCGGAGGAGGCTCCGTGTCGCGCCGTTGCGGAACATGGTGGTCGTCAGAGTCCTGGAATGGAGGCAAGAGGGACAGTGACGGCCAATTGACCTGGACGAGTCGCTGTGAGAAGGGGAGGAGTGGAGAATGGTGGGTGATCGGGCAGTTGGCGGTGGTGGTTGCTGTGAAGCTGGCTAGGATAAGGGAGCTCGGCGATGCCAAGCTTTTTGAGACTGAACCACGCCCGAGCTCACCAGCGTTTGGCAAGGACATGGTAACAGCACTTCAATTGAATGCTTAGCCACTGAATCAATATTTGGTTGACCTCTCTTTCAGTGGCTTCATTGCCTCTCATCACATTGCAAATGTAAGTTGTTTATCATCAGCGAAAGTGATAGAAATTGTCCATTTCGATTTCTGCCAGCAACAACAACAATGACGTAGGAAGCAGCAAAGCACTTTGCAGTTGCAGGAGCAGGCTTCCAGGTAGAGGGGTGGGCGAGTGGCACGCGCTAGGTACATCCATCTCTCACTCTCTTGTGCGTCTACGTGTAATATCTCCCTACTCCCCCACCAACGACTCCGACGGCCATCAGTGCAGACGAGTTCGTGTTCCTTCCTTTGGATTGTTTGGGCTGCCAGTGATACCCATCGCGCGTTGCATCACCACTTCTTCACCTGCCCGCCTTTGAGACCGCATTTCGAACCTGTCGATACCAGCCGACGACGACGACGACGACCTGCGACGATTCACGTGCTATTATGAGTTGACGAGATACATGTCCTAATCATCCACCGCCTCTCGCCACCTATACCCCTCTTTAAACCTTCCCCGGCCTGGGTAACGGCCTCACACCGCCGCCATGGTGTTGGAGAGCCTGGTCGCCAACCTGCTGAACAGGTTTCTGGGCATGTATGTTCGGAACTTCGACCCGAAGCAGCTGAATGTTGGCATCTGGTCAGGCGACGTCAAACTGAGAGATCTCGAACTGCGCCGAGAAGCACTCGATCAATTCCACCTCCCTCTCAATGTGGTCGAAGGACACATAAGCTCTTTAGTCCTGAAGATTCCGTGGTCCAATCTTCGAGGGCAGCCTGTGCGCATCAATATCGAGGATGTATTCCTGCTTGCAGCGCCCAAGGAAGACGAAGCATACAATGCCGAAGAAGAGGAGAAACGGGCACACGCTGTCAAGATGGAGAAGCTGGACAGCGCTGAGCTGCTCAAGGAACGCAATACTGAGGGCATGTCGCAAGAGGAGCAGCAGAAACAGCAGTCCTTTACTGCTGCCTTGACAACCACAATCATCGACAATGTTCAGATTCAGGTCAAGAATGTGCACATTCGATACGAAGATGCTATATCCGACCCCGGACACCCATTCGCTGCCGGTCTCACACTGCAAGAGCTGAGTGCTGTTTCGACCGATGAGAACTGGAAACCCACGTGGATTCAAGGAAACAGCGCCACCACCCACAAGCTTGCGACATTGGGCTCTCTGGCAGTGTACTGGGATACTGACACACAACTGCTGGGCACAGGAAGTGGCCAACAAGATGCTAAAGAGCAGGGCCTTGATCACAATCAAATGATGGAGAAGTTCAAGGAACTCATTGTCAAGAGTGATAGTGAAGCGGTCAACGAGCACCAGTATATACTCAAGCCCGTATCTGGTCGTGCTGGGCTAGAGATGGACAAGACAGGCAAGCATGATCGCCCGAAGATGAAAGCACGCCTGTTGTTTAACGAGCTCGGTTTCGTGTTGGACGACCAGCAATACCGCGACGCCCTCATGCTGGTGGATCTGTTCCACTACTTCATTCGACACCAGGAGTATCGAAAGTACCAGCCAGAAAAGTCACCGAAGGAAGATCCTCGCGCGTGGCTTCAGTTCGCTGGGAAAGCTATACTGGACAAAATCCACGACAAGAACAAGCGCTGGTCGTGGGCGTACTTTGCTGAGAGACGGGATGACCGCAAAGCATATATCAAGCTCTTCAAGAAGAAAAAGCAGGAAGAGAAACTCACGCCGGATGAAACCAAAGAGCTTGAGACACTCGAGCGGAAACTCTCGTACGAAGACTTGCGCTTCTGGCGGTCTTTGGCCCGAAATGAATTGCGCAAAGAAGGTGCTTTCAATAAACCCAAGCCACAGCAGAAGACATGGACATCGTACATCTGGGGATCGTCCAATACGCAGAAGCAGGACGATGCTGCGGACGATAGCCAGATGACAGACCAGCAACGAAAAGAGCTCTACGAAGCGATTGATTTCGATGAGAAGAAGAGCATCACCGAAGCTGTCGATGCTCCTCGTGACGCGATCAAACTCCAAGTCGACATGAATCTGAAAGCTGGCAGCTTTACGCTCAAGCGCGATCCGCATGGCAAGAAACAGGACATGTTGAGACTGCTGTTTGAGGACTTCAGCACCGAATTCGTACAGCGCACAGACTCTATGTTGGTAGACTTGAGTCTAGGCGGCATGCGCTTGTTCGATGGTTCTACAGAAGGCAATCTCTTCGAGCAAATGCTGAGCGTGAAAGACTCGCCACCTGTACCCGACGATCAGAGAATTCAAGAACTTGGCGAGGATGGCGAAGCCTTCAGCGAGGCAAAGGAGTCTCAAGACGACGAAGAGGACGAGCAGGATCCATTCTTCGCGCTGTCATTCGAGAAGAACCCGTTGGACAATCGGGCAGACTCAGCTTTGACCGTCAAGCTGAAAGCGATGGAAGTGGTGTACAACCCGAACTTTGTGGTACAAGTGACGAAGTTCTTTAAGCCGCCAGAGAAACACATGGAATCCATTGGCGCTCTGATGGAGACGGCTGGATCTACTGTCGAGGGCATCAGACAACAGACCCGCGCCGGCTTGGAGTACGCCCTGCAAGAGCACAAAACCATTGACGTGCAGATGGATCTCCAGGCACCTTTGATCATCGTACCAGACACAGTTACCAAGAAGAGCACCATCTGTCTGATCTTAGATGCCGGTCATGCCAGCGTACGGAGCGAGCTCATTGATAAGGACACCATCGCCAAGATCCAGAACAAGCAAAAACAGCAGTACACCGAGCGAGACTACAAGAAGCTTGAATCACTCATGTACGACAAGTTCCAGCTGAAGCTCGATTCGACTCAAGTCTTGATCGGTACTACCGTAGACGAGACGAAGAAGCAACTGGAAGACAAGACTGCCAGTCGCAATTTCCACCTGATCGATAGAATCAACATGGACTTCCAGGTCGATACTTGCATTGTGCCCAAGGCTGCGGACTTGACCAAATTCAGGGTACAGGGACATCTGCCTGTCCTGCATGCCAAGTTCTCCGATGAAAAGTACAAGAAGCTGATGAAGCTGCTGGACTTTGCCATTCCCAAGTTTGACCAGCCTGAAGCATCCAAAGGCGGCAAGGAGGGACCAAAGTCAACGGATAGCGATGCGCTGAACCCTAGGAGGAAAAGCGAAGCTACACGGCCACGCGGTAAATCGTTCCAGGGCAGACGCGAGGACGATCTTGCGAACGAAGTCGAAAAGGGCGCCGAAGAGAAGCAAGCTGATCTACAAAAGGGTGGTGACAGCTCGAGTAAGAAGAAGCAAGAGGCTAACCCCGAGCAACGCAACTTCGAGTTCAAATTCACAGTGGACAAGTTACAGGGCTCATTGTACAAGGCTGATCCAGAGGGGAAGCACGAAGACCAGCTTCTCGTCGATCTTGTGGCGGAGACTTTCTATCTTGAGTTCTACCAACGTGCCTTCGACATGGTTGCAGATGTCAAGCTTAGGGCACTTGCGGTTGAGGATCACGTCGAACAGAGCCCGGCCGAGGAATTCAAGAACCTGATCTCCAGCGAGGACTTGGTCAACAAGAAGAAGCAAGACCTCCTCACCATCCATTTCCAGATGGTGCAGCCAAGCCATCCGGAGTTCCACAGCAAATACGAGGGTATCAAGACCAACCTCGATGCCGTGGTCTCCACCATCAACTTGATGGTCACGAGAAAGACGCTTCTCACGTTGCTAGACTTCGTCATGGTCACCTTCGCTGATGGTGGTAGTGGCTCTCAGCAAGATACCAAGACCAAGCAGATAGAGGAGAAAGAAGCCGAAGAGCCCCAGAAGAAACAGGACGGTGACAAGATTCGCATCAACGCCAAGCTGAACCGAATAACAGTCATTCTAAACAACGACGGAATTCGCCTTGCCACTCTCAGCTTGACTTCTGCAGATGCCAAGGTGGAGCTGATGGGCAAGAAGATGCGCATTGGTGCCAGACTAGGGGCATTGGACCTGGTAGACGACATCAACCAGGGCGTCTCAGAAGACTCGGCACTGCGACAGTTGGTCTCCATACAAGGCGATGATCTCGCCGACTTCAGATATGAGACCTTCGACTCTACTGCTGCGGACTACCCAGGCCACGACAACTCGATCTTCCTCAGGTCTGGTTCCATCAAGATCAACTTCCTCACCGAGCCATTCAGGAAGATCATGGAATTTGGTGTCAAATTTGGCAAAATGCAAGCAGTGTTCAATGCTGCACGTCAAGCCGCTGCAAACCAGGCTACCAAGGTCCAAGAATCTGCTGGCAAGACGCACTTCGATATCCTCATCAATACGCCCATTGTATCGTTCCCGCGCATGGTCATTACGGATAACCCTGAGCGAGACATGATGACAGCGTATCTGGGCGAGATCTACGCGAACAACAAGTTCGTGCCTATCGACGGTTCCGACGACAACGAGACGGCGAACAAGCTATCCGCTGGCATTCACAACATCAGGCTGACGTCAACCTTCCACTACCCCGAATCGAAGTTTGAAGAGCTTGAGATGATCGACAAAGTGAACTTGGACTTCAATATCACTCAGACAGAGCACAAGCCTGGGCGCGATCGTCCAGACACGGAGATTGAAGGTTCGATGTCCAACATCAATCTCCGACTAACAGAAGCCCAGCTCAAGTTTGTTCTAGAGCTTTCAAGGGCAATTCCCCAGGCGTTTGCCTTGGAAGATGCTGGGGATTTGGAAGAAGAGGCCCAGGAAGAAATCCCTGACCATCTCGCTGAGCCAGCCAAGGCCATACAAAACAACGGCACTGACAAGAAAGCAACGAACGGCGAAGTCGCAAAGCCCTCACACCAATCGCCCGAGCTGGGTTCCGACAAAGACACTTGGACGAAGCTCGACTTCATCTTCAAGGTCGGCGCGGTCGGTCTGGAGCTGGTGCAAGGCAAGCCAGAGGCGCCCGTCGGTGATCTGGAAGCTGCAAGTCTCTCCAAGTTCTCACTCAATGAGACGAGTGTCAAAGTGCGAATGATTAGTGACGGCGCACTTGAAAGCGAGCTTCTCATCCAATCTTTCACAATCACCGACACGAGAACCAATCAGAAGAACAAGTTTCGAAAGATCATGTCTCTGATCAACGATGATGTCAAGCAGCAGTTCATGGCAAGCGTGTCTATCTCCGGCGGAGAAGAAAAGAATCTCATCGCACTGCTCACTGTGGATAGCCCGAGGGTCATTCTCGCCTTGGACTATCTCTTCGACGTCCTGAACTTCGTTCAGAATGGCCTCAAACAAGATGAACCTCTCCAGGTCGAAGAGTCAGAAGAAAGCAATGAGGGCGAGGACGACGATGCCAGTGTCTCAACACAGGAGATCGTTAGGCGCAGGGAGACCGAGCACGAACAGAGCAAGGACGGTCAGCCGAGGGCTGGCATGGGTATTTCGTTCCGTGTCAACATCGTTGATGCGCAAGTCATGCTCATTGCCAACCCATCTATAAACAATTCCGAGGCCATCGTTCTTGGCGTGAAGCAAGTCTTGGTGTCTCAACAGCATGCCATGACATTGCAGGTCGAGAAGGTCGGTATGTTCCTCTGCCGGATGGATCAATTCGAAACGAATCGGTTACGAATCCTTGACGACTTTAGCATTCAGAGCTCTGTCGACATGCGTTCGCAAGGTGAAGACTCGTCGTTGACGAGCATACACGTTGATATTGAGCCGATCGTGATGCGCCTGTCTCTGCGAGATATCATGCTTGCGATGCAGATCTTCCAGCGAGCCTCTTCGTTATCAGCAGGCGAAGACAAGAAGATGTCCGACGAGGCCCCCAAGAAGATCGATCAGGTCAAAGCTCAGTCCACGAAGTCAGTCAAGAAGGGTGCCAAGTCTGGTGCGAAATCGACGCAGAAGGTGACGGCTAAGAGTATCAGCACCAAAAAGTCGACTCCCACCAAGCCTGGTGAGGACAAGCCAGCTGGTTCGGCTGTTCTCAAGCGTGAAGAGATGCGCATCACGATGGACGGAATCCGTGTGGTGCTCATTGGCGACTTGCACGAATTGCCAATGCTTGACTGGAGCGTCAAAAAGTTCAACGTTGACGTGCGCGACTGGACCGGTAATATGACTGCCGACACCAGCATCGACACGTTCTTCAACGTCTACAACTTCTCTAAGTCTGCTTGGGAGCCGCTCATAGAGCCATGGCAGATGGGTTTCCACGTGGCCAAGGAGACCAGCCCTGACAAGCTAGCTGTCGAACTCTACTCGAGGAAGTCTTTGGAGCTGACCGTGACGAGCGCGACAATTGCACTGGCTTCCAAGAGCGCCCAATTCCTCTCATCGGACGAAGATGTTTTGTCCAAACCGAGAGGCAACGATGCGCCGTACCGCATTCGAAACTGGACCGGCTTCGATGTGGATGTCTGGGCTAGCTCAGACGACAACGAAGAAGGCCAAGCCGCGAAGCTAGCTGATGGCGAGGAGCAACCATGGCGTTTTGAGGACCCCACTACCACTCGTGAGACCTTGACTCCGGAGGGACAGACTGGAGTCATCGGTGTGCGATTGGAAGGCAGCGGCTTCGATAGCGTGGACCGCATCCAGGTCAATCGCGAGGGTGAGAACCTTTACAACCTGAAGCCGAGAAAGGACAAGGTCCAGCATCGCATGCTCGTCGACGTGACTCTGGGTACTGACAACGTCAAATACATCACACTGCGCTCGCCGATGTTGGTGGAGAACCATACCCAAATACCAATTGAACTGGGAGTCTACAGTCCTGATGAAGGCCACCTGTTGAAGATCGAGAAGATCGCCCCTGGTGAAAGCAGACCCAGTCCTGTGGGAGCAGCATTCATGCACTCGCTCGTCGTGAGACCAGACCAAGGCTTCGGATACACCTGGAGCAACGAGCGTCTGTTCTGGAAAGATCTCCTCAAGCGTCCTACCCGGACTCTGACCTGCCAGGGCGAGAACGACGACAGCTCACCACCGTTCTACTTCCAAATGCAGTCTGTCTTCGACAAGAACAATCCGCTTACCACGTAAGTTCAATTTTCCCTCCACAAGCGCTCTAGTATTGACGAAGCTTTAGGGTGTATCCATACATGCGGATCCGACTATCTGCTCCAATCGAAGTACAGAACCTTTTGCCATTCGACTTCAAGTACCGCATCTACGACAAAAACACCAAGAAGGATTGGACCAACTTCCTGCGAAAAGGCGGTGTCAGCCCAGTCCACGTCGTGGAACTATCTCATCTTCTCTTGATGAGTATTGACATGCAGGACACGCCGTTTAAGGCCAGCGACTTCTCCATTATCAATACCAACAATGAGAACGACTTCAAGCGGGAGAAGACTCTGCTTGTCAAGGACAACAACAACCTCGAGCTTCGTCTCAAGATCCACTACTTCAATGTACCAGACAGCGGTGGAGCTTTCAAGATTACAGTGTACAGCCCATATGTCATTCTCAACCGCACTGGTATGGAACTCGACATAAGAAGCAAGGCCTACTTTGGATCTACGAAATCCGCAGCTGGCCAGGGCACCTTTGCGGATACGGAAGAGGATGCTCGTAGGGCGACACCCTTCATGTTCTCGTACCCTACAGATGACCGGAAGAACCGTGCTCTGATCAAGGTCGGCGATTCGCAGTGGAGCCAGCCAGTCTCATTCGATGCGATTGGAGCGAACGTCGATGTTAGACTGGCCTCCGCTTCAGGACGAGAGGAGATGCATTGCGGCCTGAATGTCACCGAAGGTGAGGGCAAGTACAAACTCACCAAGGTCGTCAGTGTCACGCCGCGCTTCATCGTCAAGAACAGGCTCTCGGAAGAGATTCAGATTCGGGAGCCAGGATCTTCAGATTCGGCGACGCTGAAGGCAGGAGAATTGCATCCCCTGCGGTTCTTGAAGCAGACTACTGGACAGCAGCTGTGCCTCTGCTTCCCCGGTGTCAACAACTCTTGGTCGTCGCCGTTCGACATCGCGAATATGGGAAGCGTTCATGTCAAATTGGCAAAGGCTGGTGAGCGTCAGAAGCTCATTCGTGTCGAGATTCTGATGGAAAATGCCATGATCTTCTTGCATCTCAGTCTCGAGACGAAACACTGGCCGTTCTCGATGCGAAACGAGAGTGACCAGGAGTTCCTGTTCTATCAAGCCAACCCGAACGTGGACGAGGACGAGGAAGACCGCACGTCAGGTTGGAAGCCGATCCGTTACCGCCTGCCACCTCGAAGCATCATGCCATACGCGTGGGACTATCCGGCCACAAAGAACAAGAACCTTGTCCTCGCTGCTAACGGCAAAGAGCGACACGTCAAGCTTCAGGAGATTGGCAACTTGATTCCGATGCGGGTGCCTGCGGCGCAAGGAGCACAAGGTCAGGCTAGGCAAAAGATCATCGATCTCAATGTCGTCGCAGATGGACCTACGCAGACCTTGGTCATGAGCAACTACAAACCGCAGACGAGCTTGTACAAGCAGAAGTCAGCGTCGGCGAGCGCCTCGACCACCGCCGGGTTCGAAGTCAAGGAGCAAGACACCGATGTCACCATGCGAGCCACTATTCGCTTTGCTGGTATTGGCCTGTCGCTGATCAACTCTCAGCTCAGAGAATTGGTCTATGCCACCTGGAGAGACATCGAGCTCAAGTACACCGACTCTCAGCTGTACCAGAATGTCGCCCTGACCATCAAGTGGATTCAAATTGACAACCAGTTGTACGGTGGCATCTTCCCGCTGCTGTTCTATCCCAGCGTGGTGCCAAAGACTGGCAAGGAGATGGAAGCTCATCCGATCTTCCGAACTGCCATCACTCGAGTCAAGGATGATTCGTACGGTGTGCTGTACGTCAAGTATTTCACCTTCTTGATGCAGCAAATGACGATCGAGATCGATGAAGACTTCATCTTCGCCGTCCTGGACTTTACCAAGGTCCCGGGTGCCAGCTGGACGGAGGAGAAAGAAGGCCAGCTTGCCCCTGAGAGCCTGGACGTTCCCGAACCGACGCAGTCAGAGGGTGGCCAGGATATTTACTTCGAGCTTCTGCACCTCCAACCTATGCAATTCGATCTGTCGTTCGTGCGGACGGAGAGAATCAATGCTGAAGATACTGGCAGCTCGTCGACGAATCCGTTCATGTTCGCCGTCAACGTCTTGACCATGTCGATCGGCAACGTCAATGATGCCCCGATCCGATACAACGCCCTCATGCTTGAAAACGCACGTCTCAGTATGAACGCTCTCATCAGCAGCATCAAGAGCCACTACGTACAGGAGTCGCTCCGACAAGTCCACATAGTGATTGGATCCGCTGACTTCCTTGGCAACCCCGTCGGCCTCTTCAACAACATCTCCTCTGGTGTTGCGGACATCTTTTACGAGCCATACCAGGGTCTTGTCACTGACCGGCCACAAGACCTTGGTGTGGGCATCGCGAAGGGAGCGAGTAGCTTCGTCAAGAAGTCTGTCTTTGGTCTCTCGGACAGTGTTTCGAAGTTCACGGGCAGTATCAGCAAAGGTCTAGCTGCGGCTAGTATGGACAAGGAGTTCCAGGATCAGAGACGCATGTCGAGGTCCAGAAACCGGCCGAAGCATGCTCTGTACGGTATTACTTCTGGTGGCAACGCGTTTGCCACGAGTTTGGCAAGCGGCATTGGTGGGCTTGCGAGACAGCCCATGCAGGGCGCCGAGAAAGAGGGTGCTGCTGGATTCGTCAAGGGCGTTGGTAAAGGTCTTCTTGGACTTGCGACCAAGCCCGCCATCGGTGCTTTCGACCTCGCCTCCAGTATGGCTGAGGGTGTGCGCAACACCACGACTGTCTTCGATCAAGAAGGTCTCGACCGTGTGCGCTTGACCCGCTTCATCGGCATCGACGGCATCGTCCGCCCCTACAGCCAACGCGAGGCCCTCGGGCAATTCTGGCTCAAGACGCTCGACAACGGCAAATACTTCAACGAGCACTACATCGCCCACCTCGAACTGAACTCGGGCTCCCAGGGCGACATGCAAGGCCAGTCCGGTAGCCTCAGCCGCACCAACACAGGAGCCCGCTCGCCCACCTCGCCCACCCAACAATCCGAAGCCACGATGCTCGTCATGATCACCTACAATTCCATCATGCTCGTCCGCGCTAAGAAGCTGACGAGCGAGTGGGAGGTGCCGCTCAAGGACATCCAGACGATCTCGAAGGAGCGGACGGGGATGAGTATTATTTTGAAGGGGGGCACGAATGGGCCGTTTGTGCCGATTGCGGATGAGATGAGTCGGAATTGGTTGTATCGGCAGGTTGCGATTGCTGTCAATGCTTATAATGACAAGTGGAATGCGAAGGGGTGAGGTTGGGAGTGGAGGATGGGGAAATGAGGGTGGGGTGGGGTGAGGGGGAAATGGGGAGGGCATATGATACCAGACAGGTGCATGGATTAGGGTTGGGTTTTGAGCGTTCTGTTGTTTGCTATGCCTAGATTATGTTACCCTGAGGGTCCAGAATGTACAGATTGTTATGTCTTCGGTGGCCCACAGTGGTTCAAGATGTCGGCCAGTACGGTCTCCAGGACCTTCGCATCGAATCGGTACGACCTAGGCATACTTTGATTGACCCCACTCAACTTCTCCTGTCTGGAAACGCCTTCCGTCAAGTATCTCTGGGGACTACTCTTGATTGTGAAGCCGGCTTCAGGGCGACCACATAGTCACAGACAGAGGGCGATGATGTTGGACTGCTGGGCAAGCTCATCAGGATGAAACAGACTGGACTATCCACGGATGAGTCCTCGTTACTCCATGAAAAGAAGCCACACGACATCTAATCCTTAGGCTACCGACACCAAAGCCACAAAACTTCCACTGGAGAGACACAAGCTCGTCAATCCTTCTGCCCTGCAAGCCAAGAGCACCCGCAGCACAAGCATTTCTCCCAACCCAGGAACAGGCTTCTAGGGAACGCTGCGCTCAAGCCATGTCCTCATGCTATAGACATACCAACGGCCAGAATTGTACAACAGTGCAGGCCAGCGATCGCAATGCTGCTCATTCACCCGTCGTAAATATGAGGGCTACATACCTTGGGCGAATCTCTCGGCCTTCCATGACACCACAGGTCTGTTCAGCAAGCCTCCCGACACATGCTGTGTTCGGTCTCATGGCTCACATGCTTGATGGATCACATGATTTCTGTGCCGTCCGTCTTGAGCGGTGGGCCCTGAACATGGTCTATGTCTTTCTGCAAGACCTGCGACAGCTTTTGATCTCGCACAAGCCCGATCGTCTTTGATCCTTTTCGTCAAACATTACACAACCATCAGCCATATTGGACATTACACCAGACTCCAGGATACAGTAACGACGGATAGCTGCAGGTATCGCCAATTCACCTGAGCGACGACACCTGATACTTCTGCTTCGGGTGTCACGTTCGTACCACCGGCGCGTCAGAATGGCCTATTCTATGAGTTGGTCTCGAGTCGCAGGTGTCGCCATTCTGGTTCTCTTCGTCTTCTTGACCCTCTTCACTACCCCAGATCTTTACTCGAAGAAGCAGTTGCAAGGAGATGCCCTGGCGGTACCGATACTCGGACGGCGACATGCACTCTCACTGTTCAACAGCAACCCCAACAGCACCGATGGAGTGGTCTCACGGGCTCCCAACCTCAGACCAATCCCATCAGCCTCGGACGAAGTATACAACCGAGCTACCGACAAGGGGAGGCTCCTGAAATGCTGGATGAAAGACCCATCGGCCGCTGGAAGTCTCGGGACCAGCAAGTGGAACGATTACGATGCTTTGAAAGAATGGGGCTGGATCGAGACGACGACTACTCTCTACGGCGGCGAGAGAAGCCCTGGATTCTCGGATATCGTGGGGCCGTTTGGGGATGATGATTGGACGAATGAGAATAAGGTGGTGAAGTTTGAGCATAAGGGCCAGCATCCGGATCAGGAGGTTACGCTGCCTGATGGGAGTCGGAGGGAGGTTGGCTATCCGGTAGGTTCTGTCACGGGATTACGTCGTCTCTCTAATACTGCAGGATACTGACGAGTTTTCACAGCCAACCAATGCCGTGTACGAGAACAAGCTGTATCCAGGCAGAGGCGTCATCATCGCAGAGTGGAATTGGAATCCACAGATCATGATCAAAGACGAGCAGACCTCGAAGGGCAGGGACTGGGATCCTGACACGATGAGACAGCCAGATCTCTTCCAGATGTCCGATGTAAGTGCAAAACAACACCACCCATGCAATCTATGATGCACGAAGTAGCTGACTTTCCCTCAAGTTCTGGTGGCTCATGTGGAAGAAATACACCACACCCACCCAACGCCCCGCCCTCCGCGCCATCGCCAAACACAACATCGTCAACGAGCCCACGCAACAAGTCATCGCCCGCGCCCTCAAACAACAATGGCCCGACGAAGCCGAACCTAGTCTCGGCCGCGCACCCGTCTGGCCAGGCAAAGTCTTCACCCCCGACATGGAGGGGCTCGCGCCGCTGCTGGGGATCAATAGTATTTGGGGGATTCCGTGGTTTTTGATTCAGCATTATGGGGAGGGGGAGTTGGGGAGGTTGGAGGTTAAGAGGATTACGGTTTTTGTGGATGTTGTGAGTGCGGTGTTTTATCAGCCGAGTGCGATTGTTGAGGTTGGACCCGTGGAAGACGAGGCATAGGGATGTAGGAATATTGGTTTGAGAAGAAGTGCTTTTACGTGATGCAATACCTGTATAAACGGAAGATTCAGGACTTTACAAGGCTAATTTCGCTCGGTGTGCTAAGACTAATTGTGGAGAAGGTCGACACATATACGTTCCACGGATGGGAAGGCTGAAAAGGGGCTCGTTCTTTCTGCCTGAGGCCTTCCACAACTCATTCGGCTCGACTTGCCGCGCTGACGTGGGCTATTCTTGGCTCACTGACCAACCTCATGTCGTCCTACGCCAGCTCACTTCCTCTCTACATCAGTGTCGCGTGACCATGTCTGGCATCACATCAAAGCTCTCCAAGCTCAATCCCTTTGGCAAGGCCAAGGTTGATGATGAGGACCTCGGCGAGAAGATTGAAGCGGACACGATTGCCGGCGGAGGACACGCTGCTCGCCAAACAAAGATCACTAAAGAGCAGCTGCGGGTCAGCCATGCGATCAAGAAGTTTCTAGTCGATGAGAATATCCTCAGCCGTGAAGATGTCGAGCTGGACTCGGATCGGACCACGCATGTTCTCAAGGAGTTTCTGGACAAGCCGCATGTGGACATACCACGAGCTCTCACTGATCGTTCACATCCTTTGACGGAGTACTTCATCAGCTCAAGTCATAACACCTACTTGCTGGCCCATCAGCTATATGGAACTTCCTCAGCTGTGGCATATGACACTGCCCTCAAGACCGGCTCTCGATGCGTGGAGATTGACGCTTGGGACAATGCTGAGCACAAGGACGAACCAAAAGTCACCCATGGCTACACTTTGGCGTCTCATATTCCATTCAGAAACGTCTGTGAAGCTATCCGCGATGTCGTTGACTTCGAGGCGTCACAGCCAAAGCTGGACACAGGATACCGTGCCGCGCCTATTCTTTTGTCCTTGGAGAATCACTGCGACAGTCATGGTCAGCTGAGGCTGGTACAAATCATGCGAGAAGTCTGGGGCGATAGACTTCTGAGCAAGCCAATACGAGACAAAGGCACCAGTGAGCAACAAGATACCGGAGAGCACGTCACACTGGCAGAATTGGGATCGAAGATTGCTGTCATTGTGGAGTATCATCTGCCGAACGAGCCGGACTCGGAATCAAGCTCGGATGAGGACGAAGATGAGCAGGTTCGGCAAGACCACAAAGCTTGGCGAGAGCAGAAGAAGCAGGCTCCGGATGAGGGAATCATACCAGAGCTTGCAGAGCTAGGCGTGTATGCGCAGTCTGTAAAGCCCAACAACCACTCCTGGTTTGAAAGTCAGCTTCAAGACGGGCCTCACCACCATCTCATCAATGTGTCTGAGTCGGGTCTACTCGGCCTCCTGCCGACTGCGAGCGACAAGGTCAGCAAACACAACTCGCAGCACTTGATGAGAGTGTACCCCAAGGGCACCCGCATCTCGTCCAAGAATCTCAATCCCGTGCCATTTTGGGGAGTTGGAGCACAGATTTGCGCATTGAACTGGCAAACATTCGACCATAGTATGCAGCTCAACGAAGCTTTGTTCGCCGGCTCAGATGGATATGTGTTGAAGCCTGCAGCGCTTCGTGCTGGTGGATCTGGCAAACTCAGTACAGGCAGGAAGACGAAGCTGAGTCTCCACATCGCAGGCGCAACAGACCTGTCCTTACCACAAGATCGTGAGGCGGACGAGATTCGCCCATATGTGACCTGCACGTTGGTACACCCTGACGACATCGCAGACGAGCCACCTAAGCGTAAGACAGAAGCATACAAACAGCACAAAATTGGCATGCTACACAAAGGAGAGAACCCACCTAATACCGATCCCTTCTGGAATGAAACACTGGAGTGGGAGTATGATGAGAATGAGCTTTCTTTCCTGAGGATCCTAATCAAGAGCGATGACAAGTTCGCGCGAAACCCAGTCTTTGCCGTTGCAGCAGTCCGGCTGCTGTGTGTTGCGAGCGGATGGTCTTTCGTCAGACTTCTGGACCTGAAGGGGAGGGAGACGCATGGAACTTTGCTGGTCAAGTTCGACCTCAAGCATACCGATACTTAGGAAGCGAAGAGGTGTGCAAGTTCTTGGTGGCATCATTGTCGCGGCCGTGTCTTGCGTTTGATCTGATGCATTGAGCGCTGTTGCAGACAGAGCTTTAATTATTTTGGAGCGTCGTTCCGATGAACACGACTTCAACGGCAGCAAAACTATCCACCTGCGTCAGCCACCATCTCCAGATGCAAGAGTCATCGTTTACTTACGTTGAAGTTGTTGCGAAGATCTCCAGTCGCCGTGCATTGGTGAAAATCGCAAGTGCCAGGGCGAATACCGTGGTAAATGACTACCAAAGCACCAATCCTCTCAATGGTGCTTTTGATGTAGTAGAGCGCAATTATCGACAGAACTGGCATTGCCGCCGAGATCACGCTGATGAGAATAGTGTTCAGGCGCAACAGGGTCTCTTTGTTGTAGTCCATAGCTCCGCTGAGTGGGTCAATCCCCTTGCTCTGCTTCCTGGCCTGGCAACTTGTCAGCTTCGACACTTGCACAAGACGCGGTTCTGGTCTCACCGAGCTCTTCGAACCCCACAACTTGTGGAACCACGTGAGCAAGTGAGTGGTGACAGACTCAGAGGCTAGATCTTGTTCACTTGGCCGAGCGTAGAGGCTGACCAGATCGCGGTCTAGACGTCTTTTCCCGAAGATATCTGCGTCTAGTACCGTGTCCCAAGTGAAGAATTCGGCAGCTTAGAGGAAATCACCGCCTTGCTTGGAACCTGATACCCACTTTCTCAAGAAGTCTAGTTCCGACCGAGTTGGATGCCCAAGCTTTGATATTTGCGCTGCTTGAAGCAGAGCAGAGTCTGTTGATGTTAGTCAGTCCGGCGTGGCTCGAATTCGTGAATAGAGCGTGAGCACAGTATTCATTGAGCTTGCTCCTAATCTCCATCAGCTTCTCGTACTGGTGGGCAGTTCCACCTTCCTCCGACCTGCGCAGAGCTCGAAAGTATTTGGAGAAATTCTTGTCCGCCTCGTTGACGGACTGGTCATCTTCCTGACAGATCTTTCGAAATTCTGCATCCAGCTCGACGAGTTCTGCTTGAAGGCTGAGCAGGCTTAGCATCGCCAGTGGCCCAAATCTCCGGAAGATGGCTGCTTCCGCGTACGGACCCATCAAATCCGCAAGCTGATGATAGCCGGTAGATTGTGCCATCGCTGGACCGAGTCTCTGTTGGTGTATATCCAGAAGATACTTGAACGCATGCAGTGAAGATGGAGCTGTGGCGTGGCAGACAACTTCAGATGATGAGGCAGCTCAGCTATGCATCATGCAGTCTGCTGCAAGTGGACGCCTGATCATTTGGGCAGCTTCATGCGCAATGAGCTGTCAACACCAGGTCAGGCTGGGGACGAGACTACCTGAGCACGTCAGCACCACTCTGAGAACCGCTTGTCAAACGAAACCTCCCCTGTGCTGAGACATTCTGGAGAAATAAACACAGCCACCGTCATTGCCCGCCATGCAACAAGACCGCTCCAACATGCCGCTTTCCCGTGCCCAGCCAAACGTCCAGTGGCTTCTAGACGAGTCGGGTGCTTGGTTCTACTACGATTCTGGGCGCGATAGGCTCGTTTTATTTGGAACGGGCAGACCATTCGAAGACCTTCAAACGTTCCGAGGTCGATGTACCTCGACACAAAGCGGCGTGGGATACCACTGCGAAGAACGAAATACGCCGCGCGAAGACTCCGGGTCCGAACAAAAGCACGACGGTAGCAGTGGTGACAGTAGTGAATCAGAAGAGGAGGCCGAGAATGAGAGCAACGACGAGACCCGGGATACAGCAAGACGAGCAGAGGAGTACAGTGTACCCAATAGGCCTCGAATCGAAGCCCCACGATACGATCCGGCAAGAAACATGCCTGCCTTAGACCAACAGATGCAACAGCTCCGATTGAGTGATTCTAGTAGTATCCCAAATGTCATGTACTCACTGAGCAGTTCGCCGCAACTATATCCACGACCGTGGTTAGGTCAACAGAGCTTTGTACCCAGCGACACCAATGTCAGGCCCTATTATCCAACCCCGCGTCCATCAACACCTCCAGACATAAGCGTGCCAAGCGCCACGGCAGCAAAATCAGCTGCAGCGGACTCTTCGACTCCTCGGTATCCCTCCGGTCCAGCTGTCGCAGATGATGGCGGAGCAGAGTTCTCGGTTGAGATCAACGGACGAACAACAAACGGCAAGTATGATGCCGCGGCTGAAGGCAACTTTGTTTCAGCGACTTCCATACGCAGTGCCTCATTAGGGCGTCATCTACAGCCGGTCAAGAGAAAGGATAGCTTGCGCGGCCCCGGGGGCCGGCCTGTCGAACCAAAGTACTCCATAGACCTGCGTTGGTGGACTGGAGGAAAGAGCTACCAGAAATCGTGCTATGTGTCTGAAATTCCTGGATTCGACCTGATTCTGGGCCACCAGTTTATTCGATAGGAGGCTATAGAGGTGCGGTTCTGGAAGCGCGACCCAGAGAAGGGTAGGTCCATATCTTGCTCTCTTTGGGTTCAACATTAACATCAACCTAGCCAAAGAAGACCAAAGCCGCTCTCGCCAAGATAGAGCAGACGAAGTCAGAGCCTTGCGCGAACAACAGCGGGGAGAGAGTAGCAATACTCGAGCCGACGAACTTCGCCGGGCCAGGTATTGGGGTGACCTGTACCGCAATGCGATCGGCGGCCAGAATCCAATGATGCATTCTCAAGCTGTGGCATGGTTAGTCCGGCAATTCATCACACAGAATCCTTCGTACGCACCAGAGCAGGCCATGCAATACATTATGCGGACGCTGAGCATTGACAATGCAACGAGGAGGTGACGGAACTAGGTAGAAGTTGAGCGAGTCCCAAGGTTGATACCCCAATGAGCGCTTTTGTACAGCTCTGTATTGTCTTGCCCAGTTCGATAGCATTATAGTCCGCAAAGATCACGCTTTTGTGTGGCTTTCCGCATCTTATCTGTACATCTTCAGCAAACTATACAGACCCAAAGCAGTCTCGCAAGCAACAGCCGTGGATAGCCGAATCGCGGAATAAGCGGAACTTGTGCCGCTCGCCTCCTCGCTCACAAGGGGGACAAGACCACAGCCGTTCCGCCTTGGACCTCACCTCTCCGCACAGCGGACAGTACGTACTGGAGGTACGAGGTACCCTTAATGAAGATGTAGTCAGAGCAGACGTGCTGTGTACGTTTGCTTCTTTGTCCATACGAATCCTGCGCCCACAACCATGAGTCTTGAAACGACTTTAGCTGCCCCTTTCGAAGGCGAGCTTGTCCTATATACTTACTTCCGTTCATCTTGCTCCTGTCGTGTCCGAACAGCTTGTCAGCTAAAGGGCACACCACTGTCATACCACTATGTCAATCTTCTTAAAGGCGAACAGCAAGCCCAGCCATATCTTGACGAGGTCAATCCGAATGGCCTCGTGCCCGCCCTCCAGGTCAGGAATGCTTCCGGGAAGACTGTAGCGACCATCTCGCAGTCCGTTGCAATCTTGGAGTTCTTGGAAGAAGCAGTCCCTTCAAAGAGATCGCTGTTACCATCGGATCCATTCCAACGAGCTCGTGTCCGGGAATTGGTGAATATCGTGGCTTGCGATATCCAGCCGCCTACGAACCTGAGGATCCTCAAAAGGGTGAATGGGCTTGGAGTTACGAATCAGGAGTGGTTTCGCGAGTACATGGAGCGGCCGCTGGCGGCATACGAGAAGATTTTGCGAGATACCGCGGGGAAATATTCGGTCGGTGATGAGGTATCGCTGGCTGATGTGTGCTTGGTGCCGGCGATTGAAAATGCACTGAGGTGGGAGGTTGATATGGCGAAGTTCCCGAAGGTGATGAACGTCTTCGAGACGATTAGGAACTTGCCAGAGTTCCGGGCGGCGGACTGGCGACATCAGGAGGACACGCCGGAAAATCTGAAGGTGAAGGACTAGATGCTGGGCTATAAGTGGTATTAGCAGTCTGGTAATTCAACGTATGCAGAAGACGGTGAAAGCGCTGATTCTGGCGGCAAGTTTGCAATTACTCCATGTCTGGCGTAATAATATTGCTGTTCCCCCAGTCAATGAGAACATCTCGCATTGTTTCACAGCTCTTGACCCTGATATCGACAAAGCTTTCTGGGCTGTAGAAAGCGGTGTGACAAGTCAGAACCATTCTCCCTTCCAGCCACGGCTCCTTGTTACGATACGCTTGTATAAGAGGATGTACTCGATCCTCGGGTATGGGCTCTTCCGGTAAAACGTCCAGAGCCGCTCCTGCAATGATGTCTTCTTTCAGACATCTCTCGACACCATCCAGATTCAAGATTTCTCCTCGGGCTGTGTTAACTATAACGGCACCTTTCGGCAACAGTGATAGGAGGGAGTAGTCGATCATGCCCCTGGTTTCGCGGGTACAAGGGCAGTGAAAGCTCAGCACTGAGCTCCTTTGAAACAGCTCCTTGATATCCTTGGTTCTTTCGATGTCCAAGGATTTGTCTACTCCGTTCCCCAGGTAAGGATCGTAGAAAAGCACTTTAAAGCCGAATGCCTTTGCCCGTAAAGCAGCTGCGGTGCCAATGCGGCCCAGACCCAGCACTCCGTACGTAGATCTTTGCAAGCGAGCGAGGAGAGGAGTTTCAATCGGCATCCAAGGTGCAGGAGGCGTGGCACGTTGACGCTCGTTGTGTATGAGAATCCCACGCCGCATGGCCAGCATCAATCCAATTGCATGGTCCGCGATCTCAGCCGTGCCATAGTCAGGCACATTGCAAACCGTGACGTTCTTTTTGGCCAACGCAACCCGATCAAGGCGATCGTATCCAACGCCCATGCGTACAATGCTGTCCTCTCCTCAGCGCTTGTTATCCAAGCATTGGTATACGCAACTCACACCTTCAGATTGGGGAAGAGTTCCACATCTTGCTCCGTAAAGCCAATCTTGAGCACCATGATGCCGTCTATTCTGCTTCTTACGTCTTCGGGTATATCGGACCACGGCTTCGACTCGGGCGTGCCTGTGGGCCATAGGCTCGTGGAGAGGAAGTCGAGCTTGTAGTTCTGACCGTTTCGCGGGGCGAAGATTTCTTGCTCTATTGAATCGTCCTGGAGTAGCTTCGTCAGACCATGTCTCGATGGTTGGTTGTGCTCTCGAAAGCTGGACCTACTGGGTACAAGCCATCGGCTTGGATGATGGTATACGTAGGCACTGTTGCTTCAGCCATGACAGCTCTGCCTGAGCGCTTTCACAGCTACCTGCGTATTGAGAGAGATAGCCGACCTACCTCCTTCTATACCTCGCTGTGGCATATCAGATGCAGGTACCGAATCGTCAGCTTTCGCCTACGAGGCCCGAGATCGGGCTACGTCTTCGGTTCAGTGTTGGCCGAGGGCAAAGGCCCGCCTTCTTCAATCGCCGAGACCAAAGTCATACTTCTGGGTTTTAGACGTCAATAATGGGTAGTGTTGACACGGTGATAGGGACTCGGTGGAGTGTGTCTCTACGCGACACGTCCCAAAATGCGGGTGGCTGGGATTTCCTGGCGATGCTTGCCGCAGCCAAGTTAAAAACGTTCCATCCCTCTCGGATACTCCTCCTTCCATTCCGTCTGACGGAACGTCGAAGCGACAGCACGACATAAAACCAGACGCGTGGCCATGGCGAATGCATTGAAACTATTGAGTTTCTTGTCGAAGGCTCAAAAAGCAAACACAATCCGTCTGCGTCTCCAGGTCGACGTTACCTAGAATCAATCATGTCCAAGAGTCGACCAAACTTCCTCATCATCCTAGCGGATGATCTCGGATTCAGTGATATTGGTTGCTACGGCTCCGAAATCAAGACGCCAAACATCGATTTGCTCGCAGCAGAGCAGAACAGTCTGCGGTTTACGTCTTTCCACGTAGCGGCAGCATGCTCGCCAACAAGATCAATGCTCCTATCTGGAGTAGAACATCATCTCACTGGACTTGGGCAGCTAGCGGAGCTTGTACGAATGTCACCAGCACATCAAGGCGCACCAGGTCACGAAGGCTATCTGAACGACAAGATCGTGACGTTGCCGCAGCTGCTGAGCGATGCTGGTTACTTCACCTGCATGTCCGGTAAATGGCACCTCGGCTTGAGAAGGAGACATTTCCCAGACAAGAAGGGCTTCCAGAAAAGTTTCGCTATGCTTCAGGGTGCCTGCAATCACTATGCCTGGGAGCCAACATACGAAGATCCAAATATCAGCTATGGCTTTATGGATGTGAATACCGCACCTCATGTTCAGAATGGAGAGCATGTTCGGGTTCCAGAAGACTTCTATTCTTCGGACTACTATGCCTCTAAGATGATCGAAATTCTGTCTGAACGCTCAGATGTCGAGAGGCAGAAGCCATTCTTTGCGTATCTGCCGTTCACTGCACCACACTGGCCACTTCAAGCACCAGAAGAATCCGTGAAGCCTTATCATGGGAGGTACCAAGACGGACCGGCAGCTTTGCGCCTGGAACGCCTCGAGTATTTGCGCAAGCTGGGTTTGATTCCAGAGGATGTGGTCGCTCACGAGGTCGTTGCTGTCCCAGGCGAACAGCCGGAATGGGATCAGTTAACGCCTGAAGAACAAGCGAAATCGGCTCGTGCAATGGAGACGTATGCTGGAATGGTCTCTAGAATGGACGAAAATATCGGCAGAGTCATCAATCACCTTCAGGAAACCGGCGAGTATGACAACACTTACATCTTGTTCATGAGTGACAACGGTGCCGAAGGCGCCAGCTTTGAAGCTCGACCCATCGTCGGTCAAACAATGATGGAACACATCAACAAATACTATGTCAACACGCTAGAGAACATCGGAAGACCCAATTCGTTCGTTTGGTACGGAACGCGATGGGCACAAGCCGCAACGTCGCCTTCCAGACTGCACAAGATGTTCGCAACCGAAGGCGGTTGTCGAGTCCCTCTGGTGCTCAAAGGTCCAAAGAATGGACACCAACGACATGACGCTTCAATCACCGACGCCTTCTGCACGGTGCTCGATTTGGTGCCTACGTTTCTTGAGGAGGCCGGCGTTCGTCATCCAGGTGCGCAGTACCATGGACGTAATGTCCACGGTCTTGATCCAAATGCTCGAAGCTTGATAACGTTCTTGTCGAATCCAGATATCCGTCCTCCCGGTACAACTGCGGGAACTTCTTTCTATGCTGTCCATCCAGAGGATACCGCCCACGGCTGGGAGATGGCAGGATCAGGCGGTTTGCGACGTGGGAGATACAAGATCACCTTTGTACCAAAGCCCAAAGGGCCACAGAAGTGGCAGCTCTACGACATCATTGCCGACCCAGGTGAAGTTACGGATCTGCGAGACAAGAATCCTGAGCTCTTCGAAGAGTTGCATAAGCTATGGCTGCAATACAAGGAACGAGTCGGCGTTGTCGGTGTCGTTGGCGAGTTCGATCCCAAGCAACGACCAGAGCCTGGTTTGACCGACGAGTTTGAGGACGATACTCAATGGATCAGATTCATCGGGAAGAAAGATATGCCGGTGCCACAACGATTCAATCAGTAACGGCCCAGCCGGCAATCGGTCGGTGAAGCGATCATTGCAAAGTGCCGAGACGGCTTCGAATGCCGCACGGCAAACGAGATCTCGCCGTAGATGTTCAAATCTCAGGATCAGCACGACATCTCGTTGTGGGTCGCTTGCGATGATGAGTGAATAAGCGGGCCTGGAAGCGATACACTCGAAACACTGCCAAGAACCTGGGAACGAACAGGCCCCTGCTAGCCATGTGCGAGCTATATTAGACCGCCTATTTCTCCGAGGTTTGAACCACTACATTCAGCCACACTTTCATCTATCCAATACATTCAGCAGACTTGTCTGGAACACAGGCCAGAGACTAGCAAAGGAATCTTGCCCATTTGGTTCCACGTTGACGCACAATATGGACAAATGTCCGTCGAAGGCCTTTCTAGATGATCGCAGCTGGGCGTTCCATACCATAATGGTTCAAGGTAACGAATGTGATCAAAGACTGTGGAACGACGCAGTGGGCCTTCACTTCTTGGCACTGTGGTTAAAAGTATTCGACGTTCCTTCCATTGTAGTCTCATCCTCATCAGTCTTCCAACCCAGAAAGTCACTCTTTTCCATTCCCCATCACATTCATTTGACAATATGAAGTCCAGCTTCACTCTCGCCCTGGCGGCGCTTACTTCTATCGCTTCTGCTCTTCCTGCTGCGCCCAAGTTTCGCAGACAGAACACGACTTCCGATGGCCCAGTCGGTTACGCCTCCCTGAACGGAGGGTGAGTACATTCACGGCATGAGTTCGGGCGTCTGCTAACAGTTCACAGCACGACTGGTGGTGCCGCAGGCGCATCGACTACCGTCTCTTCCCTCGCTGGCCTCACCGCTGCCGCTGAGGCCGACGGTGCTGCTGTCATCTATGTCAAGGGCATCATCAGCGGCGCTGCCAAGATACGTGTCGCTAGCGACAAGTCCATCCTCGGCGTCGATTCCAGCTCAGGGCTTGAGGGTGTCGCTCTGTACATCAAGGATGTTTCCAACGTCATCGTTCGCAACCTTGCCATCAGCAAGGTCCTGGCCGAAACTGGTGATGCTATTGGCATCCAGAAGAGCACCAACGTCTGGATCGATCATGTGGACTTGAGCTCCGACATGGACCATGGCAAGGAGTGAGTCTAGAGTCCTTTCCACTGCAGCTTTGCAATATCTGACCATTTTATCCAGCTACTACGACGGCCTGCTTGATGTTACCCACGCCGCCGACTACGTCACGCTTTCGAATATCTACTTCCACGACCACTACAAGGTCTCTCTCGTCGGCCACAGCGACAGCAACGCTGATGAGGACACTGGCCACTTGACCGTCACCTACGCCAACAGTATGTACTCAGTTTCCCTCCTGAACATGGGCCATTCACTGACTTCTTTCCCAGACTACTGGTCAAACGTCAACAGCCGTCTCCCATCCGTCCGATTCGGTACTGCCCACATCTTCAACAACTACTTCGACGGCGGCGACACTGGTGTCAACACCCGCATGGGCGCTCAGGTCCTCGTTGAGAGTACCGTTTTCGAAGGCGTCAAGTACCCCATCACCAGCAAGGACAGCGATGAGACTGGCTCCGCCATTGCCAACGACATTGTTTGGGGTGCGGGCGAACAGACTGCTCCAGAGGGCACTCTCACCAGCGTTCCGTACGAGTACACTCTGCTGGGCAGCGGCAATGTTAAGGCTGCTGTTGTTGGCACTGCTGGCAACACCCTTACTCTCGGCTAAATCTGATGCATCTGTCGGAACTGATCCGCCCTGGTTGGCAAGAAGCTTTGTACATCTATTGACAGTTTGCAATGTACCTTCTACGTTCCATGCAAGGAATCCTCGCCACCTTCTGCTACGCTTTTGCTTCCAATCCCTGTTGTATGATTCCATTCAGAACATTTGCGAAATTCTCCGGTTGACTGATAAAAGGACAATGTCCCGAATCAAGCTCAAATATGTCAAAGCCTTGCTCTTCGGCTTCCTCTCTCTGCTTGTACGGAAGCAAAGCTTCATCTTTCGACGCAACGATGAACGTCCGCGGGATCTCATGCCATAACGAATCAATCTCATCTGGGCGTGGCGTAAGCGTAATCGGCAGCAAGGCTTCACAGAAAGGCTTGGAATCTTCGATTGACATATCGTTGTAGAAAACCTGTTCCGGCCTCAGAGGCCACGACAACCCTTTCTTGAAATCCATATGATGCCAATGACTGATAATATGTTTGCTCGTTCTGATGAAGGCGGCGAGGAAGATCACCCGCTTCAGTCTAGACTTCTCCTCTGCGGTCGCCGATGGGAGAAACTTGTTGACTGCCATCGCGCTGACGAGGCCACCGGCACTATGGCCCTGAACGACGAAATCTCTTCCTGACTCTGCTTCAGCGCGCATAGCTTCGAAGACCTTCTCGACACTGTCATGTAATCCAGGCTTTGTTTCTGCACCATTGTGATCGCCTAGGTTCGCCAGCAGCAGGACTTTGACTTCGTAACCAAGCTTATCGAGATACGGGAGAACTGGTCTCACATGGAACTCGGTATGCCATGCTCCAGGGACGAACAGAATTGTTGGCTTCGCTGGCATCGTGACGTGAGGGTTGATGTAGACTTTAGAGTGGAACTCAGGAGCTGCAGGCGGGCTAAATTATACCTCAATTGGCCAAGGATATTCTGCCCAGCGGTGTTGCCTTTTCGGTCGGCGGTGAATCTTCCGTCGATCCGGTCTGGTATACAGCTCTTTTCCTAAGGCTCAGAAGGATTTGTTTATTTCCTAGTTCGGGAACCGCTAGAACAGAATCAAGCCGGCTGAAAGATACATAGGAACACCCAAGTGACAGTGATGACAGCTAGGACAACTTTAATACTCGCAGCTCCGTTCGTGTACTCATGACGTGTCTGCCAAGCGGCTGACCCGTTGGTAAAATATGATCACTATTTGCTTGTTTCCCGTCGTTCTTGAACTCTGGATGCGCTAGATTTTCCCGCTCCGGGAATCTTCTGCGAATGAGCTACTAGCTCGCGAGCTCACTGTGATGCTGACCCATTTACTTGCGTACGATACGTCGCTCCGACTTCTGAAGAGCGGCAGAATGCAATTGCGATTGCTGGACGACCATCACATTCACCTGGCCGTTACGCCATTCTTAGTGGACTTTTAGCTCGTGTTAGAGTTCAGGACCCTTGAGCACAAGGCTGTGTCATGCACGGTCCGCCTCGTCTGTCCAGGTACATTGCCGTAGGCCTGAGTCTCAAAGTTGACTTTCGGAGCCGAAACTACAAGCAGTCAGCGTCCTTGCATTGCTGATCTCGCGAGGCAAAGGCAGGGGCACGACAGGGGCGCGATACGAACGACTGACAGCCTCGCGGCCCAAATCGTCGATGGAGGGGACAGGGGTCGTCGTAGACAACGGTTCAAGACTATGTACCATTGACAGTGAAGTCTTTATAGCAAGTCATGACCTTTTGTACATTGTACGAGCCTCGATTTAATACAAAATCCACAAGGGTATCATCAGCGATCGCTATAAGCCGACCCAAGATCTTCAATGCCAACACTCGTCACTTCGTGAAAACATCACTTATCCTCCCAGTTCCGTAATTCTCTTTAATGCTTTCATGCCTCTCAAGCTGCAAAGCTTTGCATTATCGCCGCAAACTTGTCATCATCTGTACCCAAAGTGAACAACGAAGAAAGCGGATCGTCCTGCATGGGCGAATCCCTCAAGGCCGGATCCAAAACAGACATCTCGTCGTCGCTCACGCTTGCCGGAGGCTCGACCGGTGCTGGGACTGCGGGTGCCGCTCTGTCCGCTCTCATAGGGTGCAGCATCTCGAAGCCAGACAGTCTTACCACCTTATCCCAGATTGGCATCGGTACGAAATTGATCATGTCGACTCGATCCAGTCTCCAGGTGCCCACAACACCACAGGCTCGCAGAGGATACACCAACTGCACCGCGCCGCTGACTGGATCTGGGCCGTCGAGAAGGTAGTCCAGGAAGCGGTAGATTTCCGAGCAGACGTGAGTCCTTGTCATGCCGTCGTGGAAGGACATCAGAGGAGATCTCGTGGGTGGCGCTTCTGGCTGGGATATTGATCCTAGCGCGAGACCCGCCGCGTTCGGGCCCAGCCATTCAACCATCTCGTCAAGCAGATGCAGCAACGTTCCGTAGAAAAAGACCGTTTCCCTTGCCCGTCGTATGTTCTCGAACCAATACACTGTCCTATGTGGGACTTCCTCGTTGGCGAAATGTTGCAAGTTTGATTCTTTTGTAGCGGGGATCTCGCTCACTGCGCTAGGAAAGTCCTTTTCCCATGCATTTCGCCACATTAGTAAGCTATGGAAAGCGTTGACTAGATTGTCGATGTGTGTTTTGATGGCGAGGGAGTTATTACTTGAGGGTGAATCGCAGCAAGTCGAACAAAGCGCGTCACCGTCTTCGAGCAGGCCAGGGATGTCGGCGAACGTGTCTTTCAGGCGCTGTATGTGGTTCTTTGGATCGGATGAAGTCCCTTGCCACGGTACGGTTTTCCATTTAGGTTGTGAGAGAAACGTTCGCTTCCGTAGAAGGAGGGCTTGGTAGATCTGCAGCGCGTTAACACGTCACGTTCTTAGACCAGCGAGAAGCACCAAGACTTACAATCTTGAAACGACAAATGATGAATAATCTATCAAGCACGTTAGCATCATCCGAGATCGTCCAAATTGTACCAAGCTTCTTACGATTTTGCGGCTCCACTCTGAAAGCTTTCTGGTCCTCTCAGCTCTACCAGATGAGCCATTCCTGCCGCGTGGAACGACCAACCATCCATGTGTGTAGCCGAAGTCATCTGTGTCGCGATCAGCGGTGTCCCCAAAGGGCAATCCGGCTAAGCGCACCTCGTAGTAATAGAAGATAACAATAGCGGCGAGATTATTAAGGTCATCTTTGCACTCGTCGTTTGTGAGGTTGCTATGCAGGAGATTGATCGCTCGACTGTATTGGGCTGCTGCCGCTTCCTTTTCGGCTCCATATTCTCCTTCTTATCCGTCAGTACTGATCGCGTCGCAGATACCGCGATACTCACTTGCGGCGAGCGATTGTGCAAGCGCCAGGATGGCGTCTCGGCCGACCGATGTCCTGTTGCTCTGCATTACTGCGTCGACCCATGGTCGTATGTTATCGCAGTGCTGTGCAGGGTTGATCAGGGTATGCCAAATGCAATCATGCGGCACAGAAGGCGCGCAGCTCCACCCACCTGCTTGCTGAACAATCGCTGCAAGATATGACAGTCCCATAGACCCAGTTGTACGCTCTAACCTCCCGTTAGCGGTGTCTCCAATGGGCAGATCTGGATTACACACGTTCTTAAAGCAGGCATAGCTCGCAAACGGATTCTGAGGCTGCATCACATCGTTCTCGAAGACGAATTCGTACTGGTGCCCGCCCTCAAGCTTGACCCAATCGATCTCGCTGACATCGTGGTCTGTGAAGCTGTCGAAGACTACCGCATCGGGTCAGTATGGAATCATTTCCGTGTGGTCGGGTCCAGGGCATAGGGCATACAAGTGTTCACGAAAGACCGGTAAGGCTCATAACCTTCGCAAGTCTTTCCCTGTTGAGCAGTGGTGTTAGCCAGGATAAGAAGGTGAAGGTCGCATTTCGCATTCGTTTTATCAACTTACACCTTTGTAGCATCGCTTGCAGTGCGGTGCCCTCAAGTCTTTCACACGTGTCAGCCGCTTTGTACTTGAGTTGGAGTGTCAGACGGTGGAATTCATACCGCACTTCACCCTCCGACGTCTGCATGTAATGCATCCCTGGGACCTGCCCGGTACCCCAACCATGGCCTAGCGCTAGGACGTGAAGTGAATGGATTCTGCTTGGCTATCTTGGCATAAGCCTTGGCGAGCGATTCGACTGTACTAATGTCTGACTGTGTTTGTTCGGTTGATGCATTCAGAACGAAATTGAGCACATATAGCATCGCGTGTGCCATGCCTTGACGCTGGTGCTGTAACGTGACTTGGAGGAGGTGAGCTTAGCTTTGCGACACTCGATCGGCGAAGGATTCCCTTCCAAACTTTATTGAAACACCTTATTCATCCGCCCGGATCCTTGCCGTTCAGCTGGCCTCAAGCATATACGGGTTTCTCTCCCTTCGATTTCTCACTTGAGCCTAGAGTGCCACTTTACTCGTGAAGCCACGCAAGCCCGGCTCCGAAACCCCTTCCAGGACTCCGCGTCACCTGCGTCATGTCTTCGTCTTGGTGACCTCCCATTCGTGGGCAAGGATACATCCGCCCTACCTCGGCCGTGCCCGCAATTAGATTCTGTTAGGTCTATCGGTTCACATCTGTTGATGGCGCCGACGTGGAGATATGTCGGTTGCAACCACAACCGCAAGGCTCTCCAGCCCTGGGAGCACGTTGTGCAGGATCGAGACCATTACTAACGTCTATACGGCCTATGTAAGCTTGCATCTGGTCTGAAGAAGAGATCATTGGCCTGTTTACGGTACGCAAGATCTATTACAATATTCAGTATGCCCTCCAAGTAGTTTTTCAACGGCCCTACTTCCTCCGGCCAGAGGTCCTACAGCGGTAGGGCAGAAATTTGTCACCAACTAAGGCCACGCAAGGACTCACGATTGTCGGGGCAATATCGACCGTGCCCACTCGGACTTTGTCCAATACATCCGCAGCATGCAACACTTGAACGCAAAGACACGCAGACACGCCGACGCAACGAGTACACGACAGACGAAAGACAATCCGACCGAGTCGGAATGAAGACAGACCGTTAGGCTGCGTTAGTATGCCTGACAATCAATCAGCCTGAAGAATGAACGGAGTCCAAACGGCCGCAAGATGAGATTCTACTGGAACAGATTCACCACCACAATATCCACCTCGAAAATCGTCAAGCAGGATGCAAACGATCCATAGGGCTACCCTTCGTCAAATGGTTCCCGGTAACACCCCGACTCGGGTCCATCCCGATCGCCTAGCCACACCATAAAGACCAGGACAAGCTCCAAAACAAACCACGCTAGTTCACGAACCTCCACACCACCAACACTTAAAGCCCCCAACTGACCATTCAGCACCCAGCGGTCGCAGATAATTCTATATGAGGTCTAGCGGAAGCGCACATGGAGATCCCATCCACGTGAGGATGACGCCCTGCATTGGAGGCGTTAGGGCCAGACAAGCAAAGTGGACCGATCCTGCGCTTCCTGCGATGACTTGGATGTTGGGCAAGAGGAGAAGAGGGGAGGGGCGAGGGGACTTTGTGAGCCCCAAGCTCGTGGACACGGTCTAGCAGCGGATGTTTTAGTCTGATGAGGGTTTGGACTGGCTTTGTCAAAAGCTTGGTGCTGCAGTTCTGCGGATGTGTCATTCCTTGCCCTGAGTTGCACGCCCGTTTTGGGAAATGCCGCCTTTTGTGGGTTGGTGAAGGCGGCATACACGGACCACCGCGTTGTTGCCGCCTTCTCCTGACTAAACGATGGTGTTGACGACACCTCATCTATTGACATGGCGTGTGGCTGAACATGACTGACCGGAATCATTGCCAAAACGTTAATGATGAGAGATGCAGCTGCGATTCAGAGCTGATTCAATCGAAGAAATCAATCATCAGAACTGTCTCGCCGCTTGGTCGCCTCGTTACGAGCAGAGAAGCTTCATCCATCTGGGTGTAGAAATTCATGAGAAGCTGTCGAGCATCAAGACGTCTCTGAGGCATTCCGTCTTGCTTGCAGCATTACCGACACACTGGGTCATCAAGATGAGAAACCATCTCTCAAGGCTCCTCCACGACGGTTCCTTTCTTCCGGGCATCAAGATATCCACAATATCGTTCCTCCTGTGTTCAGGGCCCAAGATGTCTCCACCACGATGGTTCCTCCTTGCTCTCAATGTGGCCGGCATACCAGATGAAGGCAAAAGGATCATCAAGATGTCTCCCTTATGGGTCCTTGCATTGAGACTCGCCGACGTGGCTTTTCGCTGTCCGGAGACATTGTGCATAGAAGGGTCGGAGAAATACCGTTTCGTCTGCAAGTCCATGAATGCGTCAGGCAATATCAGTTCGTGGTTGCCTAGCGTGGTGCTCGAATCCTAGCAGCCTTGTCATCACAATCCTGATACCAACGGAAGACGACACATTATCACGGTCCATGTGACGCGGACTATCAGGGTATCTCGATCAAGATTCTACGACTCCTTGCTTGCCTCGAAAGGTCGCCGGTATACCAAACTGAGGACAGGAACGTCACTGGCGTATCTCAAGCGCCAACATGGCTCCAAAATGGCTCCAACATGGCTGGCTCCTTCGTCCAATCCGACCAACATGCACTCGCTCAATGACCGGAGACATTTCTGCATTGCGTCGGACACATCTTTGTCGACGCAAAGGCGGCCCCAAAAGCTTCATTGTCATCTACCTCAGAAGAAGATCTTCTGCCCTTCCACGTTCGGCCTGCATTCACTCGAAGCTCACAACAATAGCCCCCGAACGCCTCGCTGAAAGCTCTCGTTACAAATTTCTTCCCACACACGCCGATCTCATCTCGGAGAGGATGCGTGGAGCCGATTGCGATCTCTATCGCACGTAAACGGACCTGCGGTCTTGGAACGCATAGTACCTCCCGAGAGCTGTTTTGGTGGTGCCCTAGGACGACTTTATTTAGCAACTCGACCTGCATTCACGGGAGAGTGACGACGATCGCGTTTGCCATCGACGCGGAGATCCGGGAGTATCTCAGCCTTGCACCAAGGGACATCTGGGTCCTAGGCCGATCATATTCGCCGTCGACCCGAAGACCATACGCCCTTGAAGGCCACAATCCAGTTCGGAGGCCCTGTAACGAGCCCTTGTTAACGTCTGACGTTTCTGCATACGTATTTTCCATCGTGGAACTTGATCCTGCAACCAACGGTGTTCACCGACGGCGTTCACCAACGACGCAAGAAACTCAGATCCCTCCCCTAGCTCCATTACCAGACCTTGAAGATATCCTCTCCCCTCATAGGAATCTCATCCCCCAAATTCTGTCAGCACACCGTCGTCTCACGCCCCATAGGACTCCCAAACGACGTATTACCTAACTGACCACACATGTAGACACATCCTTCTACTCCCACACCGACCTGCGTCAAAGGAACTGCGTAATAGGATCCCGTTCGCCATCGATTCGAGACCATCGCGGTGTAAGGCTTACACATTCGTAATGCCCATAAGGCTGATTAAAAGCCTTGGGGAATGTGTCATCTTGCTTCGGAGGTCTCGGTCACTGCTTCGAACCCGTACGGTCTCGAAGGAGAGAATGATTCCCGTGGGCTGGATCGTTTTTGGATATGTCTTCTTTCGAGGGTATGTCGACTCACGCCAAGAAGGATTATGTGGCTGGTCATATTCGCGACAAAGCAGGGATTGCCCATCGCCAATTCTATTTGCACTTGCAGGCTGACATTTACATCGCTACAAAGGTAAGTTTCTATCAATGTCACCATCTACCCTCTCTGCCCAATCATCCCCTTCCTTTAACCATCAACAATAGTCGCCACCTCGCCCTCTTTCTTCACCTCCCCATTAACCCCCTCCTTCTCCAACGCACTCCTCACCTTCGGCAACACATACCGCCCATAATCAATCGCATCATTCAAATTATCATAGCCTCGAATCGAGATCAAATCACACCCCAGCTTGACATAATCCAGAATCGAATCCGCAACCGTCTGATACGACCCGACCAACGCCGTCGACGCACCCCGTGCGTTCGTCGCCGTAACGGTGGGATACCACAGTGCGCGATCTTGCACTTCGCCTTTCTTCGCGATGTCCAAGAGGCGTTGGGAGCCGACGTTCTGGGGCGGTGGTGCGTTCGTGGGGACTTTGCCTACGCCGGCGGCGCGGTGCGAGTTCAGTGCGTCGAGGGTTCGGTGGGCTTTCTCCCAGGCTAACTCCTCCGTCTCTGCTGTGATCGGGCGGAACGTCACCCAGATCCTCGGGCGGTCGTTGGCTGGTCGACCGGCTTTCTCCGCCTCCGCATAGATTCTATCAATCTGCTCCTTGGTCTCCTTCAAAGGCTCGCCCCAGAGGCCGAAGATATCGGCCAGCGAGCCACCGACTCTGTAAGCCTCGTCCGAGGACCCACCGACGGAGACGGGGATCGTGCCATTAACAGGACGCACGCGGTTCTGGAATTGTTTGAACTGGTAATGTTTACCCTCCCAATCAAAAGCCTCTGTGGACGACCACGCCTTGCGAAGAATGCGGATGTACTCTTCCAACCGCTCGTACCGCTCGACTTTGTTCAGAAAGTCGCCCTCTCTCGCTTGCTCCGCGTCAGAACCCCCGGCGATAAAATGCACCACAGCACGCCCCTTGCTCAACTGGTCGAGCGTGGCGAGGGCTTTGGCCGCAACGGTAGGATATAAAGTGTTGGGACGCAGGGCGATGATGATCTTGAGGTTCTTGGTGTGAGCTGCGATGGTGGCGCCGGTGGTGAAAGGGTCGAAACCGCCCGAGTCGTAGGGCTGCAGGGTGTAGTTGAAGTCGTAGTCGTCTAGGTTGCGGGCATAGCGCTCGAGGAAGTCTGGGTCGACGCCTGAGCCGGGGATGGGGGAGAGTTCGGTGGAGGCGTTGGGGAACGCGAGGGAGATGAATTCGGTAGGCATTGTTTGCTGTGAGTGTTTTGAATGGTTGTACAAAGCAAAAAGCTTATCGTATCGAGGGGTTTGGAGGGGCTCAAGTTGTTGATATACTGCTTATCAAGCTCGGTGGAGCTCTTGAGGCATTGCAACAGCTATCCCCATAATCACGCCTTTGCTGCTGTACAGCCGATGTCGGGTACGGCAGCAAAAGTGCTCGGGTCGTCGCTTCGATATCATTGTGCCTCTCGATTAGTATAGGTGTACAGGGAGAATCGTATGAGGGACGCGTTTGAGTTTGGGTGGATTACCAATGCAAGTTGTGCAGAGCCTGGAGGTCTGAAGGTTGATAGCTTTTCGTACCTGGAACTACATCTCAGCTGTTATGCAGAGCATTCGAAAGACACATACTTGATTCCAGATCCAGCATTGCATGACGACTCATTATTCCTCGCCGCCCTCGAATTCGACCAATGCAGTCCCAGCCTTGCACATATCCCCAGCCCGGTGCACAACCTTACTCACAGTACCATCCTGCGGTGATCGAATAACTGTCTCCATCTTCATACTCTCAATGACAACCAAAGGCTGATTCTTCTTGACCTGCTGCCCCTCCTCAACTTCTACCCTCAGTACTTTGCAAGGCATGGGGGCGAGTACGCTGTTTGCAACGTCTTTCAAGCCGAGAGCTTTTTCTGCCCATTTGGGCAATGCGAGGTGGAGGCGATACTGCTTTCCTTGTTGGAATAGGGTGATATCGTTGGATTCGGGGTCTTGGATGATGGTAGTGGCAAGGCGAGTGTGTGGGAAGAAAGAGGTGAGGGTATGATGAGACGAGTCGTAGTTGCTGGTCGTGGTGAATGATTCGCCGTTGATGGTGATCGAGAACGTGTCGGGCGCGGTCTTGAGAATGCTGACAGAAACAGGTTTGTGCGTCTTCTGAGGGTCCGTGGACGACTGAACGAGTTGGAATTCTCTTGGCTGGGGTGTGTTGCCAAAGCCGACTGTCTGTAGAGGTTGGATTGGAGAGGTAGGAGTCGTCTGTCGAGCTTGTTCCGCTTCCAAGAGGCCAATTGCAGCTTGTGCCCACACTTCATTCGCAATAGTCTCATCTTGGAATAGCTCGGCGTGATGTTTTGGAATGTACCCGGTCTCAACATCGCCTGCGATGAAATCTTTACTCTGGCAAACTTTCTTGACGAAATCGATATTGGTAATTGGTCCAGCAATTTCGTACTGCTCCAAAGCGGTAACCATTTTCTGCAGACTTGACGTTCTGTCCGGACCACTGACAATAAGTTTGGCGATCATGGGATCATAGTGGCTTGAGACTTCATCGCCCTGCACAAAGCCGGCATCAATGCGAACACTCTCCGTTTCTGGTGGAGTGCGAAGGTGCAAAAGCTTGCCTGTAGACGGAATGAAGTTCATGGTCGGATCTTCAGCGTAAATTCGTGCTTCGATGGCATGGCCTCTGCTTTTGATCCGTTCTTCAACTTCAGCTTGTGTGAGTGGAAGCTTTCCGCCTTCTGCAACAATGATCTGCCATCTGACCAAGTCTTCCCCTGTCACCATCTCAGTGACTGGGTGTTCAACTTGTAGTCTTGTGTTCATCTCCATGAAGAAGAACTCGCCAGAGTCATTGTCGAAGATGAACTCAACGGTACCAGCGCCCTCATAACCCACCGCAAGCGCGGCTTGTCGAGCCTTCTCCCACAGGTCTTGCCGAATATCCTCTGCAAGGTTTGGCGCGGGAGATTCCTCAAGGATCTTCTGATGTCTTCGTTGGATACTGCAATCACGCTCGCCCAATGCCACACAGTTGCCATGCTTATCTGCAAACACCTGGACTTCGATGTGTCGCGGTGTGGTGATGTACTTCTCGACGAGCATGATGTCGTCTCCGAAAGAGCTTCTAGCCTCCGACTTGGCAGAGTCAAGTTGTTGCTGGAAGTCCTCTGGCTTCATCACAATTCGCATGCCCTTGCCACCACCACCTTTGACGGCCTTGAGTAGGACCGGATAGCCTATGCTTTTGGCTTCTTGCTCCAGATACTTTGGGTCTTGGTTTGAGCCGTGGTAGCCTGGAATGCACGGAACGCCAGCTTCGATCATGATTTCTTTGCTGCGGCTCTTGTCTCCCATTGCTTCGATAGCTTTCCAAGGTGGCCCGATAAATTTGACTCCAGCGTCCGTACATGCTTTCGCAAAGGCGGCATTTTCTGACAAAAATCCATAGCCTGGATGAATGGCCTGGCAGCCGTGTTCTTTGGCGACCTCGATGATGCGATTGCCGTTGAGATACTGGTCGGTGCTGCCAAGATTGACCGTGAAGGGGGAGCTCAAGGCGTGCTGTGATAGTCGATCTGGATCCGTGTAAAGAGTGGTAGTCCTAATGCCGTACTGTGATGCCGTCCTGCCCACTCTCAGGGCGATTTCACCACGATTTGCTATGAGGATGGACTGCAGGGGTTCTACGGTATCTGGTGTTGATGTTGATTGCCATCGTCGGCCTCTCCTTGGTACAGCAGCACCGGCAGTACTCCGCAGAGCACGAACTCTCGCTATTGAAGACATGGCTGTATCACATCGAGACAGAACAAGCAGAATCTTTCAGACGAACATGTTTACGTGCAGGTGAAGTGAGGGCGCAAAGCCGTGAACTCTAATCGAAACAATACACCGTGAATAGCCGTCTCCGCGTGGAGAAAGGGTCAGGGTTTGGGGCAGGGCGGGAGGAGCCGAGGACGACAACGAGGCGCGACGCGTCGTCCGGAACGGGTATCGACGACGAGGTTGAGAGTGGTAATTGTTGGCTCTGGATGTTTGTTGCTGATATTGCAATTCTCCAACGCGTTTGTTCGCCAGCAAGGAATGTTGGCGACAATGAGGTCAGCGTGCTTGTGGCGTCCCCACCGCGCAGTCCAATCCACGGAAAGATGTCTTTCAGCTACACCTAACAACCTCCTCTGCTCCCCTTACACCACGCCCATCGCACCGCAGGTATACGTCTAGTCGTTGCCTCGTGCCGGTCGGAATGACGAGATAACACCTTCCACCTGCAACTCGACCTGCTCACCCGCTCCGCCGCATTTCTCCCAGCACATGCTTCTCCAACGCGTGGACTGTGCTGCCTCGCGCGCCTAGCTGCATCAAATCCCCGGCTTCCACATGATTTGGCGCACACTCGACCTCCGGCTGCCAGCAGCTACCCGTCTGCTCTCCCCGACTGCTGGACCCGACGCCGCCGTCAAGTAGAGCTGCTGTCCCCGGAATCCCCCCTCGCTTGGAAAGCAGAAAGCTTCAACCATGGCGGACGACTTTGACTATGACGACGGGGTGCTGGATTTTGATGATGGCTGGCTGTATGTCGAGGATGAATTCGATCTGGCGGTACGTCTTGCACTACCCCCGTGTTTCAGCACCATGCATCTTGCCTTCCCGTGCCCATCCCATCGGTGTTGACACCTGCTCAAACATCAGTCGCTGATTTGATATTCTGTTAGGACGAGCTCGCCGAGGGCCAAGTACCCGACCCTGGCTACAGCGGTACCAACAACGAAATTGACATGGATGGATACGAGTTCGACTTGTTTGGGTACTGGGACGACCTGGACTACGGAGACGACTCATACTGGGATTACGGCATACCCGACTCGAAAAGCAATGCTTCAGACAATGCAGGACAGAAAAGGAAACGTGGAGTTGGCAAACCAAATGGCTCCCCTGCCAAGAGAAGGAAGACCAACGAAGGAGGTGAAACATTGGCTGGAGAGTCCGAGCCACTCGTCTTTCGAAGTCAAAACGACAGATATCAAGCGTACAAGCAGGATGCGCCATTGGTGAAGGCGAAGGCCGCGTTTTCTTTCTTACCAGATTGGCGAGAGCGTTTTGCGGATGAGGAAGGCCCTGTACTGGTTACGAAGATGCCACCGGATATGCGCAAAGCTGCAGAGGGTCACGATGTGACACCGCCCAAGGCACGGCAGCTAGGCGAGGAAGCGTATGAAGAGGGCGATGATGAGGAGGATGACTGGGAAGACGAGATGGAGGAGGACGAAGAGGGTGGCATTGCACTCGATCCAGAGATGCTGAAGTCAATCTTGCGGGAGAAGCTTGGGGCGGCGGGGCTTGATGGCATGGACGAAGCTGCCTTTATGCAGACTCTACAGAAGATGCTATCCGGCGAGGGCGGGGAGGATGAGGCGGCCGGAGATCTTGCCAACGCGCTTCTCGGCAAGCTGACGTCTGGTTCTGGCGATGAAGCTCTGTCAGGCTGGCTCTCTGGGCAAGGCGTTGCGCTCGAAGACGACGATGCATCGAGCGTAGCCACCGGTGAGGTTGCAGAAGCTGGAGGTAGTGCCGGCGCCTCTCGGAATGCCACGCAGACTTCGCCGCCGGATAGCGCTGTCGAAATGAAGAAGAAAGAAGCAGGCAGCACGCAAATGCCTCTGCATTCTGGATCTCCGACCAAGTCTACCAAGAAGAGAGCAGCAACGGTGGAGGACGATCAGCCAACGAAGAAGCACAAGAAAGTCCAGTTCGATGTGCCGCCATCATCGGAGAGCAACCCCACCGCTCCAGAAGATGTACCAGGCCCTCCAACAAGCGAAGACCCACACATGTCAGAGCCCACTGTGGCGAGCACGCGAGCAGCCAATGCCGCTGCGGTAGATGTGAACAAGTCAGCCTCGAACGAAGCAGAGGAAGAGGATGGCGTCAAGCAGAAAGGTGGTCGAAAGCGCAAAGCGTCTTCTGCAAATGAAAAGCCAGTTGGCAAAAAGACCAAAACGAGGGAGTTGCAGGATCTTGGACCGCTACCAGAGGCCCCGTCGCCGGCGCCGCCTGCTAAGCGGACCAGAAGTGCGAGATCAAAGGCAGGAAAGTGATGGCATGCATCTAGGCGGCACGCGTGGAGTCCATCGATGGCTCATGGCTATGGCTATGGCAAGGCTTGGTGGATACATGAATACGACAGGAAACGTAGCTCTGTATATCAGATGCGCTCAGTCCATCGAAACCACCCATACATATGGAAAAGTTCGCGCGAACCTTTATCATGCCTGTCCTTTGACCTTCACGTGCCAAACATATATCCATCGGCCAACTCCGCTAAGACTTCTCGGCTGAATTCAATTTTAGCGCCGGCAGGAGCAGCGATACTAAGCCGCTCTTCGTCCGACTTCATTTGTTCATTCTCTTTCCTTGTGCACTCGCTCATTTTGACTTCAGCTTGTGGATCAATCAAGATATACCGTCATGGGGTCTATAGCAACAGACGAACGTCCGACCGCCGTTAGCGTGAGCCTCCAAGAGCTCAAAGACGGCAACGTTTCGCTCGAAACTCTAGAGCAAGCATTTGGACCCGCTTCGTTAGGAATCATTATCATTTCGGGCCTGCCTGAGGAGTTTGCTAGTTTGAGGGCGAGGTTGTTGAGTTATGCGAGTTATCTTGCGAATTTACCGGATGGGGAGTTGGGTAAACATCCTTTTCTCACCACATACATTCGAGCGGATCAATGAGCTAATCCCGTCGATAGCGAAAGTCGAGAAGCCCGAAGCGAGGTACAATGTCGGCTGGTCTTGCGGGAAGGAGACCCTCTCGAATGGACAGCCTGATACGTTCAAGGGATCGTACTACGTACAACCGATCCATAATGAAGAACTCGAAGCGAAAGCCCGGGAGCTGTATCCCCATATCCCAGATATGACAAGCCCGAACGTCTGGCCCGACGAAAAAGTCCTGCCGGGATTTCAAGACGTCTTCGAAACGCTCTGTCGATTGATCGTCGACGTCGCGGCTCTGGTGGCGAGGAGTTGCGATCGATATGGCGTGGCGAAATTGGAAGGGTACAGAGAGGGAACGTTGGAAAATATCGTGCGAGGAAGCGTGAGCACGAAAGCGAGATTACTGCATTACTTCCCCCCTCCACCATCGTCCAAAGAAGACGAGCAACCACCCTGCTCAGACGACGACTGGTGCGGCACGCACACCGACCTCGGCGCCTTAACCGGCCTCACAAGCAACATGTTCATCGACGAGACCCTCCACCCGCCCACCACTTCCTCCCCCATCACCGACCTCCCCGAGCTCGACGCACACCCGGACCCCAAAGCCGGGCTCTGGATCAAAGACCGCGCAGGCCGCACCACCCAAGTCCACATCCCGAGGGACTGTCTTGCTTTCCAGACGGGGCAGGCGTTGCAGCTGATTACGAGGGGGAGGTTCCAGGCTGTGCCACATTTCGTGCGGAGTGGGAGTGGGAGGGGGGCGGGCGGTGGGATTGCGAGGAATACGTTGGCGGTGTTTACGCAGCCGAATTTGTGGGAGGTTGTGGATGAGAGCAGAAAATTGGATTTTGCGGGGTTGGCGGGGGAGGTTTTTGGGAGGACGTATTGAGATGCGATGCGATGCGTTGGGGTGGGGTGGGTTGGGTTTAAGCAGGCGAGACTACTGGTGTTGTTCTGGGGATGAATGGGCAGTGGGTTTGTCGTTCACTTGCATGGACCGTGCATTTCTGGGTACAGGCATGCTAGAAGCAACTCGCTGAATCCAAAACTCCTTTTTTCAACCACCACCAGCATACAAAATTCCTCGCCCATTCTACACCCTCTCCCTCTTCTTCAGCAACCCACTCACCAAATCCCCACCGACCTCCATCCAACCCTTCCTTGCCCCCGCAACCCCAATCAAACCCACAACTAACCCTCAATCCTAGTCCCGCCATCACCAACCGTGTCGAGAACCTCTCCTCAAACGACCCATATCTTGCGCAGCGTCAAATAACAAGGGCTTGAGGGAACATGCCTTCGCCCCCACAACCACTCCCATTCTCGACAGGTGGGAGAAGGTGTTTGACGCTCGTATCGCCCGCTGGGCTTTCCGAATTGGAAGGAGCGGTGGAGGCGGTTTTGGGTTCGAGAGAGGAGGGAATTGTTTTGGGAATTGGTGATGGGTATGTTTCGTTTGATTACCTCTCTCGCTCCTGTGCGTTTATGTTGGTTTTGGAGGTTGGTGGGAGTCTTTGGTGAGGGTCCTGGGTAGTTCTCTCATTCAAGGAGATAGAGGTAAGTGCGAGAAGTGGAAGTGGAATGAAGAACCTTGGTGCACTGATTTGTCTAGGCTCGAAAAGAACTCGCATGGATCGATGAACTATACCCTCTCTTCTAACCTCACCTTTAAGCTCATCTTCACCTGGGTATCCTCCACCCACCACTCCGGCCGCTCCGCCAAATGGATCTGCAACAATATTGTCAGTCAAACGCCTCCATCACACATTCCACCGCATGAGACGAAGAAACACTCACCTTAAAACTCGCCACCAGCGCAGCAATCCCCTTCTTCATCTCAATCCTCGCCAAATGCTGCCCAATACAATGCCGCCTCCCATAGCCAAACCCAAACCCAGCGCGATCCATCTCCGCGAACTTCGCCTTCTCGACATCCAACCACCGTTCCGGGCGGAAGACCGCCGCGTCCGCGCCGAAGAGCTCGACGTCGGCGTTGACGAACGTCTCACATATCGACACGTCCGTGCCGGCGGGGATGCGCACGCCGCTGATCTCCGCGTCCGCGGGCGCGACGGTGCGCTCGAAGCAGTTGGGGCTGGCGGTCAGACGCATGGATTCGTGGATGCAGGCGTTGAGGTAGGGGAGGGCGTCGACTTGGGCGAAGGTGGGGGGGTCGGAGAGGTTGGCGTGGAGGATTTCTTGTTCGAGGGTGGAGAAGATGCGGGGGTTTTCGAGGACTCGTAACAGGACCATTGAGGCGTTCGAGGCTGTTGTTTCGGAGCCGGCGTGGATGGTTGAGATGGTTAGGCCGAGGACGTCGTTGGGGGCGATTACGTCCGGCGCTGCTTGGCTGGCGGCGAGATATCTTCCTAGGAGATCATGTCCGGCGGCTTCTTTGTCGACGTCCTTTCGCTCCTGGATTCGGTTCAAGGCCATCTGCACCAACGCGCTGCCTCCCTTCTGCGGCTTCTGCGCGAATCGATTCTTGTAGATGAGCTGTTCCAAACTCGGCATCGACATCCACAGACCCCAGTGCCTGAAGCGGGCGGAGCCACTAGCGAAGACGCCGTCGATGTCCTCTCCATGCTTGAGATAACCGCGACTCTCACCGAAGGCGACCGTGGCGAGGGTATCGAAGGACCAGAAGCTCAGCCAGTGGCGAAGATCGATTTCAGAGCCGACTTTGGCGCGGAGCTGAGAGATGAGGAGTTGAAGGACGCTGTCGATCTGGCCCTCCTGTTTCAACCATGTTGATTGCGAGAAACCGACAGAAATATGCCTCTTGACCTCAGTAATGTGTCTCTCGTTGCGCGTGCCAATTAGTGAAGCCACAGGCTTGCCATTATTGACGACGACCATAGGCTCATACGATGCAGCCTTCATCCTGTCAATCTATACCTTGTCTCTTGAACGGGGCCATCAACATACCTTCGGAAACGGACGATTAATCCCATAAATATCCGCCACAGCATCCGGCTTTGCAAAAGACACGCGATTCGGTCCCCATCTCACCACGGGTCCATACTTCTCGTGCAACTCTGGGATGAAGTCGGAGTATGGACGACCGGTCCAGATGTTGATCGTTGCCCACCAATCCGTTAAAGACGGGATGATAGGTCCTGGGATGTGTTGTAGTCGGTAGTAGCTTCGAAATAGCGAGGAGAGGGCGACGACAGCTAGTGCGGATGGAAGTATGATCAAGAAGCTGAGCGTGGGACTGCTGAGGATGTTGTCCATTGTCAGTCGATGATCAAATCGTTTCGTGTTTGGCCGGTGCTTGCACGTTGTTCAAATCCGCCGGCGATCAGAGTAACGTCGAGAGAGTATCATAGATAGAAGAGCTGACCACAAACCACCGCCTGTCGGCTGTGCATTGTACTGTCCGACTGAGTCGACTTGACCCTGGTAGTCAGCACCAGCACCGAAGGACGCAGGGCAACGACGCTAGCAGTCCTCGCACAGGGTCATTCGTACACCTTCCCCCGCCAGGCTGACGAGGTAGTTCTAGTAGGCTGACCATTCAAGCGCGTAACTTACGCCAGATCCATCCAGCTTGATCGCAACAAGCTTCTGAACCCTATCTGGCTTAGTTTGGCCAACGACATCATTCTTCGAAAGTCCCTCGGGGCCGTTTTTCCGTTCTTTCCATGCCCATCATACAGTCGAGAGTGAAGTGGCATGTTCCCGTAGCTCGTGGCTTCGGAGAACATCTAGTACTCGTGAGGTACAGGTGGAACCCCAGTTCCAGTTCTGCATAGAGGATGCAGTGGATGTCCCCGAGCGCGCGATGCTCTCTCAGGGCAGAACCTTCTACTGGTACTACCCCGACCAAGCCTAAGCGATGTATGATCAATCTGGCAAGAAACGACAGGTACGGTTGTAAGCATGACCTCAGCTTCAGCATCCGTTGGCTTGGAGAACAGTACCGACTCACCTGCCGACTGGACAGCTCGCCAGTGCGTTCAATAAAATATCCTTGTCCCTGCCTGCTAAGCTAAGATGGTCAGCTAGCTAACTCCCAGCTCTGAGGGCATGGAGGCTCTGTCAGCTACGCGAGGCGGGGCTTCATTGCGAGTTCCGGCGCCGGTATAAGAACTCAAACAATGATCCTAGGAGCAAAGCAAAACGGGAAAGAGTCTCGACTCGTTGACCTCGGCTATGTACAAGTGGTGAATCTATATGCGAGTCAACTCAATCCTCGAAAGATGCACAACACAGAAATGGGGGTATAAAATCCTCACGCGAATGCTTAAAAGCAATGCCAGCGCTATGCAGAACGCTCAAAACTCTCAATCATCGTCCTCATCATCGTCCTTCTCCTTCTTGCCTTCCTCGCTCTTTTCACCTTTCTTCTTCCTTTCCTTCCTCAAAGCCTCTCTGACCTTCTCGTCGCCCTCGTCTCTCGTCTCGTCCCACTCAACATCGTACTCGTCTGCGACCAACTTGATCTCCCTTCTCAGACGATTGCCTTCTTCGATCAGCATCTCCCACTGGGGGAGGTCGAAGCCTTTAGATTTGTACAGCTGATCCTGTCTTCGACTGACTGTGAAGTTCATGGCGCTCCGGTAGGATACTTCACGGTTGTGGTAGAGGAACCACATGTAACCGCCGATCAGACCAGAAAGACCGACGAGGTATGTGACGGGTTCCATGACGTCCCAGCCCAGGTCAGTTCTGAAGGTCAGGTAGTATACCAATCCCCACCAACCCAGCAAGGCACCGAAACCCAGTCGAGCGACGTTCTTGGCTCCGCGATGCGCCAGTTCGTCGCACTCTCGCTTGACATCTGCCATGTTGGAGATGCGCTTTGCGACTTTTCGTAGTCGCATGCGGAGGTAGTAGGTCCTGTCGTGGAAAGATGGGACGCCGATGTAGATGGGCTCCGGGGCACCTTCGATATCAACAGCAAACTCTTTCCCCGTAGCGGCGTCACGAATGAAGTCGCCAATCTCCGTGCTAGGACTCCATCTCACAAAACGACCGCGTTGACCATCCTGACCTTCCTCCTGCTTCTCCAACTCTTGATCATCCTTTCTTATCTTCTCTTCCCGCCCACCACTGATCTTCCCCGTCTTCTCAACCTTCCCATCTACGACCGTCTCATCTGCATCCTCCAATTCCTCTTCTTCAAGCTGCTCCTTACCCTCTACTCTCTGCTTCCCATCCCCCTCCTCCATACTATCCTGCGCCCTGAAAACAATCTCCGGCGCGCGTTCTCTCCCCTTCTTCTCATCCCACAGAAACGGCAGCTCACTCTGTATCAACCTCTCCAGATAACTCAGCGGCTGCTGTGGATGCACCAGCAACGCCAAAGGCTCCACATCTTTGCGATCCTGGTTCGCGTCTCGTGTTGTAAGGGGCAGTATCAGCTTCAGCATTCGGCTGGGCGTGGTGAGCAATTTGCCCTTGGTCATCGCGCCCGCTGAGCGGTATTTTCGAACGGGAGCAACATCGGCTCCTTCATGCATCCAAGGCGAGCGCGTTTGCAGTTTCTTCGACTCTTTCTCGACGACGGAGAAGTGGTCCTTCTCTTCACTCGTCACTTGTTGGGATTGCTCGGTCGCAGGGCGGGAGTAGGAGCTGTCGGTTGCTGACGCGGTATCGAAGTGTTTGCGTTCCTTTGGTAGTAGAGAACCTTGTGACGATGAGAAATATCGTATCCGTAGGGTCGCGTGCGCCGATGTGGTTGTTGGCACACGACAGCTTGGCGTCCAGGTACGTTGGCAGACGGTGCTTGATCGAGGTGCCGCCTGGACGATGAGGCGTGATAGCAGAGGTTCCATCTCCGGTATGAAATATACACGAGTCCTCAATGGTCACAGGGACTGTTGCACCCTGATCCCGAGAGACCGGTGTATAGGTGACAAGAGAAAAGTAAACAGGGCAGACTTCAAGTTGGAAGCAAGATTCACGTTCCTGGCGATCACCATGACGTAGCTCTGGAGCTTTGGTCAACGGTCCAATATGGATGGGGTTCCTTGAACACACGGATTCCATTAATGCATGGCTACATATCGAAGATGATCTATCATGGGTATCATGCCGACTGTCATCAACAGGCCAGCTGTACACGCCTCTGCGCCTTCATAGCTGTCGTACGTGGCGGAGTGCTCCACATCATCTTCGCAGGAACAGAAGACCTCCAGCAGCCTGCAAACCAACCAACATTGCAATCAGCCTCGCCCAGCCCAGTACTGCCGCCTGGATTGCCTCAGCTTCCGCGATAAGGATCGTACCGCATGAGCCAGCTTCGGTCGTGGGTAAGCCAGGCCCGACCGCAATCAACGTGGAGCAGTATCCGTTGTAGCCGACCGTAGTTTGATGAGGAGTCGTGTAGACTGTCGTCCCTGCTGGAGCAACATAACCACCGCCTGCGACCACAGTCGTTGCTGCGGGTTGCTGCCATTTTGTCGAAGGCTGCCAGTAGGTTGTTGTTTGGGCTCCGCCAACGCTGCCAGAGCAGGTCTGACCATTGGGACAGCATGCAACAACGCTGTTCGCCCACGAGCAGTAGTTATTCGCTGGACAGCAACTGTAGTACCACCGAGTCAGTTCCAAAGCTATGCGATTCCCGTGCTAACCACGACTTACTAGTACGGCTCCTGGATATTCGTGCAGCTCACGGGATGGTCTGCGGGACATTGCGCCTGCACCGCACCGCTCGGGTTTCCATTGTTGCTGCTGCCGCTGCTCTGCACGGCTCCGCCAGACCCATAGATCGCGAGCGCGCCAGTAAACTGGTAGTTTTGCCTCTCCTCAAGCAGTGTCTCTCCGTCGTCTCTTTCCACGATCAAGTATTCTCGTCCATCCTGTGCGGCAGCCAGCGAGCTCAACAACGCCCAGACGAGAAGTGCATACAAGCTCAAGATTGAGCTTTGTCGCACTGCGTCTCGGCGTGCCATCATCGTGGCCGGCATCGTTGCGCAGAAATTGGTAGGTCGGGTGTTGGTGGCTGGGAAGGCTGGAGAGGTTCGGAATGGCGGGTAGGTTGGCGTCCCTCAGCAGCGCATCTCTTTCTTCTTTAAACGGCAAGAACAATCGACTTCTGCGCACAAAACCGCCAGCGGCGCAAAACAAACCTCACAAGCGAAAGACTCGGTGCAGCAAACTCGTTGCGCTGGATGTTCGGAAACAGAGAGAAGGGCGAAACTGGACTAAAAGACGTGGAAAAAGACGAAGGCTGGAGAGGAAGCTTACTGACTTGTCATGCGCAGCGCACATGCGCAATCAATCTGGTTTCGGGAAGAAGCTTGGTGGGTGTGGATGCATGCTTCCCATCTACCAAGGTCAGCCTCGTTTGGCGATGTGTGACGTCCGCGGCGGTGGGCTGCATTGGGCCGGATCGTTTTTGATATTTCTGCTTGTCTCCACCAGGATCATTGTACACGCAACGTCGGGACTTCACCGCAATGCCGGATTGCCTAGTCGATGGAGACGGAGTCGTCATGTTTGCCCAGCCATCACCTGGGCTGAAGCAGCTGCTGGATGACTCGCATGCACTATTGAGTTGAGGTGCAGATGGAAGCTTCGGATCGGTCTGGTGGTGTCCCAAGCTCCCTTGAACCACGTACGTGCATAATCGATATCGGTAATGCAAATGATTGGCTGATGTATTCACTGTCGATTTGATGGATAATTAGTTGGCACCTTTGATTCAAGACTTGGTCGCGAGTGCTGCTCGTCCTCGTCGTCTCAAGTCAACATTCTCCAGCCTCTCCGTCTCGGATCCGTTCACAGCCGTATCAACCAACGCAGCTGCGAGCTCTTCAACTGGGATGTAGCTGCCCGGCATCACGAATCGCAAGATCGGCTCCCCGACCGTCACATAGGCCGGCCTGGCGACGAAAGACTGCCAGTGATCTGGGTGTTGAGTCTGGATGGCAAGGACTTTGTTCTCGACTTCGCCCTGGATGTCATAATCAGCAAGCGTACCACGGAGAAGGTCCGGAAATGTATCTACCCTCAGCTTTCTCGCACCTCCCAACAGCCATACTGTCTTGTCCTGGTCTTTCTCTGCCAGAGCACCGCTGAGATATACAAATTTCAACTTCCTGCCGCCTCCCAAGTGTCCCAACAGCTTGTCTTCGAACGCATTTGCTGCCGCCATTGTATAGTCCATGTGGACTTCTTTCCCGCTCGTTGCTTTGCCCAAACACCATATACAAGCTTGTGCGCCCTGAAGCTGGGCTAGAGTCTCATCATCGTACTTGAGAAAGTCTTTGTGGATAACGACCTTCAGCTTGGGGTCGGATGTCTGCAGAGGCCGTCTTGATAGGGCAACGATGAGCGTGATCGATGGTACGGCGAGGAGGCGCTTGAGGACATTGCCGCCGATGAAGCCTGTTGCGCCTGAAAGTATGACCTTCATTGTGTCGAGACTTGGTCGGGTCGAAGCTGTGGGTGTATCAGATAGCCTTTTGTGTTGATGGTATACGTGTCGGACGAAAAGAATGTGACTTGACCTTGTTGCCTACAAAACCTCACGTAGGGTGCTCTTGCGATGTCATCGCAATTCTTTCCTCGACATGATTGTTGTGCAGAAGAAAGAGCTAGCGAGCCGACGGGTGAAAGGTTGCCCCTGACTATTCGGATTCGCGTGCAAGATAGACCGACCTCCGCTTCGGACTGTATCTGGTCAACAACAGCCTTCAATTCTCAATTGACGCCATATGTAGCGAAGAATTGCCTTGTCTGCAGAACGTTCAAGAGCCACGGCAACAAGCTTCTCCACGGCCGTACCGACTACGTCGTCATCGTCTCAACCCAGGCCAAATCGACCACAGTATCAGCCTCACTTGCCAGGTTTAGATCGACTGCTAGTATGCATGGATGTCACAAGCCTATCTCAAGATGCTTTACAATACTGGCCAGCGAACGTTGCTTGTGCAACAGTTCCAATCGAGACGGGAAGATCAGGGAGATCGCATTGAAACTCGTCTTCTTCACGGCCATAGTATCGCTCTCCTGAAGGCTGCCGCTGAGCGGGACAAATGCTTCGTCTGACACTTCCAGGACACCGTGGTGTGGTCTGGACAGACTGCTTTCTGGAACCATTGACTTTTTCATCAGGAAACCAGCGTTTGTCGAGCGAGAATGACCCAACCACACTCACGAGAGTGGTTCTCAAAGGCCGTCTTCGTTGCTTAAGGCGACTGAAGTTTGCAAAGCTTCGACAAACAAGTGGCCCAGACTGTTTCTCGAACCACTGTCATTCGAGCTTCCAATGACATGCGATGGATGTTGGACCTCAGCATGAGAACAACCGCCATCTTTTTATCATGCCTGGCAGAAAGTGCTGTTACGCCAGGACAAAGCACTCGTGGTAAATGAAGTTGCTCCTCCTGCTCTACGAGAATGCGTGTTCGGGCGTATTCAGCAGGGTTGGACTTCGTATCAGTTACCTTGAAGACACGCGGGAACTGACGCTCGCTCGTTGTGAACAGGGTGAGAACCTTCACACAACTTGTGTCATCTAAGCATGCCTCGGATCTGATGTTCCTTCGACGACCTTTTGCACCAAGGCATTGTCAGAGTAGGGGTCATTGCAAGTCCAGGCCGAAAAGCTCTTGTAAATCTTGGGGATACCACGAGATGCTTGGATCGAGGTTGCCCTCCAGGATAGTGTCCAGGTCGTCAAGATTCCAGTCGGTGCCAGAGTCGTAAAGAGGCTGCCCAGAGTCCAAAGACGCATTGGGAGGATTTGACTCATTCTCAAGCAAAGCTTGCACGCCGTTCTGCGGAGCTAAGGGCCCACGGGTTGACTCTTGAGCCGGTTCGCTTTCATCGACGTGACGCTCGGCTAGTATCTTTCCGGCCATTTCTGCCATGAACGCAGCGGACCAAAAGACTTGTCCTGATGGTAGCAAATGCTTGTATGCTTGCGCGAGGCGTTTCCTCGCACGAGTACGGTGCGTTAACGCCTTCGAATGCCTGTACTCACGATATGCGGCGCTCAGGGACAGAGAGACTGCGTATGGTACCAGGGCATTAAGACAAGGGTTTCGGACACATTAGAGTCTTCCATGATAGACAATATTTGCATTGCCGATGATGCTTGTCGATTGTTTCGGCCATTGTGCGAATCTCGACGGGGCCCAGAGCTGTATCGACACGACAAGATGGCTACAGCATGATAGAATAACTCCAACGTGGCTTGTAATCTTTGTCAGCCAATGCGAGACATACAGATGGCAAGATATACGTACCTATCAGGTGTGATGGTGAGTCCGTGGCACTGCACTCTTCGAGGATCTCCTCAAACGAGGGGAAATCATCATCTGAGATCTCGACAGAGGAAGCGCCTGGTCTATACAACCCAATCACTTTGTCAAGCAACATCGCAATGGAGATGAGGACTTTGAATTCAGGCTGTTGGTTAGATGCCTCTTCTTTCGGGACTTTCGCCATGTCCGCCTCGTGCATTATTACCGGCCGGCCTTGCATAGCAGCATGCAGTCTATCCATCGACCAGACACTGCAGAACAACGCCGCTGTCCTATCATTTCTCTGAGCATCACCTGGCTGATGCAGGCCAATCGTGTAGCCGTGCTGCACCGCTCGAATGAAGAACTGGGGCGTTAGTTCCAGGCTCTCGCGTCCATATGCGATCAGAGACATGGCCATGAGAGCTTGTATGACTACAGCCTTGTCCGAGACCAGAGCCAACTCGATGCTCAGCCTCATGGCCGCTACAATCTTGCGCGCAAAGTCTGCAGGTGACAGTAAACCTTCAGTACCTGGAAGCCTCAAGAGGCCTCTCACTGAAGGACTGGGACAGGTCATAAGGCAGATGATCTGTTGCAGAAGAGCCTTGGTCGGGCTGTCGACAGGGCTGCTCCAGTATGTGTCCCTGTCCACGCACGGCAGAATGGGATGAATATTCTCGAAATACAACGCCTCCAAAATCTCGAAGTCTTGCCAGCAAGGACAGATGTCCAGACACTGAGTCTTCGCAATGTTCTGCAACTGGCTCTGGATAGAGCCCGAACTGCCATAGAACAAGCTCAATGGTGAAGACAGATTCAGCCCGCTATCGGGGTGCGGCTGGTCGGCAGATTCAGTGTGCCAGACGCCAACATTGTTCTTCGGCTGCCTTGCCGGGGTTGTTGCCGTGAGCAGCTCCACTTCTGGATTCAAGTCGCCAATAAATCTCGGATGGGATGTAGCACTGTGAACTGACAGTGAGGTGGCCGTATCTCCTGTTTGAGGGGCCTGGTAAGCGACTCGTTGAACACCTGAAAGGCTGTGCTCTCCGCGCTGGCTCTCGAACGTGCTGGTAACGGTTTGGCCACTGGGTGTATCGTTGGCCGCCCGACCGCCAGCACCGCCATGTTCTGCACCGTGGGCGGAGTCTTCCTGATTTTCAGGCGCGTGAAAACACCTTTTCTTCCGCCGTCGACATGATTCACACGCCTTGGATGCTATTCTCTTTCTGTTTTCGGGCTGGCCGCTGGACTGGACGAATCGGAAAGTTGAAAAGGATGGCTCCTGTGATGAAGACATTGATGATGTCGGGAAGAGAAAAGATGGGGAAGCGGCGACCCTTTCCCAAAGCGGCTGACTGTCCCTCGTCAGCCTTGTCTGGTAGACAACATCCTTGCTTGCAGAATGTGTTCTGGAGACTTCACAATTCAGTGAATTTACAAAGAGGCTTCCATAGAAGCCTGAAGATACCGCTCATGACTACTGTCGTTACCATGGCGATCCAAATCACAACACTGAGAATCTCGAGGCGAGGTAACCGCAACAAAGTCGCCTTTTGTAATTCGGACTAGACGAAATACTTACGAACATGTAATACTGGGCGCCACAGTCAACATTCTCCAAGCTCAATCACTTTCGTTCTGCCTTTCGAGAGCGAACTTCGACTTTTTGGCTTTCCCATCAAATGGCAAGACCGTTTGCCAAGATAGCGATATACTGACGGGCTCGAATACAACTCGGCAACCGATTATTGCGGACCACGGACCCGACGGACCCTCCGCATTTGTGCCATGCAACTCGCTACAAGACCTGTGGTGGACGAATCTCGTTGCGAAGAAGTCAATACTCGCTGTTGTTTTCCTTGATTAGGAAGCTATTGACGAGCAAGCCACGAGACAACATGCCTGTTAAAATGCTCAAATGGGCGTGGTTTGTACTACACAGGGCGTGCTAGGTGGTAGTATTAGACCATTGGTTCAGGTCACTCACTAAGAGTAATTGCACCACCACTCATTCGCCAAATGTTCCTCCGAGAAGGCCATGTCGAGCACTCCATCCCTCAACTTCGCAAGTTCATACAGCAGAACCCACTCGGGATCCTTACAACTGCCATCGAATCCGACGATCATCCATTCATCCAGTCGAGCCATATCCCCTGGGTCATCGACATCCCCGACCCGGAAGATGAAAAAGCCCTGCCGACGCTGAGGGGGCACATCGCCCGCAAGAACCCGCAATCGAAGGTCTTCACCGCCGAAGCACTACGTTCAGAAGAACCTGTTTCCAAACCGCATACTATCAAGCGAGATGTGATGGTCCTCTTCAACGGCCCGGTACACCACTACGTCACGCCCAAGTTCTACACCAAGACGAAGCCCGAGAGCGGCAAAGTCGTGCCGACATGGAATTACTCCGCCGTCGAAGCGCACGGCACCGCAACCGTCTACCTCGACCACAAATCCCCCTCCACGACCGCCTTCCTCTCGAAACAGATCCGCGATCTCTCCCATGAAGCTGAGACGAGGATTATGGGGTATAGCAAGCCGTGGGCGGTGGAGGATGCGCCGGAGAAGTATATTGAGTTGCTGGCGGCGAATATTGTGGGGGTTGAGATTGAGGTGAAGAGATTGGGAGGGAAGTTTAAGATGAGTCAGGAGATAGGGAGGGAGGATGTGGAGGGGGTTGTGGAGGGGTTTGCGGGGCTGGGGACGGAAGAGGGGAAGAGGATGGCGGAGATTGTGAGAGAGAGGGATGGGTTGAGGGCTTGAGAGGGGACTAGTAGGTTTTTGGAGCGAGAAAGAGGTACTTGGGTTATACTGCGGTGGCCAAAGAGACTGTTTGCGACTTTCACCAGGCAAACCGTCCTCTTCGAAAGAAATAGCTAACTCTCTTCCTCAAGCCATACATCAGGTCCTCTTCCTCCCTGAATTCTCCCTTGCCCACCCATCCAAACCCCTCTTCCCCTCCCACAAGATCTCAGGCCCCCTTCCATCCTACACATCACTTCGTCCCTCCATCCCAACCCCTTAATGATACCAATCCCCCGTCCCATTACACCTCGAACAAGTCGCAAGCTGCTTGCCATCCCCTTTACACTGGCTGCAAGTCACGCCTCTCCAAGACCCCCCAACCCGCGCAGTTTCGGCAGGGTGTGCGGACTTTGCCGTTGCCTTTGCAGCTGGGGCAGTTGCGGCGTCGTGGGGGCGCGGGCATTGTGATGGTAATGCTTTTGGGTTGTTAGATATGCGAAGGTATAGGGTGTTGGGGGAAGACATGTACTTGCTTGTGCTTTGTTGCGGCTAGGATCTTGTTGAGTACGTGTGTGGTTGTGGAATGGGGTGTTCGAAGTCAAAACGTGGGCGAGCAGGCTGGTCTTTTCAACGCTAATCGGCTGTGGACAACACATTCGGAACGTTGTGTTACACAACTTGCCTTCATCTTGGCCTGCTCGTGTTGTTCACCTATTGTTATTACGAGGCGAGCTGGCGAGAGCTGAACAACGCCAAGGCTCACGCACAGCCTTGTCCTCAGCTCTGGCTTCACATAACCGAGCGTCTTTGGACAGCGGAAATATGGATCATATCCTGTTTGCGAGGACACGTATTGAATCATGTTCGATGGAGCTGGGCTTACTATGCGTGCTCGGCAGCTGAGACCGCGCTGGGCGGGTCAAGTCAGGAGAGGACTCAAAGGACAGGGATATATGCCAGGCGAATTATAAAGCGACCAATTCGAGCTTGGAGGTGGTTGGAAGCGAGACACTGACACTTGAAGGCGTCCGACTTATGTGCATGCTGTCAAGTGATACGTGACATCCTCGACTGCCGTGCATATCAAAGGCTTGCACGTTGCAGTCACGGGCTGTTCACAGGGGTGACGTGGCATGTAAAGGAGGAGAGCCCATCGTATGCAACCTTTACGTTGGGCCTATAGCTTTTCTAACAGCCGCAAACTACAAAGCGAGCAAGTGGGAAAATTCCCACACCAAACCCCCCATCTCACACCAAAACCCTCTCCGCCCCCCAAAACTCCCCCCCAAACCTAACGCCCGTCCTCCTAACCGGGACCCCCGCCCCATACGCCTCCAACATCTCCCCCTGCCCCGCATACATAGCCACATGATGAATACTCGCCGCATCACTCACATTCGTCGCATAGAACAACAGATCCCTCATCTCCAGAGCCTCCTTCTCCACACTGACGCCATGGCCCGTGTATGTGGCTTGGGCGCCCGAGTCCCGCGCGATGGTGATTCCATGGGCGCGGTAGAGGGTGCCCGTGAAGCCGGCGCAGTCGAAGGCGTAGCCGGAGGTACCGCCCCAGAGGTAGGCGCGGGAGAGGAAGAGGGTGCCGGACCGGACGAGGTCGGCGCCGGTGGGGTGGGGGATGGAGGAGGGGGAGTTGTAGATTTTGGCGGAGTTGGAGGGGAGGTAGGCTGTTTTGCAGGAGGTGAGGGAGACTTGGATCGAACACCGGCTATTTGGGTTTGTACTCAGAACGGGGAGGCGGGTGCCGTAGCTGATGTTCATGATGGGGTTGCGGAGCCAGGGGTCGTGGTAGAGAGGCACTGTTGCTGCGCTTTCGACTTGGGCGAAGGGTTTGCTTGCTTGGAGTTTGCCGTATCCTTCGTTGAATGATACTTGCACCGCGGCGACCCAGCCAGGATATCCCAGTGCGTTCTTCGGCGTCAATTGATCCGGGACGGCGATTTCGTACCAGTCGTCCGTAGAGTTGAGGATGTGCACTTGTGTCCCGTAGAGGGCTTGTGTTTGCGTTCTATCGCTGTCGGTGAGGTCGAGGTACTCGGCTGTGGTCATTGAGTCGAGCCATTGTTGGATTTGGGCTGGGTTTTGCAGCGCTGGGGCGTCGATTGCACGGGGTTTGGAGGGGTTTGTCCAGAGTGTGGCGACTGAGACGTCGATGTAGCCGATCGAGGGCGTTGTCCTTGTGGAGTCGTGAGGTGCGGCGATTGCAGAGGTGGTCAGACCTGCTAAGAGGACTGTGAGCGCCGCTCTGGCCATGGTTCTGGTACGAGAAGCCGTCAAATCGATCCAGCTTCTGCAACTTCACTTCGAAGACTCGACTCCGTGGTATTTCAACGACAGGCTCAGCACTTGGCCGAACTGCGGCACATCCTTCGCCAGACGATATTCGTGAAGTGTTCGCGCCTTCCTATTTCGGACATGTATAGGCGAAAACAACCACTGAAGTCGTGTGCTTGTTCGCGTTAAAGTTCGTGGTTGCAGTAGCTTGCTGTAGCCCTGCTGTGCTACCCCGATAAGAGAGGTTACATCTTGCCGGCTATCTCGTTCGGGGCACTGTACTTCTTTTGATGCAGATGTGATGCAGAGGGGCGGGCTTGTCTTGATTCGCAGTTCTTGTTGCATGGCTTGTCATTTGGTCGTGATTTCCATTCTCGTGATGTCCGTACTTGTTGAAACGGCCCCTTTTCTTTAACCTGTCTTCTCCACTTCCGTCAACTTACACCTCAAAAACCTCCTATCCCTCCCAATCCCCTTCTTCCCACCAGATCCCACCCCAAGCGGCTCAGCCATATACCCACTATTCGGCACCATGCCCTCATCATCCAAAATCTCCGTGCTGAAACTGCCCCACAAACCCACCACCGTAGCCTTCATATCCAGCACAGCCAAATTGCTTCCCACACACATCCTGCCTCCAGACCCGAACGCCCAGAACCACCGGGACATCTCGCGTTGGATTTGGGGATCGCTGTCTATCCAGCGGTCGGGATGCCAGGAGTCCGGGTTGGGGAAGACTTTGGGGTTGCGGTGGAGGGACCAGGCTTGCGCTTGGACGCGGGTGTTGGGTGGGAGGGAGGCGAATGTGATGCCCGACTCGGTGTCGCCGAGAGTTGTGGGTGTGGATGGGGTCATACGTGGTTGGTTGCCTGGGATTGCGGCGTGGAGTCGAAGGGTTTCCATGAGAATGGCGTGCAAGGTAGGGAGGTTGTCGATGGCTTTGGCGTCGAGGCTGCCATTGAGGGTCTTGATCTCTTCCTGCAGTTTTCGTTGCCAGTTTTGATGGTCCGGTCGACTCAATTGCCACGCTAGCCATGACAGCGTGATTCCAGAAGTATCGAAGCCCGCGAGTGTGTGGTCCAGCAACTCGCTTGCGATCTGTAATCGTAGATTCTCCACCTGTTGCTGGATAGGAACATTTACGTCTGTCTTCTCTGATTTCATCGCATCCTTGAGCAGCGTGTTACGCAACTGCGCATACACGTTCGGATAGTCTTCAATTGCGACTTCCTCGCCACTCTCGCTCGCCTTGAGAGTGCTCTCGGCTTTGTCGCACATGCTCATGAGCCAGTTCTCGAGATCTTGGTTGGCCTTGTCAACCCAGGTCGGTACCAGCAACCACTTCAAGCCCAATCGTTTCATGAAGTTGGTGAAACCTGCCATTTCCTGCGGCCAGAAAGTGTACTTCTGCCTGGCTTTAAATTCCTGAAAGAGCTGAATGCCTTCTTCCTTCCGGCGAATATGATCACTATTGTTCTTCAATCCGAAGACGTAGCCGGAGACGAAGTCCATTGTTACAGCTGAGAAGATGTCGTAAAGCTCGATTGTCTTTCCGGAGTCCGCTTCAGCTTTCAGACGTTGATGCAGCCTCTCTCGAAGCAGGATGTCCGTTTGCTTAGAGAGAGCCTGACTGCTCTGCAATGTCGACTTTGCATAGACGTTTGAGAGCATACGTTTTCGCTTGGAGTGCTCGTTATGTCCTTCCATGGCAAACATTGGCTCAACGCCATAGTTAGAAAAGACATTCGAGTACCAGTTGCCCTTCTCGAATCCACCCGCATAGATCGTCCGAATGCCGCCATCGACTGAGTTGACCGAGATCTCGTTTGGTGCGAGGCGGATTACAGGGCCAAGTCGACCGTGAGCCTGGTGGATTGTTGTTGTGTCGTTTTGCTGTTGGCGATGGAACAAGATCCAGAAGGGTGAGAAGGGGGCCGTCCAGTGGGCGTTGGGGATGCGAGCAAGAGGCGATATGAAAGCTGGAAAGATGATGAACTTGTAGATGGTGAAGAGTATCAGGGCAATGCCTGCTGCGAGAGGAATGATGGGTACAGCCATGGCCGTAGATGTGTTGAAGCAGGCAAGGACTATGAAGATATTCCTGTGCTGATATGCATTGACAGCATTGATTGCACGCACAACATAGGAGCGTAGGATGTTGAAGTATGTCGATGCAAGTGAAGGGCGATTACGAGTTGGGGAAGTACTTGCGATACACAGGGCGGGAAGAAAGAGGAGATGTCAAGATAGGGCGACAGTTTAGCCGAACATTTTAACCGCATTGGGAAGCAAAGAGCCACGCTACAGAGATATTGACGTAATGAGAACGGGTCGAGCGCCTTCACATGAAAGTTGTAAGGTAGATGGACAGCATCGTTGTCCTTCATATGAGTAGAGAGGCTGGCCTCAATGGTGATCATGGTAATCAATGTCGTTGAATCAGAGTTTTGACCTTCACAGAACAATTACCATACAAAGCTGTTGTCATCAAGGAGGAGGAGGGTGAGGAGAGCGGCTCAGCTGAACGCACACAGAGCCGTCTCTTGGGACGACAGAATCCCTTTATAGAGACTAGTAAACACTTCTATTTTAGGCGCTGTATGCGTTGCAATGGCATATCTCGAAGTTGATGCCTCAGGCACGAACAGGCCCCGCTTCCTTCGCGACAATCGCAGCAAGCTGCATTATCGGGCGTACGATTGGCAGCGAGACACTTCACCTCCTCCTCTGCCATCACCACTCACTCCGCCAGTAATAGCCTGGAATCACAATCGCACCTGTCGTTGTTGTCGTTGCTGCTGCTTGTCTCCGCCATTGACGACAGCTCGGCTAGCGCACATTCCTGATCCCGTCCCTTTGTCCCAGCCTGCCGTCTCGCCGTTGCTACGGCCGGGCGCATCCCTTGTTCCTGGTGCACACACCGCCCTGCCATCTCGTCGCCGCCGCCATAACCATATCCCTATCGAGCCTGCGCCCGTCGAGACCATAGCCTACGTGCCCGCGTTGAAGACGAAGAGTTGTGTCTAGAGCGAGTGAGACAGACAGGGCCGAGCTAGAGATCTCAGAGCTCCAGCTCCGATACCTGCAGTGCTGTGCCAGATTCGCACGCAGCAGCAGCATCACGCAGCCAGCACCCCCGGTGACCAGCCTGATCCCAGCCAACCAGCCTACCGTCGCACGCAAACGCGCTGTGCGACAAGAGAGACACGCTCGCAGACACCAGCGCCTGCTGTCGCTCGCTCGTCGTCGTCGCCAAGCGCCGCCCGGCCAGACCGGCTTTCAGTGGAGTGCTCGCTGCTTGCGTCACAGCCCGCCGACATCATCAGCACCACCGCCGCTCCACCGCCAGCGGCTGTCTAGATCGCCGCCTCCACCTCCTCCTCCGCGTTCTGACGTGCCTCTCATATCTCCAGCTCCAGTCTCCCTGGCTCGCGGCCGGATCCGCTGCCGCCCGCATACCTGGCCTTGCCCTGCTCGTCGACTCCTGCGTGCGGCATCCAATCCATTCCTCCCCTCACGCCATCACGGCGCCCACGACGTTGGCGCCGCCCGACCCGCCCTCCACTGCCACCCTTCCACCCAAGCGGAGAGCCTCATCCTCCCCCATGCCGTCGCTCGGTTTCCTCAAGAAGAAGCGCACCAAGGACTCCTCGCAAGGGTCTGACCAAGTCACTTCGCCAACCTCCCCTAACATTGACAAGGGCGGCTCGCCAATCACCCCCACCCTCTCCAAGACCAGCAACCTCTTCGCCGAGCCCGCCGATACGCCTCAGAATACCTCCTCCACCGCCGCGCCCACCGATACCTCTGCCAAGCCATCGAGCGGGATGGGGGCCCAAGTCCAGCCCTCCATCCAGAACCTCATGAACCAGCCTGGATACACCGGCTCACAGCATGACTCTGCCTACTCGGGCCACAGCGACGGCAATGTGCCCGTGATCAATGCCCCCGCCGCCAAACCCACCACCAACCCGCTGCGCGAGACCAAGGGAAAGTACACTCTGAATGACTTTACCATATCGCGAACGCTGGGCACCGGTAGTTTCGGAAGAGTACATTTGGTGCAGAGCAAACACAACCAGCGGTTCTATGCGGTCAAAGTTCTTAAGAAGGCCCAGGTCATTAAGATGAAGCAGGTCGAACACACAAACGACGAGAGGAAGATGCTGCAGCGGTGTAGACACCCATTCCTTATCACGTTGTGGGGCACGTGGCAGGATGCGAAGAACCTGTACATGGTCATGGACTTCATCGAGGGTGGTGAGCTGTTCAGCCTGCTGCGAAAGTCTCAGCGCTTCCCCAATCCAGTCGCCAAGTTCTACGCTGCTGAAGTCACCCTCGCGCTCGACTACCTCCATAGCATGAACATCATATATCGAGATCTGAAGCCCGAGAACCTGCTGCTAGATCGACACGGCCACATCAAGATCACGGATTTCGGATTTGCCAAGGAAGTTCCAGATATCACCTGGACGCTCTGCGGCACTCCAGATTACCTCGCCCCGGAAGTTGTGAGCAGCAAGGGGTACAACAAGAGTGTGGACTGGTAGGTGCCGCAAGAATGACCAAAGTCTGTGATGTCAATTGCTAATGATATTCTAGGTGGAGCTTGGGCATCCTCATTTTCGAGATGTTGGCAGGATTCACACCTTTTTGGGATGCTGGGTCGCCCCTCAAGATCTACGAAAACATCCTCAAAGGCCGAGTCAAGTACCCTCCGTACATTCACCCAGACGCTCAGGACCTCCTCTCCAAGCTCATCACAGCCGATCTGACAAAGCGACTGGGTAACTTGCACGGAGGCAGCAAAGACGTCATGACCCATCCATGGTTCGCAGAGGTCACATGGGAAAGGCTGGCCAAGAAGGATATCGATGCACCGTATGTGCCTCCCGTGCGCGGAGGTGCAGGTGATGCCAGTCTGTTTGACAAGTATCCTGAAGAGCAAGAAGCATACGGACAAGGAGGCGATGATCCGTGAGTGAAGTAGTCCTATTACACTGAACTGTGCTAACAACATCGCAGCCACGGCTACCAATTTCCCGACTTCTAAAGGCAATTTACAGACACGCAGCTGCGGCATTCTGGACCACGAGCATACAGCGCAGTGAGCCGATGCCAGCCTTCTCCTGCACCATACAGAACCGCTGTGAATCTCCAGAGGAAATGAGAGACGGGACATGACATTTATACGGCTGAAAGTAGACCCTGAGCTGTCAAGTACATCAGCTTCAGCGAGGCATAGGCATACGAAAGATCTAATTCAAATGGGAAAACACTTCTTGTTTCGCGAGAAGCATATGGGGCGGAAAAGCGTTGTGAGAGGGAACCCGCCATCGTTGGAATACGTCTTCACGAGGGAGGCACAAGCGAGGTTTCGAGAGCAAAACGTTCGGTGTTTGATTGAGCTTTTTGGGGGAAACAAATCATTGGGATCGGGGAGCGCTTGTATTGTAAGGCTTCTTCTGAGCTGAACTCTTATTACTGCCCTGGAAAGAAAGAAATGAATGACGTGAGATGTTCAAAGCAAGCCGGGTGTCTAGGCATCTCTCATAGATCCATTTTCAAGGACCTGGAATAGAGTAGGCAATTTCTTTTGCCTACCTCCTATTGAAGCAATGCTAGCTAGTGTACTACGGCTTGTAAGTGGCCAAGAAGAATACGCATGGAGCACCGGGGCAAGGCTAACATACATCGCTAAAAGGACGCCAAACTCTTACATTGTCTAGTGCTGATTATGACGAAACCAGGCAACTCTCTCATAACCTATGTATAGGTGAATAAGCTTGGCAGCAGAGCAGGTACGTAAGTGAGCAACGCATACCTGCTAACATTAGTCTCCAGTCGTTGGCTGCCAAGGAGATGATCGTAGACGCTGGCCTCAACGTACATTCGACCCTACCGCTGATGTGGGGCATAGGATGAGGCTACAAGATTTGGACATAGCGTTGCATCTTGTTGCCTCAGACGCGCACGATATACAATTACTGACCAGAGGCTCGAAGGCTTGAAGAAGACGGACGAGGCACACAGAAGATATCAGAGCTTTCAACGAACAACTTTCACATCATGCCGCCAAAGACCAAGTTTGACCCAACTCGCCCCGTCGACTTCACCACCGTCGCAGGCAAAACAGCAATCATCACCGGCGGAGCCTCAGGAATCGGGCTCGGCTTCGCCACAGCCTTAGCAACCCACGGCGCCCAAGTCTTCATCCTCGACATCAACGACGCCGGCGGCCGGGAAGCCGAAACCCAGCTCCGAGCAAAGAACTCCCAAGCCACATTCATCGACACAGACTTCACATCCTGGGAATCGCAACTCGAAGCCTTCAAACAGATCCTCGAACAAAGCCAAAACGGCAGAATCGACATCGTCATAACGAGCGCGGGCGTCGCCTCGCCGAACATCAAACTCGCCTGGCTCCCCGAGGAAGGCGAAGACCTCCCCACGGAGCCGAGCAAACCCCCTACGCCGGCGATATCTGCGAATTTGCTGGGGACGTACTACACGACCCACCTCGCTCTCTCCTCCTTCGTCCGTCAACAACAACGACAAAGCAGTCCCTCCCGCCCCCAACTCCTCCTAATCGCAGGCCTCCCAGCCTACTTCGGCCAAGACTTCAACCCCGACTACACCGCCTCCAACCACGGCATGCGCGGCATCTTCAAATCCCTCCGCCAACCCGACGTCGCGCGGAAATTCGGGGATTACCGGATCAACCTCCTCGCGCCGGCGTTTGTGGCTACGCCTATGCTCGCGGGTGTTGAGGAGATGCTCGTGTGGCGTGGGGCAAGGGTGGGGGAGGTTGGGAGTGTTGTGGAGGCGGGGATGAGGTGTGTTTGTGGGGAGGGGGGTGGTGGGAGGGCGGTTTGTGTGGGTGGGGCGGAGGAGGGGAGTGGAGGGGCTTTTGATGTTGGGGATGATGTTGAGGGGGGGAATGGGGTGAGGATTGTGGAGAGGTTGGAGGAGGGAGTTTTTGGGAAGATGTATGGGAATGCTACTTGACATACATATGTGGGGCGGCGAGGCTTCGGCGGTTCTGAAGGAGGGTCGCGTACGGATGTATATGAGTTCGTGGGTTTTGTCCGCGTCTCCGCGTCTCCGCGTCCGCGTCCGCGTCCGCGTTTCAGGCTGGAGATATGAATGAACAATGATTGAATGGCGATGTTTATCCATATGGCATTACGGCCGAGTCCTCGCCCGTTAGACGTACATCAGATATGTATCCTATCGCCATTGCGACGCAGATATGCCACGCGGAAACTAGCGGCCGCCGCAATGCACTGTTCCTCTCTCCAACGGCTGCACAATGCTATGTCTGGGTACAGTAAAGTCCGCTGGATCTTTGGGGATACGAAGTTCGTCTCGATTACAATCACGAAGACGTTCCTTTCTCGAAAGAGCTTTGCTCGATCAGCACAACGCCATTGGAACTACATAGCCCAGACTCAAGCACTTCAACGTCTTCAAACGACTTCGCTAGAACTTCTCCTCAATAGTCACAGTCACTGAAGACTCCATTCTCGACTTTGGTATCTCCAGGCTCCAGTAGTCTCTCAAGCCCTCTTAGCAGCTTTCGAAACCGAAGTGGTAACGAGCACCGTTTCCGCGTACAACAAGACAGGGCTCCAGTTATCGTAAACTCCGAATTCCCTCACGGATATAGGCTGGAGTTTAGCACGTCGTACACATCGAATGTATCGAGTCGTGTGGCGAGGTAGGAGGCACTCGCTGCAGAGTTCATCAATCATGTCTCCACCTTGCAGGCAGTCAATGTCTGCGTCGTCTCGTTCTTGTTGGTTTTAAAAACTTCTCTCGACAGAAATCCTAATCTCTCCCTCAATCGCTTCAACACCACAAATTCATTCTCCTCACCACACCCATCTCCTCCCGCCAAAATGTCCACCACCTCAACCCGCGGCGCCGCCTACTTCGGCACCATGATCAACGATTCGCGCAGCATGCGCCACCGCCAACTCGCCCCCAGCGCCGGCGTCCGCGTCTCGCCCCTCTGCCTCGGCGCCATGACCTTCGGGGAAGCACACGCCTACCGCTACGGCGAGATCAGCAAAGACACGGCCTTCGCCATCATGGACCACTTCTACTCGCAAGGAGGGAATTTCATCGATACCGCGAACGGATATCAGGCGGGGGAGAGCGAGATGTGGGTCGGCGAGTGGATGAAGGCGAGGGGGGTAAGGGATGAGATTGTGCTGGCGACGAAGTTTACGACGGGGTAGTAAGTCTTTCTTGCTGTTTTGAGTGGTTTGATGGTGGCGAGGCTGATGGTGGCTAGTATGAACCATGAGAAGGATAAGATCCAGGCAAATTTCGGCGGCAACAGTACCAAGTCGATGAAGGTGTCTGTGGCCGCGTCGTTGCGGAAGTTGCAGACGTCGTACATCGATATCTTGTACGTCCACTGGTGGGACTACACGGTCAGTACAACTTCCGAGCGAAGAGATCCGCATGCATATACTGACTTTCTCAGACCACAATCCCCGAACTCATGCACTCCCTCAACGACCTCGTCGTCTCCGGCCAAGTTCTCTACCTCGGAATCTCCGACTGCCCAGCCTGGGTGGTATCCAAAGCCAACCAGTACGCCCGGGACCACGGCCTCCGCCAATTCGTCGTCTATCAAGGAAGTTGGAACGCCGCGATGCGAGACTTTGAGCGCGACATCATCCCGATGTGTAAAGACGAAGGCATGGGTCTCGCTCCATACGGCGTGCTGGGTCAGGGGCAGTTCCAGACCGAAGCGAGCTTCAAAGAGCGCGAGAAGACCAACGAAGGACGCAAGTTCTACGCCAAAGTCGGTTCGACTAGAGAGGTGTCCAGAGTTCTGGAGAAGCTCGCGAATGGCAAGGGCGGGAAGAATGTCACAGACATCGCGCTGGCGTACGTGATGCACAAGGCTCCGTACGTGTTCCCAATCGTTGGCGCGCGGAAGCTGGAGCACATCCAAGGCAGTGTGGCGGCCTTGTCGATTTCGTTGACGGATGACGAGATCCGTGAGATTGAAGATTCCCATCATTTCGACCATGGCTTCCCTCATACGTTCCTGAGCGGCACTTTGTTCGACGATCAAGCGAAGCCGAAGCAGGTCGAAGGGCCGCAGGACGTGTTCTTGCTGAAGCCATTGGGCGAGTTCGAATGGGTGGAGGCGCCGAAGCCGATCAAGCCTTCCGGGCAGTAGCTTATTAGAACGAACATCGACAGGTTTTTTAGTTTCCAGTTCGACGCCCTCTGGCTGGCGTCCTCAAACATCAAGCGTGCTGGCGATTTTTCTCTGTCGTTCCTCATTCCACATTCTAGCAATCATCGACGCTGCAGCCTTGTCCATCACAGGAGACGCAGGCTCGACCACGCCAAGACGATTTCCATCTTCTTCGACCTTCGAATGCCCATCTGCTTTCTGCGTTGATGACCATCGCCTGAGCCGCAGAGAGGGTCCATCGTAAATTGTTGTTGAGGGACGTTCTAGTTTCGGTCCTAGCTCATCTTCTTCCTTGTCGGCTGCTACTGCTCTGGATCTTCGGCCACCGCAAGTAACCAGCCATTTGAAGAACGCACAAATCGCAGTAAAAGTCCCAGCTGTCCGGCTGCGCCAGAAGTGCATGCCCTTGGTGGTGTTGAGAGACCCAACGGGCACGAAGAACGGGACGCGGACTGTGGCAGTGACGATTCCAAACATCCAGTAGTGCGGCTCTGTGGGCATATTTGTCATGCCTAAGACAGAGGTCACGAAGGTGAGTGGGAGGAAGAAGATCGACACAAGCGTCAGCAGCTTGATGTTGTGGCCCTCTGCATGTGATAGTCAGCACTGATTCTTGTATTTCCAGCAGGGCGCACTCACGCTGTATTGTCGTCACGGAATTCTCGACACTCTTTCGGCTTTCTTGAATCGACGTCCCACTGAAAAGCTCCTCTCGCAGTCCTCGAATCTCGTCTCGTCGCTCGGAGTTTTCACGAACCACCGCTCGCAGTCTGTCCATCTCCACGTCGAACTTCTTGCGCAAATTCGCCAGCTTCTTCTTGTAATACTGACTCCTCTGCGTCTCTTCTTCTTTCAGTGGCCAGATGGTGTGATGTTTTCCTTCCCAGACGTCATCTGTAAGATTGTCGTCGTATGCATCGATCATCGCCTTGATCGATTCGTTCATGATGCCTAGGGTCTGGTATGCCCAAAACTGTCTCAAATGTCAGCACTGGTTCTTTCACTTCCGCGGAACCTCACTCACGTAGCGGCGAGTGTAGGTGAAGTCCGCATCTTCAAATTGGAGAGCATCCCTGATTTTCTGCTCAAACATGAAATCTGCTGGCGGTGTGATGAGCTTCGTGACCTCATGATACATGGCATCGAAACGAGCTTGCGCGTCTCGAAACTCGCTCAGAAGTGTGATCAGGAAAGCCTCGACTCCGTTGACATAGTGCTTGGTACTGTCGTGGACATGGGTGTTACTCTTCCAATCAGGATAGCATTGAACACTGAGCACCTGCCACGGGCCAAAAGGATCGTACGCGTAGCCGTACCTGTTCTTCGCTCGTCTTGAGTGGTTCGCCACCTTTCTGATGGGATCGCCTCCCAGCGACAGAGCGATGACGGAGCTACACCTTGTGATTTTGATCTGGTATGAGTCGCTGACATCGCGGTCGGCCATTTGCCATGGTTGCGGCTGACAAGTAGAACCTATCAGCGTGAAGTACTCGAAGTTGAATATGAAGCTCCTTTGGCGCCGAGGGTCGTCGTCAAAGGCTCCGTTGAAGCTTGCAGACGATGCACCTGGCACAACTAGACTTCGGAATAGGCCGTCGACATCGAAAGTCGGATTATGGACGTAGTGTATGGCACCAAACAGGATTGGACTTGGTTCCCGGACAATTGTGATACGCCCCACAGCGCGGCGAGCCTGTATCCAAGGTTAGCTGTCCGTGAATTCAAGATCATGTCGTCAAGCAAGATGTGCTTAGACTCTGCTGATGATTTCCATCACTTGCCTTCTTGGGGCTGTTGATCTCTTTGATCGAGTTCCAAATATGTAAAGCATTCGAAGGCCCGCTTTCACTCTCAGGAAGTTCGACTTGCAATGGCGCACCATCAGGCCCAACATCATACACTTGGTGATGGCTTAAATGACTTCGATCTTCCGCTCGGCCTGAATTGGCAGGAAACAGGGTCGGCTGCTGCATTCGCGCGGGCGAGTTAATGATACCGTTCAGAATGATCCTGCCAGCATCCGTCCATTTGTGAGACCGAAGGTGGTCGCGTAGACCATCGTGCTCAAACAATCGATGCTCCAGCGGCTGCTGGACGTACAAGTTCTCGTCTTCATCGTCTTCAGATTCTTCACCAGTAGCTTTAGACGCCGAGGATGCTTGCAGGGTTGAGAGGCCGGTGGAGAATCTCGTTTGTGCCTCGGACAGCGTCACAGAAGGTCGCGGAGAGCGTTGCTCTCTCGACATAGAGCGCGGTGGCAGCGAAGGCACTGGTGTTCCGCTTTGTCCAGCAGTCGTGGCGGCAGACGCTAAGCTCTGTGCAAGAGCTTCGTGTGCTCTTTGAAATGTGTCCAGATATGCATCACGGTGAGCATCAAGTTGTCTGAGCAGCTGATCAATCTGAGCTTGTCTCTTCATGGCTTCGGCGTGCGATGTTGAACGCAAGCAGGAAGCTCAAAAGCATGTTGTACAAAGGAAACAGAAAGAGAATATCGGAGAGGCTGAAGGCGACATGGTACAAACTGGGCGCCATGAGGTGACATTTCTCGGGCTGCTCGGAGCAAGCAGAGCCGCAAGGACTGTGGCCTATCAATCTTGCAGCGGCCTGATGGCTAGAAGTTGCTGTGCATGAAGAAGCACTCAGCTGTTCGCTTTTGACGGCTGGGCGATGCCTTTTAAGTGGAGTTTTATCTTGGCAGAGGAGCAAAGGCCGAGCTGAAAGGCGCTCCGGGGTACCCGTGGGGGCCGAAATCTTTCCATTCACTTAGCCTTCGCTTGAGTCAGCAATGTATGAGTTGTTGTCGGAGCTTCTCCCGGAATTCTTGCGTTAGGATGGCCTTGATTCGGATATCCCGTCGTGGTTGTGATGAAGAGAAGAGAAAGTGGGTTACGTGTAGGAAGGAAGTAACAATGTGGTCAGCTTCAACGGCACCGAGACCGGCGTTCTTGCCGCTCATATATATTAAAAGAGGAGGCAGACATCGGCCTCAAGACATCGCAGCTGAATTACTTGTATGTTGTTGGAGGGGATTCTTCCAACGTACTAGAAACCTCGGAAAGAGCGCTACCATCAAGGACAAGAATCACAAGACAGTGGCTCTCGAGGCCAAAATCAATCGCGCCGAAGCCGGACAAACCTTGCTCAAGCTACTGCATCCAGACATCACTTGTGTACGACAACTCTCGACTTCATGATAAGACCGAGTCAACTCCACCATTCCGTTCGTAAGCGAGTACCATGACGGCCATCATCGACTCCCAGATCTTTGGCAATGTATTTTCGACTCCTGAAATCTCATCGATATGGTCGGATCGGCAAAGGACCCAGTACTATGTGGACTTTGAAGCGGCTCTTGCAAGAGCACAAGTCAGACTGAATATCATTCCTCAGAAGGCGTGTGATGAGATCGTCAAGCATTGCACGGTCGATCAGCTGGACCTCGACGAGTTGAGGAAGCAAACCGAGTTGATCGGGTATCCAGTGTTGCCAGTGGTCCAACAATTGGTCAAGAAGATCAATCGCGTCGAAGATGGCCTGGGAGAATGGATTCACTGGGGAACGACAACACAGGACCTTACCGACACTGCCACGGTGCTGCAGCTAAGAGATACATTGATCCTGGTCGAGCAATCTCTGGAGGCAATCATCACCGCACTGGTGCAGCTATGCGAGAAACACAAAACAACACCAATGGCAGCTAGATCAAACCTCCAACAAGCAGTGCCCATCTCTTTCGGCTTCAAAATGGCAAGACTCCTCGCAACATTCAAACGCCACAAGCAAAGGCTCCAAGAACTGAAACCTCGACTCCTGATCGCACAATTCTCAGGTGCAGCAGGCACACTTGCAACAATCACCGAAGAGACATCCTATGGCAAACCCCCTGAGTCGGACGAACCTCTCGGCATCAGATGTCAAAAGCTCTTCTGCGAGGAGATCGGCCTAGCTATGCCTGAAATCGCCTGGCATACCGAGCGAGACAATTTCGCCGAAGTAGCCAACTTCCTCGCGATCCTCACAGCGACCTGTGCCAAATTTGCCACAGATCTCAAACTCATGATGCAGTCAGAAGTCGGCGAAGCAAGAGAACCATACGTAGCGCACAGAGGAAGCAGCAGCACAATGCCGCAGAAACGAAACCCAATCGGTAGTGCATTCATCTGCTCAATGGCCAGCAGCGTCCGAACCATGGCGAATGGAATGGTCGAAGCGATCGTGGCAGACCATGAACGGAGTACTGGACCTTGGGAGATCGAATGGATTATGCTACCACAGATTTGTGCCTTGAGTCATGCTTGTTTGAAGCATACGCATTATTTGCTCAATAATCTTGAAGTCGACGAGGAGGGAATGAAGCGGAATTTGGCTTCATCGAAGGGAGCAATTGTGTCCGAGGCGGTGATGATGGGGCTGGGCAAGTCGATTGGCAGGCAGTATGCGCATGACCTGGTGTATGACCTTTGTCGGAGAGCCCAGGTGGAGGACAGATCCTTGCTTGAGTTATTGAAGGAGGACGACGAGATCAAGAAAGCTGGCTTGCCAGACGAAGAACTGGAAAGGCTGTGTGATCCAGCAAACTACCTGGGCTTGAGCAAAGAGATGGTAGATATGGTATTGAAGGACACCGCATCATAACTACCTCATGTCAGCATCAGTCCATGCATCTCTTCTCACTTGCCACTCCCCTTCGCCGCTTCGGCCTTGTCGATCAACAATCTTAGAAACGGCTTTTCCGTCCCATCATATCCAGTCCTCCTCATCCACCCTTCCAAACTCTCAAGCTCAGGATGGAGCTTCCTAAGCGCCTCAAAATCTCTCTCTACAAAAACATCTTCTCCCCACGCCGCCCAGGTCATCGCAAAGTTTTCCCCCAAAGTGATCCCTTCATCGTCGCCAACAACCAGCGGGGCTGTACCTCTAGCTCCCATGGCCTTTTTCCATTCTTCTGTATCCATCGACAAGAACTTGGCAGGAAGGCCTGTGACTCTGGTGAGGGTCTCGGCGATCTCGGGCCCTGTGGCGTAGTGAGAGCCTGGGTAGAGAGTCTTGCCGGACCAGCCGACGGGGTCGAGGAAGATTGCGAGAGCGTATGCTCCGATGTCGCGGATCGTTATGAAGGGAATGCGAGCGGTGGGTTTGATCGGAAAAGGGAAGACCCTTGTGCCATCTGCGGTGATTTGTGGTTGGAACATACCACCTAATCAAAGTCGGTGCCTATGATAGGGCAGGCATAGCGGTTGCCGAGACTTACTCTGCAGCATGTCTGTGTACGCTGGTGGGTTGTATATCGTCCAGGCGAGATGTCCCGGAGAGAATTCGGAGAGCTGGCTTCTCAAGTAGTCGCTGAATCGAGCTTTCGCACTGGAGTTGCGTGTCAATATAGTGTCGGTATTGTACGAAGGGAGTACCGGAGCCAACATACTTTGCATGGTGGGCGGCGTATCTTGGGTTAAAGCACGACAACTTGGTGTACGAATGTCAGTACTACAAGATAGACTCAATGGTCTAAGACATCCAAGGTCTTGAATGCGCACAGAACCGAGTCTTACCTTGAGCAGATAATCCGTTCCACTCCACACGAAGTGTCGCAGTCCAGGGACTCGCACAGCTACTTCGTAGATGCCGACCGCAGCAGCGAGCTCGTTGGCCTCATTGACAGTAAAGCCGTCCGTGTTGACATATACGCCGTAGCAGCCTTGAAGCGCAGAGCTAACAGCGTCTCGATCTGTAAAGGAGCCTAGAGACGTTCAGCCACGTCAGCATTGTTCACGGTGACATCCAAGGCATTTCTGTCCGCTAGATGGAGTCACCTTTGACAACTTCGACGGGTAAGTTCTTGAATTGCTCCTTAACTCTCGCCTTCTCTGGGTCTCGTGACAACACACGGACTGAGAAGTGCTCCTCCGAGCCCAAAAGCGCTTTCACGACTTCGAAGCCTTGAGCACCGGTACCGCCAATGACAAGGATGAGGTCAGACATTTTCGTAGATTGAATCAGCAGATGTAAAAAAATTGGTGCTGAGTATGTCGCTTCAATTGCGACGTGCATAGGTCTATATACTCTTGCTAGCAATGCGTTTCTTGTTCTCTCGTTGTCCACAAATGGGCCCAGGATTGCGAGTGTCGATTAGTCGTGAGGACGTCCGAAGACCTTCGCTTTCAAATCATCCCGACGTCTCTGTTTTGATTTGATCGATGATTGTGTCCGAGCCCGCAAACATAATCGAAACAGGAGACGGTATTACAGGCGTAGTGGACGGCGCAAGGCTGTGTTGGGGTTCGCAGCCAATGAGAGCGCTGGGTGCTTACGCTACTGCATGTGCGGGCGCTTGTGCGGGATGCACTAAGCCAGGTCCCAGGCTTTGATGCGAAGTTTAACATAGATCGAGCCGAAGTGCGGGTAGCATTACTCGTAGGACAACTTCGTCGTACAGCAAGAGTTCCGTCGAATGATCACGATGAGGACCTGCTGAGCGTCGAATCCAAGGCCTATCACAGCCCGTCCAATGTTGAATAGTAAACATCTGCAACGAGGTAAGTCTCTGACTCTTCATGCATCTTCACCTACTTACCGGCAATTCTCCATCGCTTCGCATGTTTACGCAGCACACGCTTGAGAGATTCGAACCCATGTTTGTACTTAAGTCCCGCGGTCTCCTTCCAGAACTTCTGCTGCACCTGTGCCGCTTCAAACAGGCAGTTGGGAACGAACAATGTCAGAGAATCAATATCAATGTCGTCCACATTGTTGTAGAGCAGATTTGATAAGCGAACGATCGGATCAGAGATAGATCTCAGTGCGTCTAGGGCCGAGGTCTTGCTTTCTGCATTTGCTCCATCCAGTTTTTGTTTGTAAAGTTTCATGAGTGAGCTGTGAGGCGTCAGTTACATATAAGGCTACGACTTGAGAAGCGATACCTGCTGCAGACCCCGATGGCAGGGCAATATTCTTTACTGTTCTCCACGTTGATGTCTGACAGCATGACAGTGTTGTATGCCTGCAATGTACTACCAAGCTGCTCCCTTTCCCGTACATTGAAGTCCGAGTCACTTGATGGGGAGAGTATATGAGTGAGGACTTGCCCGGCAAGAGAGCAAGCTTGGCACAGTCGTGCTAGTGACCCAGCCGTGACGCTTAAAGGCCCCAGCATGGTCTGTGGCGTTCGGACATTGGCGGTCTGGTCTAGTGTCAAGATCATTTAGAATTTGATGCTGAACCAATAAGACTTACCTCTTGTTCCAAAAACGATTCGGGCATGGGAAGTATATCTTGTAAACTTGGCGCTTTCACGACAAACACATCGTCAGCCTCCACAAGACCGATGTACCTTTCCACGATAAAGATGCTCCACCACAGTCTTCGCTCTTCTTCTGATTGTGCAAAAGGATAAGACCAGAGCGAACTCAAAGTCTGATCAAGACCAAGAGCACGGGCCGAGACTCCACAGGCCTTAACAGAGATGGAAGCTACAGGACCCAAGCCATGGCCAAGTTCGTAAATCGCCACCAACAACCGAGCTTGAATAAGTCGTACCGTGACAATTCCAGCTGACTCGAGATGTGCAATGGCAGATTTTGCAGTAAGATATAGTAGAGATCTCATTTCCTGTATTTCATCTCCTGGGGCTTGTGAAATAAGACGCATGCACGATTGCAGGACAATAGCGTCTGCTGCGGAATCAGTCCATCTGTTCGTGAATTGCTGATAAAACTTGGCTTTCGATATGAAGGGTAACATAGGATGGGCCGAACGAAAGTAGATGTCTGCTGTGCTCCGAGCGTCATCCACGTCGCCAACCAGGGGTTGCAGCTTGTCGTAAAGATTGATATCTATTGTCGAAGGACAGCTGAGGACGAAGTGCCTGCCGGCGAGTCTGGTCCAGTCTAGCGTGCCCTAAGGCTTGAACATAGTCATTGGTGACAGCCTTGCCATAGCGACATTTGCGGCCGACACTGACGATGTCTTAGCTGAGCACCTTTGGAAGCTATGCGTATCTGTTTTGCTGACTTTTTGTATGTCGAGCATGCCGGTAATGACCGATCGCAGCGCCGCTTGCCGTTCTTACAGGATATACAAGCACCATGGTCCATGGTAGAAAATCGAGACAGCTTTTCAGTCTTTCCCCTTCGCGAGGTCGTTTTTTGCCGCCCACAAGGAGCCAGACCGAAATCAGATATCCAATGAGGATATTGATGGCGCGTAAAGACGTCGCACGTGGTTGATGGCTGAAGGAGGAGGATAAGGTGTGAAGACAGCCGAAGACCAGACGTTGCAAATATGGTGAGCAAGCGGCTTGATTACTCACTGCAATCTTGTTGAGTCTAGCGGTGATGGTCTGCCCTGTATTCGCTGAGACAAGCTGCTGCGCACAAAAGTAACATCACCTCACCTCACTGTATCTCGCCCTTTGAAGTAGACGAGCATCCCATCCACGCTTGGGTTCATCGTCCAAAAGTACGTCCTCTTTCAGAGACATCTGTCTCCCCTTCGACTCTGCTTTTCGACTACATGTACTTCCTTCTCCAGCCTCGAGCTAAGCTTAGCGCCCCTCAGGCTGTAGGCTCGCTCCCCTGTGGATACCAAAGCGCTTGAGAGGCCTTCTCGCCTTTCAACTCAAAGTCTCTGTCCTTGCCCGCATCCTGATCCACAGATTGACAATTCGAGAACAAGACCTGCAAATCGCGGTAGGTGAAAGTGCCTCGGCCGTGGTAGTGCTTTCCCAGTAAAGGTATAGTGGCATTGTTGGCGATGGGGTTGTAGTGGAATTCACCAGAACCGACTGACCTACGTTGGAAGATTATGAGAAGAGTTCTAGCTCGGCCTTCGGAATTGCCAAAGGTCTACATCGATGGAAGCACCACAGGGTCTCTGGTATCCTTGACTAGCGAATAAACTTTCTGACACGTGGGACCAATTTGCATAGAGTTGATAAGGCGTCCCGCGAGTGGGCGAGACTTGGAGTTCCATACACAGCCTCGATCGGTCGTCAACTTTATGTTGTGGAGCTTTCGCATCTGTGAGAATACGAGCGGAACTTGGGGGCCGAGATTGGAAAGCATCGCGGGAAATAGTAGGATGACATGCGTTCCGGTCCAGTGCACGGGAGTTCCATGGCGATCAACTCGCAAAAGGAAGACCCTGAATTCAGATGGCAGGATTTCGGGCTCAATATCAGCCATGCATACAATGGAAGGCCTGAGCAACTTTATATAGATACCGCTGTTAGCTTCTTGCCGTATCATTGTATTATCGTTGGGCAATGTACGCAGTTGACTCCTCGAAATTCAGGATATTCATCAAAGGAGGCACTTCTCTCGCGCTGCAAACAATGGCCCCCAGCCTTATCTTTATTGTCTTGTTTTCTGCGACAACATGGATGACTTCGACAAACGGCCGTCGAGAAGCTGGCAAAGGCCATGCAACGGTCTGTGGCACATTCATCCCGGAAGTTTCTGGAGTGGCCACAAAATCTATGCGTTGCACCATAACGATTCGTATCATCCAGATCTGTTCCGCTTCGACCCCGATAGATGGCTCAACAAGGACACAGCTGCCAGAACCAAGACTACCTGGGCACCTTCCTCGCATGGGGCAAGAAACTGCATTGGTCTGAATCTTGCCATGAACGAAGTGCTTCTGGCTATGGCCACGGTCTTGTGGCATGGGAATTTCCGCACCGCTGGAGATAAGAACCTTGCAGCTATTGGGGAGGGTCGTGCTGATTTCGGGCCTGGTAGGCATCGTAAAGGCGAGTTCCAGACTTTTGATACATTCGGCACGTCGACAGATGATCCTTACTCGCAGTTTAAAAGGAGGGCAACGAACTGAGTGAACGTAACGGCGTAATTGAGCAACGACGCCGTGAAATTTGTGCTCCATGAATCAACAATTTCCTCGTTGAACGCGGTCCTCTCGGAGCAGGTTCTTGCCACATTGCAGTAGCGTGAAAGTCACGTATGGTTTCTCGCCTTTCACGTGGGCGGGTTCAGCCCATCCGCTTGCCTCGTTCGAAGGAGCGATCGCCGACGCCAATGGCAAGGCGAGCCAGGCAGGATACGTAGAGTGCAGTAGCTCGCATTTAAATGTCGATAGCCCCCGGATGGAATATTTGTTGGAAGCCTCATCTAGGGCTGCTATCCGCTAGTCAATAAGAGCGGATTATTGCAGCTTTGTACAAGTCGGTTTCCCCCTGTTTTAAAGCAACTGTTCTGTTTGCACTCGAAGCTACCGGATCCTTGATCGACTTTGTTCGGATGTCCAAAATGTCTGACAAGAGCGAAGCCCGTGACTCAAGTCCGTCTTCACCAGTCGCTCCTGTGGCTCCTGCTGATCCACCTGCGCCGCCAGACGGTGGACTCCAAGCATGGCTTCAGGTCGCTGCCGGCTTCTTCTTGTGGTTCAATTCATGGGGTGGGTTGACTCTCGATCTGAAGTCCCGTCTAATGCGTACAACATTTTTGCTGACTCGATGTAGGTTTTGTTAATACTTTTGGAGTCTACCAAACGTACTACGAGCTTGACCTCCTTCGAACATCATCCGCATCAGACATATCATGGATAGGCTCCTTTCAAGTGTTCTTGCTCATGGTGAGTTTGGTGGTCATCATCTTTGAAGTACTGATCGTGGCTAACTTGGCTCGTGTCAGTTTGGCGGGTTCCTTGTTGGCCCTTTGTACGACATGGGATATGTCCGCCACATCGTCGCCGTGGGAGGTTTCTTCGTTGTGTTTGGACAGATGATGCTCAGGTGAGGCACCTCCGTGGATGACATACAGAAACAGACTGACCGGACGTGTCAGTCTTTGCACCAGCTATTGGCAGGTATTTCTTGCACAGGGTCTTACGCAAGGATTAGGGGCCACCATGTTGTGTACGATCTCGTCCGTGAAACTGGATCCAGTACGGATTCGCTAACTCGCGGTACAGTCCATCCCGGAGTGGCTGTTCTCACCTCTGGCTGGTTCAGCTCACGGCTAGCTCTGGCTGCTGGAATAGCAGCGGCTGGAAGTGGAGTAGGAGGAAATGGCGATTGCGCCTGTTGTCGAAACCCAATCTAATTCCTCCAGGCGTAATCCTACCCATCGTGTTCAACCGACTTGAGCCACAGATTGGCTTTGGATGGGCCACTCGGGTCCTTGGATTCATATCCTTAGCGACAATGACTTTCACTGCTCTGGTGGTGAAAGCGAAGTCACTTCCCCCTGCTCCGCGACGATTCTTCGACCCTGAATCATTCAAAGACTTAGCCTATGTCCTAGATCTGGTGGGGTGCTTCTGGATCTTTCTCGGGCTTTACGTGCCATCCTTTTTCGTAAGAAGCCCAATCCCTGGAGGTTCGTCATGCATGCTGACCAGGATGGAATTGCTAGATCGTACTGTATTCCGTACAATCCGGCTTGTGAGTGGAGTAAATTCCCGTTCTGGGTTATTCGCTAACTTTGCAGCACTACCGGGAGTTTCAGCGCCTACCTGCTCGCCATTCTGAACGCAGGTTCGATCCCCGGACGCCTGCTGCCCACAGCTTTGGCCGGAAAGCTGGGCGTGTTTAATGTCTTGACGCCATGCGCAGCAGCTGCAGCAATCATCTGCTTCTGCTTGATCGCGGTAATGAACGCTGCAGGCATCATCGTCATTTCCGTGTTCTTCGGATTCTTCTCGGGATCACTGGCTGCCCTGGCTCCGATGTCTCTGGTGGCACTGACCTTGCCCGACCGCAAAAGGATTGGAACTCGCTTGGGAATGGGCTTTGCAGTTGCTGGGGTTGGACTGCTCATCGGAAACCCCATTTCAGGCGCGATATTGGGCTCAAGCAGGTTCACTTGGGCTTGGGTATTTGGTGGACTGGCCATCGCAGTCGGCGCGCTCGTGTGCTTCTTGATAATGATTGTGCAGCGGAGACGGAAGGCATGAGGTTACCTGTTCTGTTGAATGGCAGGATAAATGCCTACGGGATCCTGTCAGCGGCTCAATGGAAAGATGAGGTAGCAACAATCACATTCGCAAGGCTAGCACAAGATACGAGCAGTACTTGCTACAGCCTGCTTCGGTCGACAATGAACATGTCTCTTCAGCCATAAGAAAATAGGGTATGCCTGTGCTGTCTCTGAACAGAAGTATGGAGATGAAGGGTCAGTACCTCCGTAGCAGCATGCATCAGCAGGATGAGAAAGATGCTGGAGCGACGGAAATGAAACTGCGTGTCAATGATAGCGGAAAGAAAGGAAGACCACCGAAAGGAGTCAGCTCGACATCTGACTATTAAAGTTTTGATTAAACACTTTGATTCAGCTTTACCCGCGCGCCACGTGCCGGCCCCACAAAGCTTCACTTCACTTCACCTCGCTCCGTCTCCATCCCCATCTCCAATTTAACCAACGCCCACACCACCCCTCCTCACACACTCAAACCATGGCAGACCCCTTCGAAGTCCGCATGCGCTTCACCTCGCAACTCCAACACCTCAACGCAAGCACAACCTCCGCCGTCAAAGCCGCAACCTACGCCCTACGCCATCTCGAATTCAGCGACGACCTCCACTCCTGCATCCTCGAACAGCTCGAGCGCAACAACATGAACAACCGCGCCAACATAATGTACTTCCTCCCGGCCCTCTGCGACACGGCCAAAGCCCACAACGACCTCAGCTACGTGCGGATGATGGAAAGGGATATCCTGCGGATTATTGATTTGGTCGCGCCGGATGACGGGAGCGGGGCGGCGAATGTGAAGGTTGTGAGGAAGGTGTTAGGGCAGTTGCAGGGGAAGGGGGTGCTTGCGGAGCAGACGGTGCGGGAGCTGGAGGAGTGTATCGCGGGCCGGGACTCGATGGGCGGGGCGGTGCCGTCGCCGGGGACGCTCACGCATCCGTCTGTCGCGAGAGAGATCGCGGCGGCGGATGGCGCGGTGGGGAGCGCGGTGCGGTCGACGCCGCATTCGGTGTCGAGGGACGCGGCGGGGTATCCTGGGGCGGGGATACGGTTGGATAAGAGACAGATTGAGCAGCGGATCGAGGAGGATCGGGAAAGGCATAAGCGGGCGAGGGAGGGGATTTGGGCGGTGGCGCAGCCGAGTGGGAATTTGGCGCTGGATGCGGAGTTTGAGAGGTTGTGGGAGGAGGGGAGTGAGGTTGATGAGGATGATTATCAGATTGCGCTCGAGGAGGGCGAGGAGAGGAGGAAGCATTTGGAGTTTGATGATTATTGAGAGGAATGGCTTTGACGTGGGGTTTTGATGATTGGGATTAGCGAGGCGTTGGTGGTGCAAGATGGCCCGAAACAGTAGTCTGCATTGGTATGAATCTGTCTCGAGATACTTCGAATTGAACGTGTGATCCACTCGAGATCATAATCCTCGCCCAATCTTACCCATCCTCTCATGCACCAGTGCAACTTTGTGCACAACGGACTCTGAAAGTACACGCTCAACTTCCCACCTCAACAAGCAAACCACATCTGCCTTCTCAAACGCAATGGCGCACTCGAACAGCTCCCTCCTAATCTCAGAAGGCCTCACAGGCAATCTGATCCCCCGCTCGACCACGTCCAAAAGCATCTCAGCGCCATAAACAACCTGCAGCACCAACTTGGAAACATCAGGCTTGCTGCTCCAACCCAAGGCTCCATCAGGATGCGTGTCTGCGTATTGGGCGAGCGTTCGCAAGCCTGCCAGGACCCACGAGCCAAGATTTTCCAGCAGTCTTCGGGAGATCGCAATCTCTGCCAGCTTTGACAAGACTCGCGTCCATACACGGATTTCTGAAGCTTCGTCAATGTAGAGGTTCTGCTTCTCTTCCACGAACAGTGCAGTATCGCCGTGTGAGAGCGCTGCTAGCTGTTCGGCTACCGATCGTGATGCAGTATCAGATGTGCCGAAAGCTCGTTTGAATCCCGTGTGGGCCAGGATCCAGCTCGATGGCCACCTGTCAACGGAGAACGCGAGAAGTTGGCGACTGGCCGTGATGGGCTCCAGATCAAGCACTTTGCCTGACGACCCAGCTGCCAGGATTCGTTTGGTGACCGCAGCCGCACGCAATCGTGTGTCTTCATCGTCGTCGTTGAGGAGGTCATAGACGCCTATACAAAGCCGGGCCAACTGGTCGTGGAAGATTGCACTCCTGGACAGCATGATCCACAGATGGTGTAAGCGATCAATAGCAGATGCTGCCGCTTCTCTCATATGCACACCGTGACCGTTGACGGCAGCAACACAGTCATCCACGAAGGAAACAATATCTGCCAAGACGTCTTTTTCCCCTTCTGGCAGATTGCCTGCACTGTTGTCAATTTCGATGGCCCGTATTTGCAGCCATTGATCTGCATATCGCTGGTTACAGTCGTGTTCCGAGAGATAGGGTCTTGGATCAATCGACTTGCTGCTCATCCGTGTAAGTGACGACCAGTCATTGGGAGTTAACGTCAGCAGAAGTCGCTGAGCTTCGCATTTGAGGTGAATCCCAAGGTCGCTGCGAATGATCTCTGCACAGAGCGAGTGTATACGACTGACTGCAGGTCCATGAGAGGCAGGCTGGAGCGGATTGAGCGATCTCAGAAAATGTTCGCACGCATTCTGATCTGTTTGGGCAAGCCTCAAGGCCCATCGTATGAGCTCAACCTGACCATCGTCAAGGGAAGTTTCTTCACCACAAGAAATCCTCAGAGCCATCAGGCGAGCCATAGCCTGTCGCAGTACAGCTTGTGATGCATGGTCAAAATCATCAGCAGAGATCGCTTGGATCAGTTCGCCAGTCTGCAAGTCGAGGTCTTCTAATCCAACGGACGAAGATAACTCCGCAAAAGCTCGGACAACATCGATTGCGGCAGCTCTCGTCACAGGGCAGCCTGACTGTTGGGCGAGAGACGATATCTGCACCATGAATTCCTCTCTTAAACTACGAATGTCGTCCAAAGCCAGGCCATTTGTAGGCGAGGTTGTCTCACTTGAGCGCTGAGCAGCACGCCTCAGCCTGGTGATGAAATGCTGCGCTGTGAGGAGCGCCCCACGTAAAGCGTTCTGACTGGCCACGTTGTCAATAATGAAAGTTTGGACGTTGTTCAGGGCCTCGAGGGGTTCTTCTCTTGCCATCAAAGCAGCAAGCGATCTTGCAGCCTTGTCTCGAATGTGCCACGACGCACTGGCAGTGAGACTCTCCACAGCTCGCTTGGCAACATCGAGCCGATAAAGCGGTACCTGAACATGCTGCAAGAGCTGCAGCGCGGGGAAAACTCCCTCGAAGCCAGTCGACAAGCCAGTCTGTGCCTGATTCGAATTGGAGAGTAAGTCGAGGATCACATCAATCAGCTGTGGGTGTTGGTGGATGGATATCAGTTTTTGAGATGCATCGTCATCCCCGAAGGGCGACTGGTCTGTTCCCAGCAGGCGATCAATGACGGCACGGAAAAGCATCAGCCCACAGTTGCGGACTGCCCAGACATCTGAGCGCAGTGCATCAGCCGCAAGCTGCAGGGCACGTGGGACATATTTCTCAGACTGCTCGCCCAGCCTGCTGTTCTTTAGCATATCTTTGAGACAGTTCATAGCATGAACTTGTGGTAGGCTGCCCTCTTCTGCCGATGCAGCATCAACCGGCTGGCGAGCGATTGTCTCGAGGTCTGTCACGGCATTCGAAAGTAGCTTCCCAGATCTGTCCGCGATCAGAATGCCGCACAGCAACGACGGTATCCCAGCAGAGCGTCGAGTATTGATGGTGACGTTCTTGCGCAGCATACCGAGCACTCTGGTGTACCAGTCCACCAGCATGGGGATGCCCATGGGAGATTTTAGGTCCTTGCACTGCATGCAGCAAGTCATCCATGTCTGGGCAACGGTGGAGAATGCGCCACGATGCCGCAGTTCAGCAAGCTGGGTGAAGCAAAGGTTGCTGATCTGCTGCAGTTCGTGTTCGTCGACCTTTCGAGATGCTACTACGCTGCTCATCAATAGACTAGCTTCTTTAAAAGCTCTCCAACAGTAGCTGAGGGTCTCTTTGGTCGAGTCAAGGCCTTCCACGACTTCGTCAGGCACGTAGCCCTCGGGTGCATCATCGCAGAGCACAGGCTTCACGACTTCCCATATTTGCTGCAAATCATCGCATAGTCGAGGACTTGGAATACTTGCTGTGCCTTGTGATTGATTCACGACGTATCGAATGCTGGTGAGTAGCCCGTGCATTGGGTACTTGGCAACTGCTTGTGCAAGGCTTCCCCGAGCAACAGCCAACGTTTGCTCCAGCCGATCCAGGAGGTGTTGAGAAATTGTCTGTTGCGACGTTTGTGCGCTCGAGTCCTTTACTGCACGATGTTGGAGAGCATAAACATGAGCGACACCATCCGCATGATCCGCTCTACCAGTTGCTAGCATCATTTCTTCTGCACGCTCAAGGAATGAAGTCAGGCTGTGGTGCAATTTGTTATCCGATGCAGTACAGGCAAGTCCTAGAATAGAAGATGCGGTCTGCCTCACATCGTCGAAGGGGTCCAGAACAAGATCCAGTAGCGGGCGCTGCATTTCCACGGTGATGACTTGCATTTGAAAGGGCCATCTCGTGCCGCTCAACGCCGATTTCGAGTAGTACTCCTCGGCGATAGATTCGTCGAGTCCAGACCTGGTCAAGGTGCTCAAACATTTCAACGCCGAGATGTGTCTTTGGTAGCTCGCCGTCGGTCGTAGCTGCCAGCACAAGAAGTCGAGCAGCCACTTGAGAAAGTTTCGGTGATCTGATAAGCGCTGTTCAGTCATTTGCTTTCTATTCGTCACTTCAGTCTCATGGTGACCGCTGATCGTAATGGCTTGTCGTGCCAAAGTCGCAGTGATGCTACGAAAGCGGTCGATCAGCTTCTGAAAAGTGCTGAAGACATCGCCTCGAAAGTCGGCGTCGACATCAGCAAAGACAACATCTAGTGCTTTCCGGATCAGCCTTAATGCTTTGCGTGAGAATGGTCTGGTCGCGGCATGTGATGTGACCAGAAGGTACAGCCCGGTCACTCTAGCAGACCGGGAGCTGTGGAAGAGCAGGTTGCCAATGTATCCAACCGGGACACGCAGAGAGTTATCATGTCGCGATATCGAACTCTCGTCTGTCTCTTCAAGTAGACCGAGCTCTTTTCCAGTCTGTAAGGCAACGTAAAGAAGTTCATCGTTGGTCGCATTCGATCGCTCGTTCACGTTTGGAAATACTGAGTCGTGCACACCTTGGCTGTACAGGAAAGACGCAAAGTCGTTGAAGTTGCGCTTGAAGACAATTGGAAGGACATGAGCTCTGAGGTCATCGATATTGACTGATCCACGAACGAAGGCGTGTTGAAGAGGGTCGATCCATATGGGTGGCCCGGGTGCTGCTCCAGTTGGGATGTCCAATTTGTCAAGGAAGATCGAGACAAGGTGAGCAATGGTAGAGCCGAAGTCACCAAACCTAAGCCACTTGAACAAAACAAGCAGAAAGTTCTCTGACTCCGAACCTGATTGAGAGCTGCTGTAGATCCGACGAAAGATCCGAAGAACATCATCGTTGCTCAGCACATCTTTGACGAGCATGTGTGAGAGAAGCTGTGCGCCCACTTTCGCTGAGAATGCGTCGTCGTAGTTGAACAAGGCCGAAACAAGCTTTTGAGCTGCGTTGATCTTCACGCTGCTCAAGTCCTGTCCTTCCGATTTCTTCAAGGCATTGGTCAAGGTCGCCAAGAGTTGCCGGGACGACTTGGGTCTTGCGCCCTGAGCATGGTTGAGGTAGAGATCGAAGGCCCGTTCCCAAGCACCGTCTTTCCAGGCAGCCTCCCGTATAACTGGTACCGTCGACTCGAGGGACTGGTCAATCAACGAGCACAGAGTATTCCATGCTGCCACTCTGTGGGTAACACTCAAGTTTAAGGCGGAGCTTGTGTAGAACGCACGAGCAAGGAGAGTCTTGAAGTCTCTACTTACCTATCAGTCCCGCCTGTTTCTGAATATATGTTGTCGCAATGCTGGATTGTGCTTTCCTTACTTTACTTGCTTCTCATCGTTCGAACCCTCCGTTGGTGAGCCAGACGGCACGAAGGAGCGTATGGACCGCGATATCTGCTTTAGCCGTTCCTCCTTGAGCAAAACATCGACTGTATCATGTTCGCCTATCAGCATTGTGAGAAGGTGATGACATGTTTGTCTCTCGATGGATTAGGAGCTTGCATGTGAGAAGCAAGTCGTCGAAATTTTGGCTCGGCTATGTTGCCCTTTTCAAAGACTGCTTTTTGAGCCTTGTAAACCTTATCTACAGTCCTCGAATTCACTGCGATGCGATTGACAGTTGGTCAGCATAATGGAAATTGTCATTGCTGGATGGAATCACCAACCATACGCATACACACGCAACTGAACATGTCAACGCGATCAACTATTCCTATACCATCTCTTCAACCATCTATGCAATCTTCGCTTCAAGGTTTAACTGGGAATTAGTTAGCATCGGCAGCGGGCCGAAAAAAAAGACAGGCCGATCATCTGCAGGCCGACTTCATCAACTCCATCAACTCCTTTCATCATCACCGTCTGCCTCTTCTCCATCCAGCCTGTCTTTCATTTCTGCGCGCGAATCAACCCTCCTTCGACCGACTGTATCATAATCACGATGGGTGTCTGGGACGCCTTCACCGGCCGCAAGGCCACCCAAACCGCATCGCCAGCGCCCGACTCCTCCGACGCCGCACACCAACAACCCACCATCCAACCCACCTTCCAAGCAGACGATGTAGGCTCCTTCATCAGCCAGCCCGGCGCATTCGACCCTTCCGCGCTGCATCCTCTAGCCGGCCTTAACCAAGACACCCTCGACTACATCAAACTCGACGACGACGTCCTCTCAGATCTCCCCGGTTCCCGATCACTACTGCCATCGCGAGGATGGTCAGACGATTTGTGTTACGGCACCGGCGTCACATATCTTACCGGTCTGTCAATAGGTGGAGCGTGGGGTCTGGCGGAAGGGTTAAACAGATTGCCGTCTACGGCGCCGCCCAAGCTTCGCCTGAACTCGGCCCTGAACGCTATCACGCGGAGAGGACCGTTTCTGGGTAACTCGGCGGGTGTGGTCGCGATGATGTACAACGGCATCAACAGCACGATTGGATACTACAGAGGGAAGCACGATGCGATGAACAGCATAGCAGCGGGTGGCATCAGCGGCATGATATTCAAGAGCACGAGAGGTGTGCGGCCGATGATGATCTCAGGTGGTATTGTGGCATCCCTGGCAGGTGGTTGGGCGGTGAGTGCGGCCAATGAGAAATTTCCGCTGTAAACATGCTGACATCCTATCTAGCTAACCCGAAAGGTTGTTTTCGACGAATGAGGGAGACCAGCAAGCTTTTCACGTCTACCTTTGGGTCTATCTGGCAGTTGGGATCTCAAGCGCGGAGTTTCATGGGTTGCAGGGCTTACCTGCGCGTCCTGCTGGCCATTCAGAGCAGTCGATGGGCAGTGGGTGATGACGCTCAGCGAATGATAGAAACGTGTAGTAACAGATCAAGCATGGGCATGGCGACGGCGCTTGGGAATAATACCTGTACAGTGATTATCTCTCCTCTGCCTCAGTGGTGTTTCTACTTCCCAACACTCGTTTCCTTTGGTTCAGGTGGATCTCGCTCACGCCAAGATGAAATTCGTCTACCTACCAGCGCTCCTCGAAGCCGCCCTCATTCTGCATATATAGCACAGGTATGCCTCTCACTCGCAGATATCCCCAAATGACAACACACATCCAAGCTACTCAAACAGCAATCAAGACCACAGCATAGGTACGAGAGACGGGGGTTAGCACCTCGAAGTGAATACATCTAACCCCCTTTCAGAACACACCAGCCTCACACGCCATGGCCGCGCCAAACACCCTCACGCAGGGCCCCTGCGAGGGCCTCCAGGTCGAAGAATCGGCCTACCTCACCCTCCACAGCGCCCCGGCCTGCCCCCGCTTCCTCGGCGTGAAGTACACCACCCTCCCAGGCTGGTGGTTCAACTTCACCCACACGCCGCTCTCCCGCTGGTTCTACTGGCCCGGCGAGAAAGACCTCTACCCGCTCACACGCGAGCTGTATCGCTGGGCGGTATACCATCAAGGCGTCCTACCAGGTGAAAAAATCACCTACGACAGCGCGGAGTTCGCGGAGGTGCTGAGGCAGATCCACCAGCGCCCGGATTTCATCCGGGGTGAGGATGGGCTGTTCAAGGCGGTGTATGGTGTGAGGCCGCTGCCCGTTTTCACCTTCACCGCGGATGACGCGGTGGCCCGCCAGGTTGTGCCGTCGCCTCACGGGGAGGCCACGCTGTCGGAGACGCCATCCCCGCCGTCTATCTCCAGCGTTGGGGCACAGGCTACGCCACCGGCTATGCCACCGCCAGCAGCGTCCCCTGAGGATGTCGCGGGGATGGAGGCGGAGAATATGGACCTCGACGCCGATGTGATGCCTGACTTCACGGCTGAGCAGGCGGCTTTGCCGGCGGACGATGCTTACGTCGGAGCGCTGAGGCATCTTGATCCCGTCGATTACCGGAGCGTGACTATGCCATGGGGGACTGGCCGCGACTGGGAGGCGGAGCCGTTTTCGTGGGAGGGGATGTGAAGTTTGGGAGAGGTGAGGGCTTTCTTGGTAGCGAGCGCGTCTGGAGTTTGGGTCAGGGTCTTGGGAGCCGTGAGCTTGGTTCGCAGGCGCCGCTTTGGGAGGGTGCTTTTTACGCTTATGTGTTGTTTGCATTTCGCATGTGAATATCACATTTGTACTGGTCATTGATCTCGTTATGGGTCACCGTCGTCGAGCGCGCACAGAAATCTCACTCTCCCTCACACGCTCCCCTTATCCGACCCCTTCCCATCTTTCTGCAAATTCCCCTCAATCTCCTCCACCAACCGATCCCTCCCACCCTTGGTAACAACCACCGTCCTGACTCTGAACGTCCCACTCCAAACCCTCTGCATGAGCCCCGCCATAGCAGGCATACAAACACAGACAATACTGAAATTACACTCGACCAGACTCCACATGCCGATGTACTGAAAATCCCAGGTCAAATTCGTCGTATCGCCCAGCCGGACGAGGTATTGTAACCGAATAATCGAGCAAGCCGTGACGAAGAACCCACAGAGGAAAACGACAATAACGCCGAGTTTCTTCCACAGGTTGATTTCGAGATTGAGCAGGTTGCGGATGGGGAGGAGGAAGACGATGGCGTCGAAGGTGATGTCCAGGGCCGCGTAGACGTACGTGAAGGCGGAGAGCTGGATGCAGTGGCCTTGGATTGTGCCGGTGGCTTGGAGCCAGGCGTAGGAGACGGGCGTGCATTGGAAGATGATGGTGAAGACGCCGGTGGTGGAGATGGCGGTGAGGAGGGCGATGAGGATCCAGCAGGTGGTGCGGAAGCGGTGGGTTGTGGAGTCGGCGGTCCAGATGCGGAGGTAGAGGAGGAGGATGGAGATTTTGATGACCATGACGATTATGTTGTAGAGGATTTCGCCGACGTAGAACCACTGTGAACTCGATGTTACCTCTGTGGTATAGTAAGGTAGGTTGTGGACTTACTCGTAAGATCTCTACGATATTCGCCGTGGGAACCATGAACACGTCCAGACCAAGACCGTTCTGCACTTCCGTCTCTGCGCTGGCATCGGCGGGAACGAGCAGCACATAGCAGAAGAGCAGCGTCCAGTCATCCCATCCATAGCCTGTTCCGCCGAATAGGGGTGATCGTGAGAGGAAGCGAGAGAGCGTGAAGAACGTCGCGAATGCGAACATGGCCCAGCCTAGGCGTCTGGTCAGACCGCCTCTGTCGCGAGTCGACCGATCGCAGATATCCTCTAGGGCGTGCTGGAGATCTATTGAGTGTGTCAGTTTAGAAGTGAAAAGCACTGGGCTTGATGGCTGCTGACCTAGGCTCTCGCTGAGTGTACAGTTGGATGTTATGCACATCTCTGCCGTCTTGATGGCCTCTCCAGAACCGCACAAGCAGCCCTCATCGCCGATGCTACAGCCATACTGCGGAAAAGAGTCGTCCAGACACGATTGCTATAGCCATTCGATCAGTCGTGTTTCTATAGATCGTGAGGTTCAGCACTCACAGGACATTGAGGCAATCCAGCCAGCAGAGCCTGGTCAACCTGCCTTGTCTGAAGCGCATGTGCTACACTGCCTCCCAGGCTGAAGCCAGCCAACAACCATATGATGACCCGCATCCTATCTTGAAAGAAGTGTCAACTCAAACTCAACAGGTAAAAAAACATCTAAGAATGAAAAGAGCAGAGAAGAAAGATAGAAGAAG